TGTGGCCCCCCACCATGCATCATTACCTCTCTTTTCTCCAGCTAACCTGTCCACCTATTCTCTAATCTCCTCAAAGCCCAATAGTCAAACAAAAGCCCCCTCACTCCCCCAGACTTCACCTGTGGCTCATACTGAATCTAATGGTGATGAGGCAGATGTAGAATTAAACTGCCTCTATGAAGAAACACAGTTTGAGCTTGGTGATAAGAACACTTCTGGGCACAGTGCAGTTCCTGTCTGTGCAAAGTCCTGCTGCCCTTCAAGTCCACTGCTGCCCTCAGCAGACACATCTTTAAAGCTGACTCCCTCTCCTCCCGTCAGTCATCTTGGCTCTCTGTGGCCCGTCCTGCCTCCCATCGCAGTGCTTAAAGGTAAGAGTTAAGGACTGATCACTGCTTCATTCATTGCTGGATATCTACCAACTGACAAAATACAAAATACAAACTGCTTCCATAATAATTAATTATATAACTGTAATTATATACTATGTATGATTATATTATGGACTTCCACATCATCCACAATTTAATGACACAGACATCTTAAAAAAAAAAAAAAAAGAAAGAAAAGAAAAGAAAAGAAAAAAACTTCTTTAGAAAATGAAAAGCTGCTACCATTTGATTCCTGGTTGAATGGCCTGGGGTCTCAACAATAGGACTTGGGATCCCTGCCTCGTGCGCTGTCTCTTCGAGGCGCTTGCCCCATGCCTGTTCTTTTTGTGGGCTCAGAGGCAAACGTGCTGCCAGTGCTCATAAATCTACTCTGACCACTGCTCACTGATGGCAAAACATTGAGCCGGGGAAATACAATAGAATACCTCAGCGGCTTTCCTGCGGCTGCTAATTTACCATTCTAAATGTGGATAAAGGATGGGGCCAATGACATCTGACTCCTCCAGAAACTTTATGAAAGAAAGCAAACAATGTGTAAATTGTAAAGAGATTTTCTCCTGACTATCACAGACATCTACTGTTTGATTCATTGCTACAAGGAGCACATGCTGAATTTAAGCTCACTCCTTTGGACACCACCATTACCTTCATATTGACAATTTTAAAATAATTATTTCCTCTTCAAATATCTCAGTTCATATGTTGTCATGTCCTATTTACAGATTGTGCTGTAGAATCAGCAGTCTCCTTTGACTTCTCTGAGAATGATCTTTTATTGGGATGCAGTACAGTGTCCTGGTCCACTGTGGCCTTTGTCTCCAGGCAATATAACCAGGGAAATGGGCAGACAGAAGAAGTTTTGTGCTTCTCTGAGTTTGACATATCAAATGTAGCGACCTCCCACCGTCACCCCTAACCTCCCTGAAAAACTGAGTCAGTGCAGCCCGGGTCAGCTTGGAGTGACAGCAGCCATATGCTTTGAAGTGTCAAGTCAAGTCTTTCTATTGTGCATTTGAGTATAGCAGAGGGGAGCTCAAGTGCACATAAACACAGCGTATTTGTTGTCCTCGTACTTGACAGCATAAAATGTGGCTTCATGCATTTATTCTTGTCTGTGTGGCCAGAGACAAAGCAACTGTGCTTGTTCTTTCTGCTATTGAGTCCTATGTATATGTTATCCCTTTTCTGGTCCACGCTGCTCTGCATTTCTAATGTGTGAAAAGCCCTGACAAGCTCTTTTCAGGATCATGACAAAACACAACACTTGATGAGATTTTGTCACTCACTAATCCCCCGTTTTCCAAACCTTTCCTCAAGCCATCCAAACTGCAGTCTGCATGGCTTGAGAAAAGATAGTCAGTGATTACATAAATTTTGACAACTACGAGTGCAGTCCAGGCTGTTCATTGTAGGTTACAGTATTTACCTCACCTGACATACGTGAGGGTCCGATCATGGCGGCTGACAGATTTGGTTTTAAATTCTTATACGTATACAATTCTTATATAATTCAACTACTCACCAGTAATTAATATTAGTAGGAGAAAACATTACACATTATGACATTAAACATATTGTGTTCTCACAAATACTACTTCAAAATCGCATCACAAGACATCTGATAAAAATCTATGTTGCATCAAAATATAAAGATTTTCTGTTTAATAAAAAAAAAAAAAACTATTCATAAATTTTTGGCTTATCTGATGTTGCATTTTAACTCTTTTTTTGTAGGTCGATGCAATACTGCAGCCTCTTGCTCCTCTGAACTCGGCTGTAGTCAGTCAGAGGTTTTTGATGAACTGGACGCCATTGCCCCTTTGTCGGCTTCCTGTTCATCTATGGACCAACCCTCCAAGTCCTCACAATGCGTTTCAAAAAATACAGGTATCTAATTTGATTGTTTATTGTCCAATTTTGTTGCCAAATGTAAAGTAAAATTATTTTATCTGTGCAATCCTTCAGTTGTACATACACACAATATTTTATTGTACATGTCTTTTGTTTATAATTGGTTGTTGTATTTATCATTCTGTATAGATTTTCTCTCTGTGTGATTTGTGGCCTGCTATAAATTTAAGGCTTAGTGGAGCACTCACGGCTTATTGTTTATGCTGATGTTGGCCAACAAAGGCTGAATAAAAGTGTTGTGTGCGTGCGCCTTGGCCAGATAGTGTGTGTCCTGAGGTGTTGGAGGGAGCCATAGGGAGACATGAGCCACCTCCCCTTCACTGCTAATCCCCAACAAGGTGTTTAACCTGCTAGACTGACCTCTGTCTGCATCTGACCCAACTGACCTTTGGCCAGAGGTTGTAGTCAAAATACTGCTATAGCAACCACTAGGATGACTCAGGATTTAGTTTAGGGTCTGATTGCCTTTTATCCCAGATTAACATCAAACTATTTAAATGAGTCTAAAGATGATGGAAAACAGGAAATGGCACAAACTAAAATTTGCCAGAATAACTTTGAAGGCTGTCACACGTGTGTGGTCCTTATGTAGCTGTCTGATCTGTGAGTGGATGGTTTTTAATGTTTTAATCACAGTTTAGTAAATAGTTATCTATGTCTGTGTTAGCCAAGTGTATGTAGAGCTCGGGATACTTTTAGCTAATGGGTAATATTACATGGATTTTTCAGAACTCACAGTTATCCCTGGGATTTCCACACAAAGACTAGTTTAGCTGCTAAAACAACAATTCACTTTCCTCTGTATGAGATTACCTTACTGATATCAGTAAAACCAAGTATATGTTCCCTCTGTGTCCTTGTGCATTTTCCAGAAACTTGTGTGATAGACTATCAGTGGTGGACTGGATGAAATCCCCTCTGAGGGTAACAGCCACTCACACCCAGCATGGATTCTGGATTTGCATGGGCACTGAGCCACCCCGTCACTGATCCGTTTTTAATTGGGTGTGACAAGGAGAACTTTGGAGCCTTAGGGGGGTCTATGTATACCAGTGAACTATATTAGGACCCTCATCAAAGCACCTATAGACTCACCATAAACAGAGTGCAAAAGTGGTTAGGGGAAAATAGGATAATAAAATAAATGAGAAAAATAGCAAAAAGAGTGAGGGAAAAAAATCTGATTTTCTGATTTATTCATTTTTTTGCAGGAAAAAGATGTAGATGTTAACATATTTTTTGTTAGCTTTTTGCTCAGATGCTCTATCTCCTGGCCTGGCAGCACTCACTGTAGGCTGTGACTCTCGGCATCTGGGCTCTATGTCTCGTGTCCAATTACTTCTACTGAACCGCCAAGAGACTGATTCTGTAAGTCCTTTCAATTTGGATGAAGACCTGATATCTATGGACAACTACCCTGATCTGGAGATGAATAATGGTAATGAAATTATTGAATTAATGGTCTGTAAACTCTAGAAAGAACCATAAGGATCAATTTAGTGCAGACTAAGAAAACTTAAAATGAGATTGTTTTTCCCTTTTTTGTGGTAGCTTTGACCAAGATTCTAATATATTCCAAAAATGTTTCTTACAATTTCTATTTTGAGGCATATTTGAAATAAGACACAATATTTATTAATTAAGGTAATGGATTGAAAACAGTGTATTTTGTAGTACAATATATTTGCATTAGTTACAAATTAATCATCATCCAAAATTCTTAGGTTGTGAGTCATTTAAACATAGGTGTATTTTATATCACTGACAGGAAATCTCAGAGGTCTCCTGCTCTGTCAAATCCTTCTGACAGTTTGAAACAGATCGTTTGATAAGCAACAACCGTCACGTAGACAGGTGTGCACTTGTCAGCAAGCCGCACATATGATACTTGACCAACTTACAGTGTTCTTCTGCTCCCTCATGCGATCTATGACTTCTCCACTTCTCTCTACAACACACAGAACTATACCATGACATAACAACAAAGTTCCCCCAAAGGTGTGGCAGCTCAGACTACAAACTTTATAAGGACATTATAATGCCTGATTTTAGCAAAGATCAAACCAATAGAGTATATCATTAACCAGGGAAAGTCCAGCACTGATAGCTTAAGTCCTAGAAGTATGCGCAAGATGCAAGACAAACAAAACAAGTGAGAGGAAACTAGGGGAGTTTGGAAGAAAAGTATAAACGATTTCCACAATATTTATTCAAGTCTGTTTGCAACTGAGTTTAAGTGACTCTTACAGGCTTATGTGTATTATTGTTTTGAGAGCAGCAGTAACATACAATGTTGAAAAATGAAAATACTCATGCAATTAATAATTTTCAAGAATTACTCTGAATACCACACTTCTTGGTAATGATAAAGTTCTTGCTAAAGTGTGTATTGCCTCTTTCAGTGTTTCCAGAACAATGTTTGCACCTGGCACGCTTCTGTAGACAGGTGCTCCACTGGGGTTTATTGGTCCATTTCTGACACTATTTGCTTTGAGATTAGGAGGCATAATTGGAGCTAATACACAACATTAGTCATATCTGAGCACACAGAGCCAAACACAAAGACCACATGAAAATGTGTGGCATGGGCTGACATTTATGTACACAACAAGAACCATGTCGCCTACATGGACTTTTGCGTGCGCACAATTGCTTCCTCTGCCTTTTGCTTTAAGCTATGTTCTGTGTCGCTTGTCAGGTGTTTGGAGGCCCCTCACAGCTGGCAGCATCTCTGAAAAGTGCAGCTCCATGGGGAAAGCCCATCAAAACAAACTGGTAAGTGCCGCTAACTCTTGTGAAGTTGTTTTGCCTCCCCCTTTTCTGTTGTAAGCAAACATTAGACCTTTAAGTGTTCAGCTATTGGACAATAACTCCAGACCTGGCACAGACAGCCTCCCTCCTGTACAAAAGACCCCATTTACAAACTTGAGCCAACATGCATTTATAACTATCATTCCAGTTTGTCCGAGCAAATTGTTGTTGACAATTGAGGCACAATATAACAGAGGGCATGCGGTGTGTAGCAGGTGTGTGGTTAATCAGTCATAGGCTCCAGATGAAGGGGGGCAGGACTGTAGGGTTACACACAGCTCATAGTCATAAGGGGTAAATGTCCCTCACAGTGGGATTCTTTTGGAGGATGCATCAAGACCAGGATCAGACAGGGGCTGGCGAGGTGAGGGGTTAGGGGTTAAAGAGGGCATGTGCATGCTGGGCTGTAGTGGAATGGATGCAGGTGCTCTAAATGATCTACAATTAATCTCCCCTTTTATGACAAATCAGAGAGAGAGAGGAAATAGAGAGAGTATATGCATGTGTGTGTGTTGTAAAAATGTGAAAAGCATGAATGAGCCTCGTAAGCCCCCTGCAATTATGCCTAGCAGAACAGATCAGGAGTCATACACCCATTTACATAATACTCCTCAGTGAAGCAACACATCAGTCCAACATAGCTATGATTTGTTGTAAAATGTGTAGTATAATTTTTTGAATATTTATTTTCTAGGATTACATGGAACAATGTTCTGGATCATCCTGTTCATGGATCATTGAACCAACATTCAACATATTTAAATCTTCTGACTCACAATGCAACTCCAGTTTAGGTACTGAACACGCACACACACACACATACACCCACACACAAAATGTCATACTTGGTGACTTAGATTCATTTCTTGGAGACTGATCCAAATCTTAACCCTGATACTACCACTTGCCTAACCTTAACTTAATCCCTCATTCTACTATTTTGTCTTTTTCTTAACTTTAAATCATGTTGATAATAATAATCAACATCACAGGGATTTGTTTTTTGCCCCTTAGGAAGGCAGGTCCCCATGATTTGACTGTGTTTACAGATCTTAATCCCCCACAATACCTGCCCATGGTAAAGTGGTTGGTACATTATGTGCCAACTTAAAGCAACTTAAAACAATAATTAATCAGTGCAAGGGTCCCTCCTTATCATTATGCTCTGATCCCATAAAAGCCCACTCTTTCTGCTTTATTAGGAACCATTGTCTCTGCGCTGTCAGCATAGTGTTTGGCGTTCTCTTGCCTCCGGTACACCTAAGCCCACTAATCCTCGCTTGGGCCAGCTGGTTTGCCGTATCATCTTTACCTGTGTGGCCGCTTGTGTACATTCATGAGTGATGCTTTAGGTGCCGTTTACCGTTTACAGTACAAACCACTGGAAAACTGGCACTGAAGAGCAAAGTACTGTCACTACACAGACTTGTGAAGCCACTTCTGAGCAAATAGCATTTCCTCCAACCTTCATTTGACCACATCTGTCACTAGTGGCTCATTTGTCTACTGTCATTCATAGTGCTATAAGTCTAATGGTCCATTCACAGCAGTATTCCTACAGGCAGTTTTAATATCATCAATCACTTGAAAAAATTATGTCTCAGGGCAAACCTTTGGCATTTTAAACATCTGAGTTTTTAACTCATCTAATTTCCACTTCTTGCTATAAACCATTCCACTGCACACCTCTCACAGAGAGCCATGACTCAACTGAAGATCTGCAAAGTTTGTTAGATAATCCCTCTACAGTATATTGTTTTAAACACCATCATTTTGCCCTTAGCACATCTATACAACCTTGTTGTCACTGTTTCACAACTCTGTTTGAGTTGCTAAGTCTACACTCTAAAGAAGATGTCACAAAATTGTCCTGCTGATGGGGTGTGCTTTGACCTTTTGGAGGCCAAAGGCATGGTCAGTCTGGGGGAGGAGTAGGTGGGAGGTCATCACCGGGGCAGAATGGGTCAAACCCGAGGTCCGTAACTATGAAAGACGCCCAGTGTGTGGCATGTCTTTGTGTGAAAAGGTGAGATTTAGTTCCTCCTGAGGTGTGAGGGGTCTGACCTTCACAGTGACTCATTGTAATGAATGAAATGACCCCATTATGACTCCGTAAAACCTCAGCCTCAAGATGAACCATGACCACAGTAGCTTTAGCAATGATTGAGATATTCATTCCTATAACAAGTACAAAATTTCTATTTTTAGGTTGTGGGATAATTGAAGGGTAAACATAGTAATAATCATCTTTAGATTTGTATTTTTTAAGGGTCAACTATTAGAGATGGTTTACTTTTCAAGGTATTTCCAAATAAATATGCACATGTTAAAAAGTATATTTCAACAACTAAGTATAAAACCTTTACTGATTGTGTTTCCACAAAGAAAACCTTTGTCCTGCTTTCCTCGTGAAGAATTCATTGGTAGAGTATCCCCCCTCCTCCACTATAATTTGTAATTTAGTATTTAGCATTCAGCTGTTACTGAAGTTGTTAGTATACAAATGAATGTAATTCTGTTGGGCTAAAAAGGGTGCTAATCTGAACTGACCCTTGTGGATTGTTTAGCTGAACAGAGGAAGCTACAGCACAGATTATAGAAAAACACAGGGATGTTGCTTGGCAAGATTAGCCATGTAGTGCGCAAGGATCGTTTGCCCCCAGAGGACCACACACTGTCAGAGTAGCCATGTCACTATTGTCTCTAAGCCATTTGCAGTGTGGAAGCACAGCCATTGTCTCCCAAATCCATCAAATCTCCACAGTTTATCCAAGTTGCCCCTAAAAAAACTGAACTCAAGCTCTTTGATTGGCACTTGTCAAGGCTGGGATGACGTGTCAAGAGAGCCTTCGATAAAGGGACTCCGAATGGGAAATCCCTTGCCTATGAATAATGATTTGGTGAGGATTTTCCCTTTTATGCCCCCTGCTTGATTCCTCTATTCTTTGGGGAGATAGAGAAGTAAAGGCTCTGGGTGGTATCTGTGAATAGACCTGGCGCTCTTATTGTGTTGCCGATGCTCATCCCTTTCTCAAATACGCAAAAAAAAAACCCTCATAAGTCTAACCTTCTTGTTTCAGCCTGGTGCCCTGGATGCTGAAGGCCATTCTGTATTTGAACTGATTCTGCATCTGTATTATATCTTGTGGCCTCTTTGTAAATTGATGTAGAGATTTTACTTGGCCTTTCAAAGCTAAATCCAGCTATCAGTTATGTTCAGACACTAGCGTTGGTATGGAAACCAGCTTCGTTTCCAGCGTGAAGTGACCAGTAATCATTGAACAAGAAGTGTGGTTGGGGGATGTAGACAATGGCTGCTTTTCTCCCCCTTTTTTGGCAACCTTTACTTTCTGTTTTAGAGCTTTAATTTGCATATATATTTAGCAATGGTTTATGCCCTTTCCAAAACAGAGTTCTTAAATCACAGTTTAATGCTGTGATGTCTTGTTGACTGATTAACAAATTGTCCATATAGCGGAAGGAAACACTAGGAAACACTTAACCAGTAGGTAGCATAAATAAATCACAATATTATTAATCTTATGTTTTACACACTAAATAATCAGCACATTTTCAGTGAATATCTGACTATCTGTGACCACACCATTGTTATAATTTGGTTGGAATATATACAAGATAATTTGATTCTTCTGTTGTAATATGTGTTGCATATCAAAAATGAAGCACGTGATTAATATGCTGCTGAAAAGAAAGATTATCAAGATAAATTATTTTGTGTGTTTTGTTGACAGTCAGACTGGACTCTCCATGGCCCAATGTGTTTGGGTGCAGTGTGGTGGAAGACAGCCTGTCAAATGAGACATTGCTCTATCAATCTATGCTGCTGACCCTTTTACACGTACCTAACAAAATAAATGAATACATGTCAACACATTTAGAATTGCATTCTCCCTGCCCAGTAGTTCTTCACCATGGTACTTATACAATCTAGTGAAATCTTTTTTTAAAAGTGCACTATGTAACTTTTCTGGTGCAGCGTCTGTTGGCTGTTTGTCTTCATGAAGATTCCAATCTTTGCCTGGAATGTTCCAAAGCATTTATTTTTATCCATTTATAAAATTACCTGTGTTTTTGTAAAGCTTTAAACTATACTAACCAACATAAATTCTTAGTGCACAGATCTGATTGGGACCTTGGTCTGGTGGCATTACCTGCTTGTCTCTATGGAGAGAAATAAGTTTTATGCAATATTGTGGAACATTCCTGGCAAAGCAACTAAATCTGAGACAAGCAGATGGCAGACTATCCACCAGAAAAGTAACATAACATTTAAAGTATTGCAGCTATAATAAAAGGGGGTTGGAATGCTAATGGAAGGAGAAGCAGACAAACCTTTGCTTCCTTGTGCTGAGTTGTTCATTGTCTCTTGCATGAAGTGTTCTGTGCACTTTGTTTTGGAGATAATGAGATTCTTAATTGCTTGGCCAGTGACAAAATGTTTAGGTTTCAGGGACGGAGAGAGTATGTGAATAGACTACACTGAAATGAAACAGTAGCATTTAGCAGAACTATGAAAGAGAATTAGAGGCTCTCCTATAGACTGAATTGTTTTGTGCTGAAATCTATGAATACGAATGAAATGTTTGTTTTACAAGATGGGGGCTGTATTTCAGAACACAAGACTAAACACTATGCTGGTTTGAATCCTCTGTTTCAGGACCATTGGAGGATGAGGTAGTCCCATTATTGGAGCTATCCAATTATTTAGGGTTTGCTGAAGAGGATGAAGACACATGTTCAATAACAGAAAGAAGAGAAGTCCAAGACAGAAAGAGGGAGGAGAGAAAAACGAAGGTCCTCAAAATGCTTTCCAAACTACAAGATGATGCACCTCAGCAGTCAACAAGCAGCAGAGGTCACTCAAACTTTGAAGACTGTAAGTATAGTAAGTTACTGAAACTAAGGCATATTTTACATGACCCATCCATCCATCCATTTTCGTCCGCTTATCCGGGGCCGGGTCGCGGGGGCAGCAGTCTAAGCAGGGACTCCCAGACTTCCTTCACCCCAGACACATCCTCCAGCTCCTCCGGGGGGACCCCGAGGCGTTCCCAGGCCAGCCGAGAGACATAGTCCCTCCAGAGTGTCCTGGGTCTTCCCCGGGGCCTCCTCCCAGCTTGACATGCCCGGAACACCTCCCGAGGGAGGCGCCCAGGAGGCATCCGAAACAGATGCCCGAGCCACCTCAACTGGCTCCTCTCGACGTGGAGGAGCAGCGGCTCTACTCCGAGCTCCTCCCGTGTGACTGAGCTCCTCACCCTATCTCTAAGGGAGTGCCCAGCCACCCTGCGGAGGAAACCCATTTCAAGCGCTTGTATCCGCGATCTCGTCCTTTCGGTCACTACCCAGAGCTCATGACCATAGGTGAGAGTAGGAACGAAGACTGACCGGTAAATCTTCACCACAACAGTCCGATACAGCGACCGCATCACTGCCGAAGCTGCACCGATCCGCCTGTCAATCTCACGTTCCGTCCTTCCCTCACTCGTGAACAAGACCCCGAGATACTTGAACTCCTCCACTTGAGGCAAAGACTCCCCACCCACCCGGAGAGGGCAAGCCACCTTTTTCCGGTCGAGAACCATGGCCTCAGACTTAGAAGAGCTGATCTTCATCCCAGCCGCTTCACACTCGGCTGCAAACCGCCCCAGTGCACATTGCAGGTCCTGGTTCGATGAAGCCAACAGGACAACATCATCCGCAAACAGCAGAGCTGAGATCCTGTGGTCCCCAAACCGGACCCCCTCCGGCCCCTGACTGCGCCTAGAAATTCTGTCCATAAATACAATGAACAGAACCGGTGACAAAGGGCAGCCCTGGCGGAGTCCAACATGCACCGGGAACAGGTCTGACTTACTGCCGGCAATGCGAACACAGCTCCTGCTCCGGTCATACAGGGACCGGACAGCCCTTAGCAAAGGGCCCCGAACCCCATACTCCCAGAGCACCCCCCACAGGACACCACGAGGGACACGGTCGAATGCCTTCTCCAGATCCACAAAACACATGTGGACTGGTTGGGCAAACTCCCATGAACCCTCGAGCACCCGATGGAGAGTGTAGAGCTGGTCCAGTGTTCCACGGCCAGGACGAAAACCACACTGCTCCTCCTGGATCCGAGGTTCGACTATCGGCCGGATTCTCCTCTCCAGTACCCTGGCATAGACCTTATCGGGAAGGCTGAGGAGTGTGATCCCCCTATAGTTGGAACACACCCTCCGGTCCCCCTTCTTATACAGAGGGACCACCACCCCGGTTTGCCAGTCCAGAGGTACTGTTCCCGACCGCCACGCGATGTTAAAGAGGCGTGTCAGCCAAGACAGCCACACAACATCCAGAGACTTAAGGTACTCAGGACAGATCTCATCCAACCCCGGAGCCTTGCCACCAAGGAGCTTTCCAACCACCTCAGTGACTTCAGCCAGGGTGATGGATGAGTCCGCCTCCGAGTCCCCAGCCTCGGCCTCCTCCTCGGAAGACGTGACGGTGGGATTGAGGAGATCCTCAAAGTATTCCTTCCACCGCCTGACAACGTTCCCAGTCGAGGTCAGCAGCTCTCCCCCTGCACTGTAAACAGTGTTGGTGAAGAAATGCTTCCCCTTCCTGAGGCGCCGGACGGTTTGCCAGAATCTCTTTGAGGCCGTCCCGATAGTCCTCCTCCATGGCCTCCCCGAACTCCTCCCAGCTCAGAGTTTTTGCCTCCGTGACCACACGGGCTGCAGCACGCTTGGCCCGCCGGTACCCGTCAGCTGCTTCAGGAGTCCCCCGAGCCAGCAAGGCCCGATAGGACTCCTTCTTCAGCTTGACGGCATCCCTTACTTCCGGTGTCCACCACCGGGTTCGGGGATTGCCACCGCGACAGGCACCACAGACCTTACGGCCACAGCTACGAGTGGTCTCATCGACAATAGAGGCCGAGAATGAAGCCCACTCGGACTCCATATCTCCAGCCTCCCCCGGAATCCGGGAGAAGTCCTCCCGGAGGTGCGAGTTGAAAGTCCCTCTGAGAGAGGGCTCCGCCAGACGTTCCCAACAGGCCCTCACTACACGCTTGGGCCTGCCAGGTCTTTCCGGCTTCCTCCTCCGCCAGCGAACCCAACTCACAACCAGGTGGTGATCAGTTGACAGCTCAGCCCCTCTCTTTACCCAAGTGTCCAAGACACGCGGCCGGAGATCAGATGACACGACTACAAAGTCGATCATCGACCTCCGGCCTAGGGTGTCCTGGTGCCACGTGCACTTATGGACACCCTTGTGCTCGAACATGGTGTTCGTTATGGACAAACCGTGACTAGCACAGAAGTCCAATAACAAAACACCGCTCGGGTTCAGATCGGGGAGGCCGTTCCTCCCAATCACCCCTCTCCAAGTGTCACTGTCATTGCCCACGGGCGTTGAAGTCCCCGAGGAGAACAACGGAGTCCCAGGTCGGTGCACTGTCTAGTACCCCTCCCAAGGACTCCAAGAAGGCCGGGTACTCAGCACTGCTGTTCGGCCCATAGGCCGACACCACAGTGAGAGACCTGTCCCCGACCCGAAGGCGCAGGGACGCGACCCTCTCGTTCACCGGGGTGAACTCCAACACACAGCGGCTGAGCTGTGGGGCAATGAGCAGGCCCACACCAGCCCGCCGCCGCTCCCCGCGGCCAAGACCAGAGAAATGGAGAGTCCAGCCCCTCTCAAGGAGTTGGGTTCCAGAGCCCAAACTGTGCGTGGAGGTGAGGCCGACTATATCTAGTCGGTAACGCTCAACCTCCAGCACAAGCTCAGGCTCCTTTCCCCCCAGCGAGGTGACATTCCATGTCCCCAGAGCTAGTCTCCATGTCCGGAGATCCGGTCGCCGAGGCCCCCGCCGTCGACTGCTGCCCAGATCTCTCTGCACCGGCCCCATATGGCTCCTCCCGCGGATGGTGGGCCCACGTGAGGACGGCCCCATGTCGCTCCTTCGGGCTAAGCCCGGCCGGGCCCCGTGGGGGGAAGGCCCGGCCACCAGGCGCTCACTGACGAGCACCCACCCCAGGCCTGGCTTTAGGGTGAGGCCTGGGTGATGTCAATCCGGGTGACGTAACTGGCCTCTGTGTGTTGCTCATCATGTGGGGCTTCTGAACCGTTCTTCGTCTGACCCGTCCCCCCGGACCTGTTTGCCTTGGGTGACCCTACCAGGGGCATGAAGCCCCCGACAACATAGCTCCTGGGATCATTCGGGCACTCAAACCCCTCCACCACAATAAGGTGACGGTTCAAGGAGGGGATTTTTACATGACCATGGCTGTGTAATGATTAATCCAAATATAACAATGTCAAGATACATTTTGTTCACTGCTCACTCTACACATTGCTATAGTAATATCCACAATATGAGAAAACTGTGAGAAGTCCCATTTTCATTTAATTTACACAGAACCCATTTTTAAAAACTCAGGCCACACCTTCCCCAATCTACCTCAAGCACCTGATTCCTTTCCTTCCAAGCATTCAGAGATTGTATGACCACATTACTCCAACAATCACCATCCTCACCTAAGGTAAATTTTAAGGAGGTGACCTTTCTCAGAGGTCGTCTGGCCCAAAGTTTACCTGTGACAGCCACTATGTATTGGTCTGATTCTTTTTATCCTTGTACTTGATTCAGCCAGTACCTTACTGTGTCATTCAAGTGAATGAAGCAGCTTTAATGTACTCTTGTGTCTACTTTTGAGATTGGTGAGATTGGTGTGTCATTTTCAAATAATGTCTGAATGTGTAGTTATTTCAATGTTGACAACATGTGCGGTGAAACACTCACCATTACTCATTGTTTTTATTTTTATTTTTTTTTCGGTCTTCATTCTGTTTGAATGTGCCCTCTTGTTGCTCCTCATTAGGTAGCGAAAGGACAAACTTGTCGTAATTGGTTTTGTCCAACACTAGCCAAAGGATTCTCAAAAGAGAGAAGCCTCTTCCCGTATATAGCTTTCTATGACTTCCTGTAAACAATTCAACTCAGTGACCCTCTGGTTGTCATTCGTCAGCAGTCCATGTTCTCAGTCAATAGTCACAATATGTGTAGACTGTGTATGTACAAAAAGGATGAGGGTGAGTTGTCAAAGGTCTACAGCCCTTGAATGAGACTACTATCAAATGATACTGCTTATTTATTGTACTTATTTTAACTTTTTCTGTATTGGTTCTTTAGTAACTCAGTCTTCTAGATTTGTGGCAACATATAACAGTTAATGTTTATATTTATGACATATATTGCTAATATTTTTAAGGACATTTATTGTTATACCCTTCACCTTTTGCAAAAGATGCCTGGGGGTGCATGCTCAGCAGCAGCAGGAGTGGGTTGAGCCGTGGTAGGAAAACAAACAAAGACACACGCAGCGGCCTCCCTCCTGCCTCTGGGTGCACACCACAAACCACAACACACGCTCTCTGAGCGTGCCATAAACACCCTCAAACAAGCTCTAAACTCCAAATGATCTGCTGTGTGTCGCACCAGATCTCCAGAGATAGCCCCACAAAGCAAAATCATCTGCTATTATTGCCCTTCAGTCCTTGACATGGTGCCATTAATAAGGCTATTGTGGAGGCAGTGCTCAGTGTGTACATTGTATAATAGACTCTTTGACAGATTTACTTTGTTCACTCCCTTGTACCCGCTCTTTTTCCTCTCCTGAATACAGTGGGCACACTACCGTGCATCAATAGGTGAGCTGTTTGTTTGCCCAGTCATTGTGGACTGATTGTAAACACATAGAAGGATTTTACACCAAAGGCTGAGCAAACATACATTACATAAATGCGCTGTATTGTGGATGCTATGTGCATCCTCAAACAACTCACTACAGCTTTTCAGTATATAACTATAGGACATTATTAAAGTACTACTACAAAAAAGTAGAAGCAACCCATATTTTTGGTCCTGTTTAATTTATGTTCAACATTTAAACTGAGAACTGTTTTTTATTCTAGAGTTATGTGTTGATCAACTTTTGGTTTCCATTGAGCCTCTTATTTAAATCTGGTGCAGTTGTGCATTCTTATTGCTCCCCTGTGTGGGGGAGGAATCGTTTTTTGCTCTAAATCCTGACACATATTTTGGATCTGTGTGGGCCATGTTGCCCAGCCATACTCGTGCTCTTTAAAAGGGGTCACCTACTATGTGCTGTTCAGTATGACCTTTGTTTAAGGAATTATGGGACACTAGCCAGTTTCGGGATGAGCAGAAACAAAAAAGTCTTTAATTAAGCGGGAAACGTATAACAATAGATCTGTGTGTGGACAGGTCCAAGCAACATTCCAGTTTTACTAATCACTTATGTTTTTGTGTTTATTTGTTGCTAATTTGTAACATGTTCATATACTATTAGGTGTTCAGCTTTTACATATTTTAATATCTTAATATAGGCTTGTTCACTCATTTTATCATTTCATAATGTTTATATGTATGTTGTACTTGTGAAGGTCAACTTTTGACATGAAGACTCACTGTCTGCGCTGGGGGTATAAATCTTACACAGGCCAGTAACAATATTTGTCAGAGGAAAGCTGGGTGTGTTTTTCATCTGTCAGCTGCAGACATGGAAAATGACATCCAAGTGTGTGTTAAATGAGTTGTGACCAGCCTGCCACCAGTGCCCAAGCCTTGACTCTACAAAAGAAAAGGAACAAAACTGAAAAACAAACGCTAGTGAAAGAGTGAACCTCCCTGCTCATCATCATCATCATGCCCCTATTCTTCCTCTCTCTATTGCAACTGAATCGGCTTGGTCTCATTACAGATTATGGCCTGAGCGGAATGACTCTTGCCTTTCTCCACACAGGCCTGGTCTTGATTAACATTTTCTGCTAGGCTTCACACTAAAGGCCCAACCTGTGCGCTTTAAAGGCGTGGTGAAAAAAGCCATCAAGCGCTGGAGTGGAATCAGATAAGGCTATCAGGCAGGAGGCTTTACTGCCTGCTTTGTCCCTCAGCTCTGCCTGCCTTTACTTCCTCCCTCAATCTCGCACTCCACTGCACCTATTGTCCAGTGGATGTGGTGCACCCTACAGCCACAGACCCTACCACTGTGTCTGAAAAAAAAAAAAAAACAGAATCCAATTTTGATCTGTTTTTCATGAACAATTTATTGAATGTTTATGATAGTGAATTACATAAAAAATAATTTAAAAAGTAGCACTGGAATGTCTGGATGCATGCACTCAGACACATTATGTTTGGTATGATTGGGCCAAATTGAAACTCTTTTGTGCATTTAACCATGTATAGACTGCATATCTTGTCATATATTGAAATGTTTATTGGACATGCAGTCAGCTGCTCTGCTGCAGGTGGCTCCTCTTGATCCTCATCTTGTCGTCTTGTGCTTTCAGTCACCCTACGCTGCCTCACGTTTCACTTTAGCAGATTGCTGTGTGCTGATCCATGTTGGATAAATGTAAATGTTCATGTCTAAAGATTAGGCCTAAATCCCTGTCCATGCAGAGAATGGTAACTCCTGATGCTATAGCTTGTGTAGAAATTTGCAAACAGATGTGCAAAGCCATCTCACATGTTTTTGATCAATCAAGCTTTAACAAGTAAAGTTGACTAGATTTCAATGTATTATTTAGCATGTGAAAGGATGAGGCCACCGAATGGCTAGTTTTGATTAGGCATAAGCTGATAAATGGCAGATCCAAACAGCCCCCTGCTATTGCAGAGAAACCCCAGAGGTCCAGAGGTACGGGTGCAGCCTGATATAAACTCTGTTGCTCTTCTTTCTTCTCCACACCAAATGAATGCTCCCATTATTCAGTAGACTCATTCTCATTTTCTAGATAGAAGTGGCAGCAGCTTAAAAGCCCCCATTGCTCCCCAACCCCCCTTTCTTAGTCTAGCCTTTCCCAAATTTGCTTAATGAAATATTCATGGAAGTGTTTAGCTTACCTTAAGTGTTAAGGCATTAAATATTTCACCAAATTCATTTGTAACATGAAAATCCATCTCTTTTCTAAATCATTACATTCACACACACTCGCCCAACTAATGCACTTCAAAAGACTTTGATTTGTTCAGAGATACTAATCTGACCAATTTGTGTGTAATAGGAAACACAATATCTTGTTTGTTTTATATAAAATATTAAAGTTATTTACTGTTTTCTTTTTCTGTACAGTTGACTTTTTGGCAAAATATTGCATTTTTAATCATGAGAGGCTGGCTGAGTACAAAAGAGCATTTGAAGAAGTGAGTAATCTCAAGTATGTATATTCAGATTCCAGATGTTTTGTTTTGTTGTTTTTTTCTGGCTCACACTTAATAATATAATATTGTCTTACATGTATGTTTTAGGAGGACAGTGATGGGGATGGATATATTTCCTGTCTTCAAGTTCTGTGTGCATTGAAAAACATTATCCCCCCTGAGCTTCTGTCTGAAGAGGAAGAGATCTATGTCTACAGGGTTAGCTCTTTACAGACATTGTTTTGCAAATATTCAAATGTCACATGAGTATGAAAAGTTGGTTGTGTTTCAGATTCTGGAGATGGTGGACTTCAGGGTTACTGATGGGCTTGTGGACCTCAGGCTGTTTGCAGTTATAGCCAGTCTGGCCCAAAAGATAGCCACCCTGGAGTGAGTAACCAACAAAACATTCAACCTGTTAATGAATTTACTGTCCTGGTTATTACTCATGCAGTGTTGCTCTGGTTGTCTGTAGCCTTTATCACAGTGTCAGTGTATGGGGGCCCATATGCAGTGGATTCCCACACACAGAGCAGTTTCATGCCTGAGGGTTTATGGTTCTGCACACAGGAGTTGGTGCAGCTACCCTCCTCCGGAGGTCTGTGTGGGTCAAGGCCCACTCTCGTTGCCCCGGCCCCAAAGTGAGAGCTCCCTCTCAGCCAGTGCAGAGCCGGGTCATGGGTCCTCAGATTTACGGCCACTCTTTTGTGTTGTGCTTTAGACTGACTGGGGCTGAACAGTCATGGTGTCTGCTCTGTATAGAGCCAATTATAGTAATGATAATAAATGTTCATATTAAACTTCTTCCACAAAAGTCAGTTTTAAAATTTAGATGGAGTCTAGAGAAGGTAGCATCCATTCATGCTCCCTTTTTCTCAAGACAATAGCATCCTTCTGTCACATCTTAAACTCAACTGGATTGATCCTATTACCTTTTTCATTAAATCCTGTTGTCTCTAATCCAAGATTAAAAATGAACAGTAGCAGTGGTTACACAATCAGTCTTTCTGATCATGTAAGACTTTGAAATTTAAGGTGATTTATCCCAGATTTATTTTATTCCTTGTATTTTAAACTTGTCGTGGTAGCCGACACCCTCTGACCGTAACACTGCTATTTTCTATTGCTGCTTTTTTAATCCTTGATTTGGCCATTCTATTATTCCCAAAAGTTAAAAATAACATTCCCAGAGAGCTTCAGTTAATCAGCCACAACATAATTAGCCATTTCCTTATGAAAGTTGTTTTACAGTTCCATGCATTACACAACACATTCTTGCAAGGTGAATGCCCTGAACCACTAACACATTAGTTAGAGCTACCAAACAATATTTGTCACGAGTCAAAGCACAGAATATATGTTTAAAGATCCCTTATCAAGCCAGGGTGAAGAAATGTGTAGTAATCTGAGTGGTGTATTATCTGTTGTTGACACTACATCTATCCACAGACCACTCAAGTAAATGTTCCTTGTGTTGTGTGTTTCTGGCTCCATTATCAAGACCGCCAAAATTTCTGGCATTATGTAAGCAAGAAGTTGGCTGTTTTGGCCTCAGCAGGGTGCCACAGGACTTCTGACAAAAGAAAATGGGTTAGGCTGCTGTTATCCTCCTCAGTGTCTATCAGCAGACTCTACCCTTCATTTATGCTAACTATTATCATGCCAGTGTTCTTAGCACACAGCATTTGGACTGCAAACCAAGTGAAATTAATGATCATTAGTTGCTCTGTCTTTTTTCATCTCCATCAAGCCCCTGCCCGCATTATGGTTGGCAGACAAGGGCCAATCTCAGCACAGGGCCACTCAGGCGTAGACTGCACTCAATGGCCTAGCGCTTGTCCATTCTTTGCAGTAACAGGTCATTCAGCCCACTGTGAGGAGGGGCTCATTAACACTGGGCGCTCGTTATAGAAGGGACGGCGGAGCTGTGCCTATGCCACACGCTGGACGAGAGAGCTGTGTCCTGGTCTAATTATCTAAGTGGACCTAGTTTCATTGGTTTGAGGGTGGACATCCCAGTAACCCTAGAGTGTGCCCTGGTTGTTTTTCCCCACCCTCCTCCTCTAACGAACGCTGCTCACCCTGCGTCCTCATCCCCACTCCCCAAAATCCATGGACTTTTATCCGTTACTATGGCGGGATATGGCTGTGTACCCATGCATTGTTTTGCCACTGTGAGCAACCACAATAGACTCAGAACACTTTACCATCATACTGCTGGATTGGGTAAACCCGCCAAAAACACACCATGTTCTCATTAGTCTCTTTGATTAGAATGACACAGGATGTTTTAATTTGTTCAAGGGGAATTAAAGTTCCTGGTTTTTGTTTTTATATTGTTATTTTTCTTCTTCAGTGACTTTATGCGCTCCTTAATCAGCAGTATAGACTTTCGCTCTCTGGAAGTGAAGCTTTTCAAGGCAAAGGTAATACCTTATATTTTTTTTATTTGCTAAAAAAATACTTAATTACTTATGCAATACAATATATTTGTAGTCTTTTTTTGTACCTGTGTGGAATATTACAAAAACAAACCCCAGTGAAAACTCTGAAGTGCAATTCTTAAGCATGCTTTGTACATCAGCTTTTTATGTCAACCACTCAACCCTTGTGCACTGAAATGAGGGAAGCGAGCCAGTTAGAAAAAAAAGAGGGTTCTTTTCCCTTTTCTTAGATTAGCATGGCCCTAATCTTATTAAAGTGCCCAGCAGTGAACATGCTGTCCAGTCCACCCAGCCCTGTAATCAGCGTCAGACATACAGCTCCTTTCAGATAGAGCCGCTCTGTCCCCCACCTGGATGTGCACTGGTGTTTGTCCCTCCTCTGCACCACAGCATCCACTTGGAGGCAGAGCTACATGAAAGCCATTGGCCGCGGGTGTGCGAAGCAAACCCCCTAGCCAGGTATGGCAGCCTGTGTAATTATGGAGCTGTTAGGGATAGGGCTGTTAACAACAGAGTGGTGGGGAGAATGGTCTGATTGCTTGAGGGATTATTCCCTCCCCCAACAATTATTACCTCGACTGACTGCATTAACTGTGCAAACAGGTGCACTCAAACAAGGCCCATGTAATCTGAGGCCAGTCTGACTCAGTGGCTCACACACCATAGTCACTCTGACAGTTGTGTACACCCATCTCTCCAAAAACATCCTAATCCACTTTGAATATTGTGTTATCATGCAGAAGCTGTTCCTGTTCCTTCTAGAGGAGCAGACTGGTCATGGGACATCCCAACAGAAGTATATCAGCCCAGAACAACTGATTCTGGAGTTAAAGGCTGGAGGCATCTGTTTAGAGCACGAGGCAGCCATCAGAATGGAGATCCAGCACATTCCCCCTTTAGATCTGCTGGACTTTCTGGCCTATCTGCCTTTGTTCATGCTAATACACAAGTCTGTCATTGCTAATCCATTAAAAGACTTCTGAAACTTATGACACTACTCTACTATTGTTTTACTGCCACTATTGCACTGTAGCTCAACAATACAACTGCATCACTGACAAATTTGTTGTTTTGACAATGTCTCTGAGGTAACTAAATACCACAATTAAAACATTGTTGGGCCTTCAGAGACTGTACTAGAGCTTAAGAGCTGTCTATGGTCCTGAAATTACTTTATGGATATAATATGGAGCTGTCTGTATGAAATTACATTAACATTTGCTGTTATAGATGATGATAGATGATACACCAACTGTCATTGTATATTGAGAAAAATAGTCAACTTACTTTCAATGTTGTCCATTCAAGTGTACATGCACTGAAGAATTATATTAAATAAAATTCACCACAAATCCATTTTATCTCTTTGTTTTTGGTTCTTTTTTTGTCAATTAGATGTGACCTAGCTCAGGCAGGCAGCAACTATGATTGTTTGGTCAAGGGCTTCATATAAGCAACTGAAATTATAGACATGAAAAAATGCTAAAGACAACAGTGGACAGTATGCAATAGTATAATCCTAAATGTACCTGTTGGTTTGTGTTGTGTTTGGAGTTTATGAGTTTGCTTGAAATGTACAAGCTTTTTGTGAAATATTTGTCTTTCCAGTTTTCTAAGACGACTAATAAAGTTGTAGTAATTGCTATGCTTTTTTATATACTAGATCACGTTTTGATTTACCAACCAAATCTGGGGACATTCAAGGACTGAAAGGCAGTCCCACAATTTGTACAGTGCTATTAAAACAGAAGAAGGCATTTTGTTGTAACAAATGTATACGCCTAATTATCTTACAACATATAAAATAAAAACGTAACATATAGCTACCGGTTGGAGTAGTTGTTTTCTATCATTTCTATTAGCAAGCAAATATGAACGTTGAAAAACACCGCAAAAAATCTTGTGTTGTGTGGTCACGGTGGTGCGTGAGGCACACGCCATCTGCCAGTCCTCCTCTGTCTGAGCCATAGACTCTGGTCTGAACCCACCATAGCCCCATTCACTCATTAGAGCAGACACGCGCCCGACTGTTGCCGCCCTCAGACCTGTCACACTCAATCTGTGGAGTCCCAAACTCCATATATGTAACGTGTCACATTACAAAAGTGTACCTTATTGTAGAAATTCATTTTTTTTTTCTAGGCCTAGCAAAATAACGCCATTGAAAACTTTTTAGCACCATCCCACATTAGCCCACATTTAGTCCTGTGCTGTACTCAATGTCTAATCATTAGCCTATTAGATTAGTATTCTCAGTGGGTTAAAATAAAACTGAGAGTTTGTTGTAAAGTTTTTATTTTTGTGCAGAAAAATAAACTTCATTTGACCATGTAATGCAAGGAAAGTAGAATATGGCAGTAGGCCTATAAAATACAATGTATGGGCAAAGCTTTCCGTTTGGACAATAGCTGCATATTATTTGATCATTGTATTATATAAAACATTGGTTTTCTATTAAATAAGACACATTGGTGCTATAATAAATTGTGGAGTCTCAAACTCCTTCTGGAAACATAAAACATAAGAGCCAGAGTATAAAATAGGCAACGTCTTTAGGCAGGAGGCAAAGAACAAATGCACAATATAGACAAACTATTTACAAAAGTAGTGTACAAAACATCTACGTATAAATCTTTTTGATACAAAAATATGTTAATATATCTCAAAAAGAAAGAAAGAAAGAAACCGCTTATATACTATATAAATTCGTTACTTGGAAGCATTCTTGTGGAGAGAGGTGTGATACGAGGATGTGATTGGTTTAGCATAGAACAGTTACACGTTAAATAATTGTGTTCTGCAGAAGAGCGCACTTTGGGGGTTTGTCAAAGTCTGTCGTGGAAAATATTGCAGAGTCCCATGTTGTCACGGCTCGAGATCCATAAATCCTTTGGCGCTGATCTCTGGCCTGGTCCTCATGTCAAGCCTTTTGCTGGGAGGTCAAAGCATAAATACAGTGCATCTTGTTGTCCAGGACTGCAGGCATTCCCATGCCATCCAATGGCGCACTGCAGCAATGACATCTAGACTTATTATTAGTCTTTATTTCTAACAATAATTGACACAAACTGGCAAATTTCAGTGTGTCATCTGTACCTTGACTGAATTGACTCAGGCGCTCAAAACCAGTTTGTGAAGTCCAGAAGTTCTTGCTCCTCTGGGCTCAGTGGGTCGTAGGAACCCTCATCTGACGAGTAGGAAGACACGGGTGAACCGGCCATAGAGTTCATATCAGCAGAGTATCCTTGTGACATTGTGGGAGACATCACTCCAGCTTGGAAAGCTGCGCTCACTGCGTCATGTTCATCCAGGAGCTGCTGTAGCGCACGAATGTATTCCACCGCAGACCTGAGCGTCTCCACTTTACTCATCTTCTTATTGGCCGCACCGTTGGGCACATGCTCACGCAGTGTGGCAAACCCGTTGTTCACCAGTTTGACCCGGTTGCGCTCCCGCTCGTTCCTGCGCGCAACTGCGTGCGGCTGCTGCTGTGGAAGCGTGTAGCCAAAACCCGCGAAATTCAGTCTCCTTTTACAGCGCAGCAACTCAGGAGAGGATGAGCGCTGCCTTTTGGACTGCTTTGATGCTGACTTGGCGCTGCCCTGGGTGCTGTCGGTGGGGCTTAGCGGGATGCTTTGTGCTGTTGTTGAAATAAAACACACAGGCGGCATCAGCTGTTGCTGGCTCTTGTTAAGTTCCATCTTGGCAGAAAACTCCATTCCTCACGACCACTTAGTAATGCCAAGTCTCTGGGCGGTGCGTCTCGCTCGTGCCTTTCACGTGGTGATCTCTTGACGTAGGCTAGGTTGTTTTTAGTGGGTTGTACTCTGGCCTGCTCCCTCGCGCGCTCCTCAACGCTTCTCTGGGACCCCACAGAAGACGCCACTGCTTTTCAATCGGTCTGGCCTGTCCGTTAGCCACGCCTTCTGGTCGCGTGGATTCACCTAGGGCTCCTGCTGCTCTGTGGTGCGCACGACGGACGCGTGCCACTGAGAGCACTAAACAAACAGTCGCTGCTAACTTTTTCCATTTGTAACCATGTATACAGATGTTGGCTAATAACATTATTTTATTATTATTCTTTACAAATGGCACATTAAGACATTAATTGGCTACTAAATTATATATGACTCCATCTTTTCCAACATCAGTGTTTAATTGGCTTACCTTATTCGTAAATAATTGAATTTTTGAGTTCATATCTTGTTCTTTTCATTTAAAAAAATGAAACTTTAATAGTATGAATTGGCCTAAATTACAGTGTTACACAAAAGCAAAAGTTTAACTCTTTCAGCATTTTGAAAATATTATGTTACACATCACCCTACTCAATCTTGATGGACTGTATTGTGTGCGTAAATCTAAAAGTGCTGCCTTGTGCTGTTGTTCTGTAGCCCATCACAAAGTTTTTCATTTAAGCCTTGAAGCGTTGAGCAACAGGGCAGAATTTTACACTTTGGTAAGAACAGATCATGAGCCTCGCACAGGCGGAACGGAGGGGCCAGAATCTATTTGGGCAGGCTTTGTACATGATTTGATACGCCCGATATGGTTACAGTAGCGTCGACGCTGCCCATTATTGTTCCGATGAAAAGTGCACCATTTAAAAGAAGTCTTTCAACATAGTGCAAAATCCGAATCCAGTCTCTCTTTGTGTTGCGTACAGGTGTGTGCGCATGGAAACTACACATAAACGCAACACGCGTTGATTTTATTGGCAACTGAACTAGGCTATAGTGGTGTAGAAAATGCAATGCATACGGCCCCACCCTTCTCCTCCCCAAACAGAAGAGTGGAATTGTAGCCTAATAAATTGCGTAGCCTATTTTTTCGGAGTTGGCAGAACCATTCATATTAAACGTGCATAGAACAAGCCCCCCAAACACTTTTTTCTTCCTCCTCCGCTCTCTCTTTGCTCTGTCTTTGGCCCCCAGCAAGAGTTTTAAAAAAGAAGTGTGGGTTCTATTCAGCGCTCTTTGCAGCCTTTGCCATCGTAAGGCTTTTCTGAAACCTATCCTGCCCTGCAGTGTGCTCCCAGAGTCCAATTAGTGTTTTGTGAGCGGACTTCACTCTGGTGCGCTCCTCTAGAGGCGAAAGGGCGCTCTTCACGTGAGGGGCTTTCCAGTCTTAGCCCAGGCGTAGTGTAATAATTAATGGCAAATGGGTGCAGGTTTGTGTTTTATTTTTCTGGCATTAAATAGGCTGCCCGTAACTTATTTAGTTAATCAACATAGCTGTAGCTATATAGTTCAAACAAATGCTAACTATAGGCATCAAGTTTATTAGTGAAAGGAGCAAGGGGGAGGCTTAATAACACATTTAAATTTAAATTGTAAAGGGAGGCAGGTTTCTGCCATGGATCGTAGATTGTACCTGCATAAAAGAAGTTAAAGACTGCCCTCTAGTGGCTCAAAAGGATACTGTCTTTCACATACACCCCCCACCCTCACCCTGACCCCCCTTCAAAAAAAAAAAAAAGTGACTGTTTTGTCACATTTATCACAGTTTTGCATAGGTTTTGCGCTATGTTTTATCACTGATTAGTGTAAAAAAAAAACTTGATACCATGACATTTTGTACAATTTTAGGACAACGATCATTGAGCTTCCGTACAATTGGTCACGTGTCTTTGTTTACAAGGAAGTGTTTTTTCTCAGCAAAATCGTAAAATACAAATGTCATTGTCTATTTTTTTACATTTTCACCGAAAGAATTTAATTGAATGCCCTGGTTTTATATAATGATGTGTACTGTGGTTTGATTTATTTTTGTATTTTATTGTTGTCTAGCTATCGCTCATTGCATTGGGACCATCAGTTGAAACGAAATGAGGTCCCTCAACTACGTTCAAAGAGTTAGTTTGGATTTTACAGGGACTCTTTTCCCTCATGCCATATGCCTCGGGGATGCAGACAACGATTCGGTGAGAATCCCTAAGTGGAATTTTACACAAAACGATGAGTAAACCTGTGTTTGTCTATAATTTATTGTAGTTAAATGAGCTGATTGTTGGAGACACAAGTGGCAAACTGCTTGTGTACAAATATGATGACTCCAAACCTTTTATCACAAGGAGCTGTGTGGGAATGGTGAGTTTTTGTAATTTTTTAAAAATCTAAGGTAGTAGTATATGCCTGCGTATATAAAGAAAACGCATTTTGACATCTTGTTCCTCCAGCTCACATGTGTTGCAGTAGGAGATGTATGCAACAAGGGTAAGGTACGTTTAAACACACTAAACTTATAATTATGTAAGGAAAATCTTGTCCCACGAGTTTTTGTTTTCCAGAACTTTGTGGTGGCTGTGGGTGCAGAGGGCTGGTTCCACCTCTTTGACCTGACCGCAACTTGCAAAGTAGATTCAGCAAGTCAACATGAACAAATATTTTCTGATGACCAAAGGCCCCTGTTCACTCAACACATACCTGCCAACACCAAAGTTATTCTTATTAGTGACATAGGTATACTGTATTACATTTAGGGCAATGCACATGCCCTGTTCATTGTCACATAAATTCTGCTCTTCTTGGTGGTAGATGGTGATGGTCGCTGTGAACTGGTGGTGGGATACACAGACAGAGTGGTGCGAGCTTTTCGATGGGAAGAGCCCTCTGATGCTTCAGACATAGGGAATGGACAACTTATTCTTCTTAAAAAATGGCTTCTTGAAGGGCAGGTATGTTAAAACAGGAATTATTTTCCAGAAAAGTAAATCAGTGAAAATAGACCCTTTCTTGTTACAGGTGGATAGTCTGTCGGTAAATCCTGGTCCTGAGGGGTTACCAGAGCTCATGGTCTCTCAGCCGGGGTGTGGTTATGCTATTCTGCTTTGTTCCTGGACACAACAGGACTCGTCAGGCTCTGGAGATGAGACTCCAACCACTCCTGGAAGGTTCTCTAATATAGTGGCCATGAATTGTGTTAACATTCAAAAGTGATAGCCAAACCATTTTGTTCACAGTGAGGGACCTTCTCGAGATGTAATTTTGCACCTGACCACTGGAAGAATTCATAATAAAAATGTGTCCACTCACCTCATCGGTAACATAAGCAAGGGTAACATTATGCCTGACCCATTTGTTTAATACTTTGACACAACATAATTTCAATTAGTCCTCTTACATTGTCCAAATTGTCTATTTTCCTACAGGTTCAAAAGAAGAATCATCCAAATGTGGACTATTTGCTCTCTGTACATTAGATGGTAAGTGCTCCAGAGCATGCACATTCAGCTTTTTAATTCTCATCAGATTAACAAAGATGATTACAAATTAACCCATCTTACCTTGCTTTTTGAAGGTAAATATTGATTTGTTTTGTATTTTGTGTACAAACACTAAACTGTCAGCCCAAACATCTCCTCATCCTCCCGACAGGAAAAGTGCAGCTTGAGTGTCTATCAATATTTAAAGGAGACTGCCACAGAAAGCTTCAAGTTTACAACATTTAGACTAGAATTTCCATGTTACTCAGACCTGAAACAAAAGTGTATATACAAACAAAAAAGGCATACTTAAATTAAATACATTTATAAATATAGGACTTATATTGGACGTGATTTATAAACGAGCCCCTTAAGCATTAAACATCCCTTAAAAGTAAAAGTGGCAGCAAGGAATGAAGATATAGAAATAATACTTTTAACTCTGTTGCGTGTGTTTCTTCTGTTTTTGTTTTCTACTGTTTGTAGTTTACAGTTTACAACAGCATGTTCATTGATTTGCGTTCATAGGAACTCTGAAACTGATGGATAGCTCAGAGCAATTGTTGTGGTCAGTCCAGGTTGACCATCAGCTATTTGCCCTGCAGAAGTTGGATGTCACTGTAAGTTTTTGTACATTATGTAGAAAGTTAATATTCTAGGATATTGGTGAAAACACAATTAATTTGTGCTTTATGCCTTCTTCTCTCCAGGGCGACGGCAGAGAAGAAGTTGTGGCTTGTGCTTGGGATGGTCAAACCTACATTATTGATCATAATCGGACAGTGGTGCGGTTCCAGTTTGATGAGAACGTCAATGCCTTTTGTGCAGGTAAAATACAAACATTTTTATCATCAAATACTGACCAGTAGGAGGCAACATTGAGCTTGTGGCTAGTTATCTGCTTCTGTCAGTCTTTTTTTTCAAAGATATCAAATCTGCTCTCATCTCAGTGCAGTGCATTTGAACAAACTGCACTTCCCTCATGCTCTGAGCTATACATGCATATTTGCAAAATCCTTGTACAATTGTTCTGTGCATTTCAAATCCCACTTAAGTCCATGCCTAGATTAGAGTGTGGGGGACAATGAGCTCAATTGAAGGCTACATTAGTACATTATTTCTCCTAATATTGTTATGTTTGTCCTCTGCAGGTCAGTACACATGCAAGGAGGGTAAAAACAGCCCCTGTTTAGTTTACGTCAGCTTCAGTCATAAAATCTACATTTACTGGAAAGTTGAACTGGAGCGAATGGAGTCCACTAATCTCCTGCGTGTCCTGGAAGAGAAACCGGAGTTCAAAAGTCACCTCAAGGCTCTGGGAGTTGGTGAGTGAAGTTTACTTTAATGCGACTTATTATGTGTCTCTGTGTGACTTTTCTTTGTTATTGACTGGATCAGTCAAAGTTATTTCCACTAGTACCAGTTTCTGTTCTGTTTATTATGTAATATGCTAAATGCACAAATCTAGATGCACAAAATGTATGAATAAATTCTAAAAGACTGAATTGAACAAATATAATAAACTGAATCAAATCATCCCAACTAATAAACAGGTGATAGGTACTAGTTTATTGTACTCCATAAGCATAGGTTAACCAGACAGACAGTGAATTCATATTCTGCACTGTTTGTCATTTGATGGATTAAACAGATTACATGCTACATTATTCTTTGAAAATAACATTTCTGCCAACTAAGGCATTCTTAACAGAGTCAGTAATTTGGTTAATCATGCACACAATTGTTATTTATTTCCTGCTTAACATCCTGTGTCCATTTGTTGAACAGTAATTTGCTGATGAACTTTAAATATCTAAATAAATGGAGATTATAAATTAAAGTGAGTTTAAATTGCAAAGGTAACTTGGAGTCAGTAAGTCTTCAATTAAAAACCTGGTAAAAAAAAAAAAAAAGGTTAATTTTGAAACACAGTGAGGCTGAGATTGCAGGTTAATTTTAAGTGGATTTAACTGATCCCATGGTGGCAGTGTGCCGCTTCCTGTCACATTTATTAATAATTCATGAACCAAACCTGTGTGGGTTTTTTTTATGAAGATTTCGCAGCCTCGTTACCTAACCCACAATGGAAAAATTGTTTGAAGAAGCAATCTATAGGGAAAAATAGAAGTAGGGCATATAGAGGGGGCGGGAGATGGAGGAGAACTGAGGACAAGAAGGCTGGGAAAGTGTCAGATGTATGTAGTATATCGGTGTTTTTAAAGAAAGTTTCCATATGATATAAACCAGCATTAATTTTGCTATTTGATATGTGTAACAGACTTCAATACTATAAGACTGTATTAATGGTGCACTGTGTAATATTTCTGGTGGAGGGTGCACAGCTTGCCTGTCTCTGTGGAAATGTTATTGCATTTCTATCATGTCAGATCTGTGAAGAGACAAGCCCACTCACAATAATAATGTTTTATTTTTTAGCAATGAAAATAAAATCAATTTTAAGATAGACAAATTTTGTGCTATACTGGAACATTCCAGGCAAAGCAATAATGGACACAAGAAGGTCCTCCACTAGAACCGTTACACAGTGCACCTTTTACTAAGTCAAAATGTATAACTACAAAGGGTGCACATGCTTTCTGTGTGAGCTGTGTCACCATGTCCTCACAGAAATGTCATCAGGAGGCTTTATCCCCTCCCTACTGCTCTGCTGTCCAGACTAAAAGGGTCAGTATGGGGAGTATGGCATTGCTCCATCACAGCGTGGGAATGGCTTCTCCATAGAGACGTTTCTTTTTTTTGTGATCACATTTTTTATCAAGTATGATGAGTTGGTGTCATTTGCAGTTATACAGGTTACAGTTTGATTAGAATTTTCCACCTTTTAAACCCCACACCTCCCACATATTTTCCCTGAAACTTCATTTTGATGGGCATATACAAAATAAGAGAAGAAGAAAAAAGAGAAAAAAATATATGTCAGTATGTCTAAAAATCATCAAACTTGTTACATTTACTTAATCTATACTGAAGTGAAATCTACATGGCTTTTAAGTATACCACCAAAATATAACCTGTGAGGTATTTTTAAATTGCATTAGTTAAATTGTCCCATTACATAACCAATAAGATGTCCTGACATTCTCATTTAAAACTGTATAATTATTAATTGTATGTCTTGTACCCACAGATTCTGAGGACTCGGCAGCAGTCAAAGCTCTGGTGGCAGATCTTCTCTACAAGAATGCACAGGTGTAGGAGTTCAGACTCAACCTACGTATACAAAAGATTGTGAGAGTAACTACTACTCTTAGAAAAACTTTATTTTTATATGAATATGTATTTATAAGAATCCCATTGATATTTGAGGCTACAAACTGCAGGATTAAATTACAAAGTTATGTGAGTCCATTGCAATGCCATTGAACATGGTCCTTTGTGGTTTTGGAGCTAATAAAATTGTTGTGTGAAATCTCAACTGCTTTGATCACTACTCCACCCAAGCCTGACCATCACAGACCTTATAGAGAAAATGTTAACTCACTGGTTTTCAAATGTGTGAATGTGAACAGAGAGATTATTATTCTGTCAGTCAGCTTTGACAGAAGAGCTGCCTATTTGCACATCTTTTCATCTTGTGTATCAAATAGGCTTTCTCAGCTGAATTAAGGTTATGAGGCAAAACAGATATTACATCCGCCGCATTTGTTGCATAATAGGATTTGCATAGCAGCAAGACAGCAGTATTGTTTTTAGCAGAGCAGCAAAGTGCCTGCAGGGCGTGCTTGGCTTTATTGAGGGAATCACCCACTGTTTCCAACTGGAGGATTCAATAACTCCCTCTCCTTTTCTCATGAAATATTAATGTTTGTGTACACCTGAGGATAAACACAGGCCAAGGGCACTGCTCCTCTCTAAAACTGCCCTGTAGAGGTATGCCTAACCACGATTTAAGTTGAGGCTTATGTGCTGTGAATATCTGTCAGAGCAACTAGGAAATAATTAGTAATAGCTGCTCCTTGAGGTCTTACAAAAAATTGGGCATAATTACTTTATAAAATCCACTGCAGTTCAACAAGAGGTTTCTAGAAGCTATTATCCTACTATACTGATCCTACCACTCATCTCCATTTGTAAGATTTATTCCAGAAAACATTGGTTGTTTTCCCTCTTTAGTGGAGTGGAGCATTCCTGCTCACTTCAGTTACATGTTCATGACCTTTAATGGTGAGGCTGTGGTTGCTTTTATTAGTAATCTCACCTGCTCCATCTGGATTTCAAAATGTTATAAAATGAGTTTTTTTCATGGAGCCCTACTTCTTTAATTTATATTTAGAGGCAATTCAGTAAGCTTCCTGTTTAGTTTAGTAATGGCTGTCTCTATGCTGAATTTTAGGGGAACTTTTGTATAACCTATTTTGTCGCTGTTTACTCCCTAAGTTGGTACTATTTCTGTCACAGAAATTCTCATAGAAAAATCCCCTTTTTTAGAAACAGCTTGGCCATGATGCCATTGGGGAAAACATGCCTTGGGAGCCACATTATTTGTTTAAGAACCACTCTACAGGAAAAAAAAAAACTTATATTAATAATTCATATATTTTGTTCTTCTTATTTAGTAAACTTTGATAGAAAATATTTCTTAACAGACATAAATTACTGCTTTGAGGACACCAACCATGCCAGTCAGTGAAAGGCACCCACGCTCCTTTTTGACAGCATGCAACCAGACAGTCTTCTTCCATAAAATGCATCATCCTTAATACAGATATTTTAGCACCATGATATTATTAAATACCTTTATTGATTTGACACCTGGCTTGTATTGTTGATCTGGTGAAATTAAAAACTGCCCTTGTGAGCTAAATCTGGACTCAAAGCCCTCGAGTCCATACAAGGCTTGCTGTTTCTTTCCAATTTTAACTGGCAGGTCAAATCCGGCAGTAGCTGTCAGATCTCCTCTGTGTGAATACATACAGCTGTGGGCACTGAGACAATCTGCCTTCAGCGTCTGTGACAGAGCACCAGATCATCCACAAATTAGGCGACCAGATGATGGGGTCATAATAAACTAAATGGTTTACAATGGAAAGACATGCCGATGTGTAATGCATATGGTTATTATTTTATTTTTAGCATAATGACTCATTTTATGCAAGGAATTACTGTATGTCATGAGCTGAGAGAAACAAAGTTTTTTGCATCAGGTGCCCTTCTAGTACCTAATATTTACAGTCAGAACTGAACATCTGCTTTCTTGCCACTGGGCAATTCAGTTTACCTTCTGAGATACTGGCTGTGGTTACATACACACTGAAAATCTGATTATTATTAGATTTATGGAGTTATAAGACTGTTAAAACAACATTTAAACAGCAAAATCAACTGATTTTGATTAAAAAAATAAGTGTCTGTATGTCTATATGAGGCTATACATGGGTATACATTTCAGTTATACGTTTCTTTCTGATCACATCCTCACATTTTGTGGTTTATGTGTTATTGTTATTATTATTATATCATCTTTAAGGTCCAGAAATCAGATTATATAATCAGATTTTGATGTGCATGTCACTGCAGCCACTGTTGTTATAAACCATGTTGCCATGCAAACGTTATTTGTCTATTTATCTTCATGGAAATGAGCGGATGGTGCCAAAGGTTAGATATATGTATTTTTTAGTTTTAGTTTTAAGCCAAATCATGGAACATTCCATTCAAAGCGAAAACATTTCCATGGAACATTCCTAGAAAAGTTACACAGTGCATCTTTTGTTATTTTTAAATAGACAAGCATGATTACGAACTGTAGTTTAATGTAATAGATTTAAAATGAGGGACTAATGAGGTTAAGCAATCTGTCATCTGCTGCTTCTCTGTACAATATATTTGCATTTGTAAGAGATAAAAGCATGACAGTGAGATTGTTCTACTTAATTTCTCTGCTTGTGCTGTTGCTTGTGTTTTGTGCAGAGCAAAAACAGACTGATGCACAGCTTGATCCCTGACTCCAAAAGGGGAAGAATCTGCATGAGTCTTCAGTAGCTGCTGGTGGAAAGATGAATTCCATTCTTTTCAATTGCAAAAATTGTCCAAATTCTTAGGGGTTTTACCCTTAGCTATATACCACCTCAACTTCATTGACACGTTGACAATATTATAGTAACACCTAATTAAATTAACATAGTATATACTGTTTTTTCTGATTAATAAACTGCATTAAATTAATTATGTTTTGCATTCTGTGCTATCTTATTATTTGTTGATCAAATATTGAGGATGTTGTCATGGTGTTATACAGTTACATAACAAAAGCATCCCAAAGGGGGGCTCATCAATATTCTCCTAACACTGTTAAAGGCTTAAGGGTCATTCCCACTGAGTTAGTATGAGTTACTATGCAGTGTGCATAGTCTGTCTGGTGCTTGTATCAACAACAGCTGCTATCTATCTATATCTATATATCTATATATCTATATATCTATATATATATCTATATATATATATATATATATATATAATATATATATATATATATATATATATATATATATATATATATATATATATATAATATATATATATATAATATGTGTTTCTCACCTTCCACGGTGGTAGGTCTCTCTCACCCTCATTCAGCTCGGGTCCTCTACCAGAGGCCTGGGAGCTTGAGAGTTCTGCGCAGTATCTTTGCTGTTCCCAGTACTGCACTTTTCTGGACTGAGATGTCCATTGTTTTTCCCGGTATCTGTTGAAGCCACTCTTCCAGTTTGGGGGTTACAGCCCCGAGTGCTCCGATCACCACAGGCACCACTGATGCCTTTACTTTCCAGGCTCTCTCCAGCTCTTCCTTGAGCCCCTGATATTTCTCTTGCTTCTCGTGTTCCTTTTTCCTGATATTACCATCGCTTGGTATTGCGATGTCCACCACCACGGCTCTGCTCTGTTTCTTATCCACCACCACTATGTCTGGTTGGTTCGCCATCACCATTCTGTCAGTCTGTATCTGGAAGTTCCGCAGGATCTTGGCTCGGTCATTCTCCACAACCTTTGGAGGTGTTTCCCACCTTGATCCTGGGGTTTCCAGCCCGTACTCTGCACAGATGTTTCTGTACACTATGCCTGCCACTTGGTTATGTCGCTCCATGTATGCTTTCCCTGCCAGCATCTTACACCCTGCAGTTATGTGCTGGACTGTCTCAGGAGCCTCTTTGCACAGTCTACACCGTGGGTCTTGTCTGGTGTGGTAGATCTGGGCCTCTATTGCTCGAGTGCCCAGGGCCTGCTCCTGAGCAGCCAGGATCAGTGCCTCTGTGCTGTCCTTCAGACCAGCCCTCTCAAGCCATTGGTAGGATTTCTTGATATCAGCCACTTCAGTTATGCTCCGGTGGTACGCCCCATGTAGGGGTTTGTCCTGCCATGATGGTCCCTCCAGCACCTCTTCCTCTGGACCCCATTGTCTGAGACATTCTCTGAGCACCTCATCTGCCGGGGCCTTGTCCTTGATGTACTCAAGGAGCTTGGATGTTTCATCCTGGACAGTGGTTCCCACACTCACTAGTCCTCGGCCCCCTTCCTTCCGGCCTGCGTACAGTCTCAGGGTGCTGGATTTGGGATGGAACCCTCCATGTATGGTCAGGAGCTTTCGTGTCTTAACATCTGTGGTCTGTATCTCCTCCTTTGGCCAGCTTACAATCCCTGCAGGGTATCTGATCACTGGCAGGGCGTAGCTGTTGATTGCCTGCACCTTGTTCTTGCCATTGAGCTGGCTTCTAAGGACTTGCCTCACTCTTTGCAGGTATTTGGCCGTAGCCGCTTTCCTTGTTGCCTCTTCAAGGTTGCCATTTGCTTGTGGGATACCAAGGTACTTGTAACTGTCCTCAACGTCTGCTATTGTTCCCTCTGGGAGTGACACCCCCTCTGTGTGGACTACCTTCCCTCTCTTTGTCACCATCCTGCTACATTTCTCAAGCCCGAATGACATCCCAATGTCTGTACTGTAGATCCTTGTGGTGTGGATCAGTGAGTCGATGTCTCGCTCACTCTTAGCATACAGCTTGATGTCATCCATGTAGAGGAGGTGACTGATGGTGGCCCCGTTTCTGAGTCGGTATCCATAGCCAGTGCGGTCGATTATTTGGCTGAGGGGGTTCAGGCCTATGCAGAACAGTAGTGGGGACAGTGAGTCTCCTTGGTATATGCCACATTTGATGGACACATGTGCAAGTGGCTTCCCCTTGGCTTCAAGGGTGGTTTTCCACAACCGCATCGAGTTTCGCAATGAACGCCCTTAGAGTCCTGTTGATATTGTACAGCTTCAAGCACTCAGTGATCCATGTGTGTGGCATTGAGTCATAGGCTTTCTTGTAATCAATCCAGGCAGTGCACAGGTTGGTCTTACGGGTTCTGCAGTCGCGGGCGACTGTTCGGTCAACCAGGAGTTGGTGTTTGGCTCCCCTGGTGTTTTTGCCGATACCCTTCTGTGCTGCACTCATGTATTGATTCATGTGCCCACTTATCTTAGCCGCAATGATGCCTGACATGAGCTTTCATGTTGTGGAGAGACAGGTTATTGGCCGATAGTTGGATGGGACTGCACCCTTTTTTGAGGGATCCTTTAGGATCAGGATCGTACGCCCTTGGGTTAACCATTCAGGGTGAGTCCCATCCCTTAGCAGCTGGTTCATTTGTGCTGCCAGGCGCTCGTGGAGGGCAGTGAGCTTCTTTAGCCAGTACGCATGGATCATGTCAGGGCCCGGTGCGGTCCAGTTTTTCATACCTGAGACTCTTCCCTGAATGTCTGCCACTGTGATGGTGACTGGATTCTGTTCAGGGAGGTTGCTGTGGTCTTTTCTCAGATCCACCAGCCACTGTGCATCGGTGTTATGTGATGCCTCCCTTTTCCATATGCCTTTCCAGTACCTCTCAGTCTCCAGCCTTGGTGGGTCTGCTCTGGTGTTATTACCCTGCCACTGAGCGTACACTTTCGCCGGTTGTGTTGCGAACAGCCGGTTTATTCGTCTGGCCTCGTTATCTCGTGTGTACCTCTTTAGGCGGCTGGCCAAGGCTTGGAGCCTTTGTTTGGCAGTTTCGAGTGCTTCAGGTATGGGCAATCTGGTTGTACCTCTTGGGTATATATATATATATATATATATATATATATATATATATATATATATATATATATATATATATATATATATATATATATATACATACACACACAGCTGCTATCTATATCTATATCTATATCTATATCTATATATCTATATATATATATATATATATATATATATATGGCTACTATATTGGATAATATTTTATAATATAATGTTTTTATGCTTTCATTTAAAGGCACACTGTGTAATTTTGTGTTCATGACAGTAAACATAGACATCTAGCATTTATTCATTACAGGTGTTTCTATTGATCAAAAATATAATAACTTCTTCTGTGAACATGGGTGACTCTCCACAGATCTTAACTGTAACGTAGCATAGTGCTGTAACCTGCTTGTCTTCCTCTTGATAGATAAGTGTGATAACTGGAAGATAGCAGGTAGCGGGCCTTAAAAACGTTACACACTGTACCTTTAAGTTACTGGCGATTTTAAACTTACAAATATCAATGTAGCAATGCTATCAGTGTGAGGGGTTTGATATTAACATTAAGAAAAATCATCTGGTTAGTAGTAGTTGTATTGGGATATTGTGGCATATTGCCAGATGTTTGGCAGTGCATACCCCTGCTGTATTCAACACTTGTATCCCTTGTATCTGTAAATTATAAAAAGTAAAATCTTTCCATTCCCTAATCATACACAGTGTTTTTCAACAGATAAAAATCTTTTACTTCAAGGCTAGTGAGTATTCTTTCTTAACACACCTCAAAAATATTTCATGATAAAACTGGCATTTAACCACACTGACTGCCTGAAGTTGATGGCAAAAGAACACTATCTTCACAGCTTTGAATATCTTGTATGTGAGTTGTTGCTTATGAGAAAACTGAACACTTTTACCTGAGTTAAACACGTAAAGTAACAGTAACTACACCTTTAGAAAGTGAAAAGAAAAGACTCATATTTATAACAGGATGTGGTGTGCAAAGCCTCCAGACAAGTAAGGGCGAGCACCTCAACTGTCTTGGTTGTGACAGATTTCCTGAGAATAATAGTGCACATGGTTTCTCACACACTTTCCCTAACAGCTCTAAATGCAGTTTGACTTTCTAGGTGCCTACTGCCCCATCATTTCAAAGAGGTAAAGCCAGTTAAATGCAATTGCATTTGAATTTGCATACCAACACTTTTTCGATATTATATTTATATTTTCTCATTGTATTTTCTTGTCTCATAACAACATGTTTTAACAACTGCTAACGTGCCTCAATATCCTGGAACTAGTAGTCTAAGGGGCTATCAAGTCCTCCCATATCCAGGTTGCTGTTAAATTGGATTTTATTTGAGAAGTAATCAAATCTGTAGGATTTACATGTCTTTTTTGCTAAGTCCAAGTAAACAGTCAGTTGAAATAAGTACATAACAGACAGGCTAGACAGAATACATTTTTAATATAGGCAAAGAAAATACTGTATAGAGGAACAGAAACACCAAAAATAAATTTCTGTTATAGACTGTTTCCTTTCTCACGTATAAGGTCGCCACATTAACAATGAAACAAAGGTTATGCAAATCTATAAGGATGACCCTTGTAATATCATATGATTTCTGTAGCACACACAGATGTAAAGAGCATGATTTGGGATAACCTCAGTGCAGTAGTGAGGCAGGAAAAATAGTACTGCAGTGTCTGTGTATCACTTATAATGAACAATGTGGTAAAGGTCATATAACAATGAAAAACAAAGTGCATATTATTCATTAGAAACCTCCATCATAGCCAATAAGATTTGGCACAGAGAGGAGTCTTTGTTCAATTAAAAATAAAGTTCTCAGCTGGTCAGCTACATCAGAACCCAAAAATACAATACACTGTGAAACCATTTGTGAAACATACACACCACAAAAATGGTGTATTTATCAAATTTAAGGGTCCAGATTATACCTATTCAACTCTTTACAGTGAACATTGTGGTGTTGCTTGTTGCAACTTTGCACCCTACACCATCCATGAATGACTCATGTTGGAAAGAAAGTAAAATTGTTAGTTCAAAATGTGATGCACAGGGTAAGACCAGCTGAGAATTACAACTGTGAAACAAGGCAGTAGATTAATGTTTGGCAGTTTGCCAGTGTTGAACACAAACTGTAATAAGGCAAAACAAAAGGTATTTTCCTCTATAGACAAAGGGTAGTTACAGATCATCTTCTTGATTGATGGAGAGTTTGAATTATTATATAACACATAAAATTTAATAGAACAATGATTAACTTAGACGTAATGATCAGTCAAGTAAAGTATAAATTAACGTAGGCCTATTGCAATTGTCTTGGGTTTCAAAAAATGTACATGGAAAGCTCTTTCAAATTAACGTCAGCAACTTCCTCTTACAGAACAAAAACTTCAAAAACAGCACTTCTTACAGTCTGTTAACATTCACACTGGTACACAAGCATGCAGATCTGTACAATGGCAGAACTCCACAAAGTCATGCAGGTGGAATGTTGCATTTGCTTAAAAAATAAAAGGTTTGGATAAAACACATTTAGACTACGAATTTAGTCAGTTGTCCAAAGCGACAGTGTGCTCACGAGGAACTGGGATCTTTGAGGACCAGAGAAAGGCCTTGATAAAGCAACAAATGCATCATCTGATTTGAATTGTTACTCGAGGTAGCCTTATACGCACTTACAAGTTTTCATAAAGCTTCATTGGAACGCTGTAAACGGTACCCTGAGGACCAACAGGAACATTTTAATCGAGGAAAAATGCTTATTTCATACAATAAAACTTAGAAGTAAAAGAAGCTTTCCAAATTAATCAGCTTTACATTTATTAATTACTAGTTTCTTTAGAGGTGCACTACTTCATGTTTCTGGTGGAGGGCCCACCATCTCCTTGTCTCTATGAAGAGCTGTAAAACATACATTACAGGCAAAGCAATAATGTCAGGAAATAAGCAGGTGGTAAGCCCACTACCTGAAAAATTACATAGTGCATCTTTAAATTCTGAAATGCTCAGAGTGAGAGTTAGTTACTTTCATTGGTTACAGTAATGAAGATTATTCCAATAATAAAGACCAGTTTTAGACTCAAAAGTATTGCCCATAGCCTTTTGTTTGATTTTCTGTTGATATTTTATTGTTGTTTTTTAAAACAAAAACTGTAGTGAGTTGTACCAACACAGTAATGTAAACTCAACAGAAAGGCTATCACAACATTTTGGCAATAAGATGTCCTCCATCACATGACTGAGTGGTGAGGAAACAGCGGTCAGCAGTGTCCGGAGAGGCTCACAGGTTTTTATTGGAGTCGTGTTGGCACTGAGCGTCAGTGGAGGGGTCCAGGAAGGGCAGCTCATCACTGCAGCCCCCCAACTTCAACACCAGACTGTTCAGGTCCAAGCAGCACTGGGACACACATTATCACCACAGGTTAATTAAACAGTGATCCAATGTACTTTTACAATCTTTTTAAATAAGCTAAATTAACTTGTGAGCTTAATGCATACAGTCTCTATATAGGTTAATATATTTGGCAAGAAAAAAGGACTTCAAAGAAAGTGCAAAGAATCTTATTCAAGTTTTAATAAAATCGAGATATAATTTTTAATAATTGCCATGCTAGTTTTTTCTACAGCCAGTCCTCAGTCAGACTGATATGGGTTGGACCAGAGTGCACACTAGTTAAATAAATTAGATCATTAGGTCAGTTCCATGATAATAGTGTGGAAGTGGAAAGCATTACTTTGTTGCTTAAAGGTGCATTGTGTAACTTTTCTGGGTCCATCAAATTCTTTTCTCCATGGAGATGTTATTACTTTGTCTGGAATGTTTCACAGTATGGTCTTAAATCTTTCTATCTTCATGGAGACCAAACTAGACCAAGTCACAAGTCAGATCTGCGGAGAGGCAATCCCACTCACAGTCAGAATGCCTGTTTTTCTAGGTATTCTTGGGCTACAAAACCAGTTACAATTCAACAAATGTAAGGTAGAGCTGTTTAGTGTCATACTGACATCTCCACAGAAACAAGCAGGTGACAAACCCCCAACCAAAAAGTTACATAGCGCACCTTTAAGCTGAGGTTTATTTAAAAGGTGTGTTTTGTCTTTGTTTATGAATCTTATAATTAAAAGTTATCTTAGCTTAGCTTTTAGAAAGAAACCATAAAATCAAATTGAATAAAATCAAGATTGTTCAGTATGAAGGAAAAAAAGAGTCTTCTTTTACCATTTCATGCATAGATGTCACTGGCTGGACCCAGTGCAGTTTATGTTTGGTGCATGTGGAAAGGTTGTTTTTCTAAGGCAAACATTTGAAGGGCCACTCAACAAATTTTAAACTCATGACTCAGACTCAACAGATTTCCAAGGAGATACCGACCATATGGATCGAGTGATAGTCTAAAATAAGCAAGCACACACCCGATTGACAAATATAATATTCATGGGAGTGGAATAGCTTTTGCTCAAACTGTTTTCTCTTCACTTTCCATTTTGACTGCTCGCTACAACCAAACTGCAATGAAAAAAAGCAGCTCTTGAATGGAATATATTATATTTTAATGTATGAATTGCTTTGTCCAAGTAATTTCCCTTGAGGATCAATAAAGTTAGTCTAAGTCACATTCAAATTTTGTGCTGCTTATTTAAATTAGTGTAACCTGTAAAGATGCATTTGCCATACATTATTTTAAAGTATTAACATTAATTTGGATCATATTTATTATATTAAGTTTGGGTACATTATATTTACTTTTCTTGCTACTTAATATAGGTTCCTATTTTTGTTGCAGTACAGCTCATTTGGTCAGCGCACACTAGAGGAAAAGAGAGAACTTGTACAGGAGTGAAGCTGAATTAAGATGAACTGAAGACTATCCTGCTGTGTGGGTCTATTATAGCAAGGAACACAGCAGAAAATAGATCATATATAAACCAAACTGTAACACGCCATACCCACAGCCTCAATTGACTGGTGAGAACAATATCATATGGTTACATTTACACTAATTGTGAAAGAATGGAAAAATTGGAAGGAATATGATTAATATGTATTTGCATTTTAATGAGGACCTACTTTAAGTTCCATAAGAGTCTGAAGACCAAGGCACAGCTCAAACGTCTCATCGTCTGGAAGTACAAAGCACAAAACACCGCCATTATATGTATGACCAATTCAGAACAGCCAACCATTATTTACAAACAAGAGTCATCAGTTCCTTCACATGAATATTATCTTATGAAATTAACGTAAATTAAATTTTTATAGACATGGTGTTTACCTTCTACATAGGCTGAACACTGGAGCATCTTGGAGCCCATCTGTAGCCTCAGACCTGTGACTGAACTGCTCACACCACACGGGGAGCCATCTTTAGTGGGCACCAGTCTGGGAAACGAGACCAAACTGTGATCACTAGTTTTACATTTATTTGAGAATCTTTAGTAAGATACAGTGACAGAGTTTGTTAAGTGCTTAAAGACAGCTTTGTGGGTGTCAGTGCCGTCTGACAGTATGCACACTATCTGAAGGGTCCATGAGCTGGAGCTTACCCGAGTCTCTGGCAGCAAGAGCTGGAGATGTGGTTGTGTTGGCTGCCAGTGTTGATAGACACTCTGACGTCAGCCTCACAGCACTGTGGGGAAGACAGAAGGGGATTTTGGAGTCACTGTGTTTTTACACTTCAGTCTGGCACCAAGGCAGGCAAGGAAACAATTAGTCACAAGCACACATTACTCCAGCACCAGGGGGTCTTTATTGGATAGATCTCTCAGGGATAAAGTGGCTTTTGGTTTTCTCTAAATAAACACCTCAAACTTGCCAAGAAAATCTAAGACGGCTGGAGATCAATTTTTCAGAAGCCCAAATCTCATTATCCACACATAAATGTATATTTTTTATTACATTGAATTTAAACTAGTTCACCATCTGTCCATTTAATGACTTAACAGTTAATCATTGTAAGGAAATTAGTCATTTTGTGGATGTATAATACTGTTTTTGCTGACTTTTATACGTAAAGTTACACACTTGGTTTAACACAAATGATTATTAACGCACAGGCTGTGTCAAAAAAATAAAAATGCAAGCAAAGCAAATAGTGTTAAGAATTCACAAAATTGTGTTTATCTATCTATCTAGCTATCTCTCTCTCTCTCTCTCTCTCTCTCTCTCTCTCTCTCTCTCTCTCTCTCTATATATATATATATATATATATATATATTATACATATCTCAGAAGACGGAGTAGGTCAGTGGGGACAGTTCTGATATGGTTAATCTCTTTGTACCCTTCATGTTACTTCTCTTTTCCCTTTTATCTAAAATCTATCAGCAGGTGCAATAGCATTCTCACTTGTTCTAGTTCAGCATATGTGAGAACATTTCCTGTTGTAGTGTAACAGAGGACCTGCTGAATCCACAAAATCCGTGGACAACTCAGATGAGCTATATTCCATATACAGTGCCTAGAGCATTACATTAACTATCTCTATTTTGACTATAGTAGCCATGGGTGGTACAGGATGTTTCAAGCAATCCACCTTATTCTGCACAGCAAAGTAAAGTTAGTATCAAATATCAAATTAAAACCTTAATATATCTAATCATGACATCAAATACTGTAATGATAATTTTATTGTATATGTATACTTTTTAGTTGAATGCAGCCCTAAGCCTAAATAAACCTGCCCAACATACATTACGCTGCCTATAGCTAACACCATCCACTACTCCTAGTGGTCAGTCTTCACTATATTTGGTGGGAGTACCAGGCAGATTCAACCAATCAGTCAAGTGTAAGCTCTCAGAAGAAGCCCGTAGTTGAAAAAAAAAATCACTTTAGTCCCTACCTTACATTGAACCTGTAGGTTAGATAGTGCATGTTTCTCCACTGTTTGTCTGGCCCCAGCTTCACTGCAGTCGTCTTCTTCATCTGAGCGCAGACTCTTCTCGCTCTCCTCCAAAGACTCCCGCTCTTCGGTCGAGTCGTCAGCGGTGCTCTCACTGCGCTCCTCTGCGTCCGTGGTGGGTTTGTCATTGGTGTCAGCTAGAGGGGAACGGACCCTGGTATTGGGATCCCGAGCCTCCCCCTTGAGCCTTGTGATGTTCCCCTCCAGTAAGCGCCGCTGGACGATGCTATGAGGTTGCTAAAAACAGAACAAATTTGTGATTGGAATGGTCAGATGTAATGTAAAATAAAAATGGATGAAAGCCTATAGCTCTCAGCAGGAGGTTTTTGGCTTCAGAGTTTGTTAGATTCAAAGTTGTCAAAGTAGACAAATAGACAGTGAGTTATCTTACAATTTTGGTGCATATTTGGTTCACATATTCACAAATTACAACACATTTGTTTGTGAAATGTTAGAAATTAACTAACTCAAAGCATATTTGTGTTTATATGTTTAAATTACTCCCTGTCTATAATTTAGTTTTAGGATTGAAGAGTAGGCAGGTGGCCAAACTTTTATGACCACTTGTATATCGTAGTTTCCCATTCCATACAAACCTCTGGTGGTCTCTTCCAATACACTCATGGAAAGAACTTTGGTTCAGTTGTTGCTGTTGTAAAATGCTATACAAATAACATTTGACCGATTGATTGATTGAATAAGTGGCTGTGGTCAGTGGCTATATTAGGCAGCCTGTTTTTCTGTATCACATTGCAGATCAATGTTGAAACAGGGGCCTGAGATACAACAATACAAACTGACAACAGTTTATAGCATATAATATCCCTTAGGATGCATGCATTCATATGCATAAGAGCATGCATAAGAGAACAAAACAATTATAGGCATAACAGATGGAGAGTCAACAGTGCCATGCTCCCGAAATGATTGTCACTTTCCAATGTGCCAATTTTACTTAGATGAAAATGTAAAAACCCAAAAAGATGAGTCTGAAATAATGAACACTTCAATATTCAGTTCTCTCAGCAGGCTTCAAAGATCTACGCATAAAAATATAAAAAGCAAGTCCTTTATCTCTGGGGCCTAGGGTAATAATTCAATGTGATTTTATCTATGTTTGGCATGAAAATCACAGACATATATTTTTATGTTGAAATGGTACAGCTCACAGGCTCCTGCCCACCTCTCTCAGTCTGCCAAACAAACTCCTTTTATAGAAGTAATCACATGTGTCAGATGAAGATCATCCGTTCCTCTTTAGGCTGCAGCTGTGGATGAGCTAAAGATCCCTTCATCTCATCTTCTGCCTTTGCCGATGCAGGTAATTTTCTATGTGCACCTATTGTCTTGTCTAAACGCTGAGACATAAGGAACAAGTTACCCCTTCATGTCACATGTTACATTTAAGCATCTCAGTGTTTTAAATGAATACCAACTGTATTAGATTTGCTGTGTTTCTACTGGTTAATTAAATCAATGGCCCATGAGAGAATAAATATAAACGTGTGTTGTGGTTCGAAACCTGTGACTATGATGGGATTACCGGTTACCCACAGAAATCAGTATCTGCATTTTGTCTGAACAGTGGTGACAGTGACAGCATTTTTTTTTTTTTACCTGCAGAATCAAAATTTATGTGCTCTGTCAATTTCTATCATTTTCTCCCCCTATCTTGACCCTCACATTATTATTTTACAGTGCAATTATTGATTTACACAACCTCTTCAGTTAGACATTTGACCCTTTACTCTCTCTTTAATTTGACTAACTGTCACCTAAAACTGTGATGCCTTTATTGTTGTTGTTCAGGTCATGGATTTTAATTACATTACATGCTCATTTGCCTGCAGCACAGAATTTAATGTAATAGAGTATTTCATCTTTATCAGATTTTGTCTTGTGATATCTGTTTCTATTTTTGCAGAATCAACATGTTTACCCCATAATCAAAGTATATAATGTCTTTTATTTTGTTATGTGTCATAGTTATGGCTTTTGTAACTATGTGGACACGAATTATAACAAGATTTAAATTGATCTCTAAGGTAAATAGGACTGGGTAGTAAGCTCTTTCTTTCAGTGCATGTTTACAGAATATTCAAGCCTGCTACTTTAAGAATAAAACTATTATTTCTATATCCTGGTTGGGTGACATATGCCAACCGTGACATTTACCATTTACAATTTCAATTTCAGATCTGTAATTTTGAAAGAATTTTTGTGAATGTTACTGATCTATTAGAAAAGGTTTCTAGATGCAAAATGTGCACTGATTTATTATTACCCACCACATTAACAGAGAGTGGCATTGATTTCATAACAGTGCTTTTTATTCTTACATTTGTTGAGCGCTTTTATGCAGCTCTTTGCACACATAATGTGGCTGACTATCTTCTCCAGCACTGATTTTACTCATAGGTGTCCTGTTGTGACCAAACCAGTTTGAACCAGTCTTTACCCATGGGTTTCAGAATCATGGAAAGTTAGAACCATACCTTAGCATAGCATAATGTATCTTTTGGAAGTTGAATAGCTAGTGAAACAGAAAATACATTGCATAGCATTGATGCACTATATCCTTGTGGTCTGTGATTCTACTCTGTGCACCAGATTAGCTGCTAATTACCATGTGGACTGATTATCTGACTGTACCAGACGCTTCTCCCTCATTCTGGTTGTGTGATCCATCTAATGCCCTCTTTCATTGTTGTGGGCGTCCCCTGTAACACCATGACTTCCTGTTACATCGAGAGTCTACTCTAAAGCATCACAAGTTTGTCATTTCCTCAATTCTGCATCTTTCATATTTGCTCTTTCACATAATGAGACCCCAATACTCCAACAGCTGTGTACCTCTACCTTGCTGTGCAGTGTGCTCCTCTCTGTTGTTCAGCTTGTTTAGTCATTTGTGTTTGAGGGTGTATTTTTAGCCCTGTGCACTCCTCCACAATGAGGCAGGAGCAGCTGAGGCAGCATGGTGCCTCCCAACCCATCTCCCCGCTGACATGAAGCCAGGCGGGTTCAAGCAAAGCACCTCCAACTACAACTAATTTACCCCCCAGCAAATAATACACTTCAACATGAACTTCAATTTGCTCTGGATAGTTTGGTAGAAGGCAGGAAGGAGATGCATGATGCTGAGTGGCTGTAAAGTGCCTTTTAGAGTTCATTTTTAAATGGTTGAGTTCTTATAGTCAAGATTGTTCTGGCTGATTTGATTGTAATATGCTCTTCATTAATCAGATTTCTCTAAACGAGCTATTTAATAATTTCTCAATTGCAATAGATGACCTAGGACTGATATTTCTAGCTCCCCTATCAGCTCCATATATGCAAATAGTTCATTTATTAAATTCTCCTCAATAGCTCTTCCATCACTGCTTTTACTTTTAAAGGATTCCCAAATGAAATAACATTTATGTAGCCTCTGGTATAAATGATCAGACAGCTAAATATGAAGTTTGTCAGAAATATTGGCTATTACAAGAAAGTAATGTTAGAAGTGACTGTATTATTTTTACACTCTTACATAAGAATCTGTTTTCAGATTCCAGAATGTGAAGATGCTACACCTGCAGATGTAGGAAAGGGACTGTTTTTAGGATAAATTTTGTTGTAATCAACACAACTAACATTCAAAAAGCTTTAAAGACAATGTTTGTAGCATGAGGTCAAAAATTTTCCTGTATCGCTTATCATTATTGTTTGTCCCATCTCCTTTGGCCCATAGAGTACTGTGATGTCATCTGAATTACAATAGTTTATGTGCCTATCACGTGTGCCCTGCCTCCTCGTTTTTTTTCCAGCACTGAATCCTAGTCTGTGCCCTTTTCATGTTCATTGCTCCTCACACATCAGGCCTGTGCTGTTTCTGCTGCTGAGCCACAAAGGACCTCAGGCTAAAGTGCAGCAAAACAAATTAGGTCTTACATAACAATCTCTACTGCTCTTACACACTGGTCTGTGTTTGATGGTACTACAGCTTGGTATAAAAATGTCACAATAACACTCTCTGTTTTCTATGTTTCTTGTAACATATTTTACCATTTTTAGACCTTATTTTGATGGAAGAATTTTGTATCTTCAGTCATTGCATGTGCTTTATATAAAATGTTAAATATTTAAAAAATGGATTTTAAGAAAGCCAAAAGTAATGTCATAATAAATGTGTGTATGTCATAAAGGTGAACAATGTCACATTTCTGGCAGAGGATCCATGACCTGCTTGTCTCTAAGGAGGTGTTATTACTTGACCTGCAATGTTCCAGAGTATGGCTTTAATATTGTACCTTAACTACTAGGTGCAAAAATAAATAATGTGGAAGCAGAATGATTATCTGTATTGTACTGTCTTATTGGCCATCTTTCCAGTGCCAGTATAAAATAATATCTCATATCATAGAAGCATGATATGAATGTAAAATAACTGTGGGTATATATATATATATATATATATATATATATATATATATATATATATATATATATATATATATACTGCTGCTGCCAGGTGCATGAACTGTACTGTAAAGGAGGTAAAGGAGGTAACTCTAATTTGCTATCTTGATAAATGATTATCTCAGTGACCTATTGTTGTTTTTATTTATCATGTATGTAACAGTGGAGCATATCTATCTACATGGGATGGGTAGATGCAAAATAGCACACCACTCCTAATGCCTTGTGACAGATAGACTGCACAGAAGTGTGTCAGGAGGAGGGCTGGCATAAATCAGCACAGGGAGTTCCACCTTCACACACAACAGTTTCAGGTTAAGAGGAGGCAGAAATGGATGTGATGTTCCACTTTATATTCAGGCTGCCTCCTCCACAGAACCAGCTCCAATGTATGAATGTGAGATGACATTTGTGTCTGTTTGAGTGAGGGGATGTGCCCAGTGTACTCTATGAGACTTCAAGAGACATCATCCACTGCATACAGGTCTCTGAATATGATATGCTCTTCTAACAATATAATTACTCAAGTAGACTGAATCAATCTTCATATTTGTCCTCTGGCTCAATAATTGTAATTTAAAAGCACACGTAACATAGCACATTGTTGTTGTTTTCACGTATGAACGTTTTTATTAATCTTAACAATAATATCTAATGCAATAATCAATTAATTAGTAAGCAATCGTTTACACTCACCAAGTCCTTAGACGTCCCCAGTCGCTTGAGCCCATCCAGTGGCAGGAGGTCAGCTGAATCCTTGTGTGTGAACTGGGTAGCTTGTTTGAGTCTCCTTTGCTGGTGCAGAATAGCTTTATCACGAATGGCCAGCTCGCCTTTCTTTGACTCACTCATGATTTTAGCAGCAGGTTTTCCACTGCCAAGCAAAGAGTATACAACCTCTTCAGTAGTGGCAGACGCTCAAGTCAAGTGCAACTAAACACTGATGGTAGATCCTCTTAGCACAAATCCCTCGCTTTACCTCCTCTTGAATGTAGCTGCAGGCTTTTTCTTTGTGCAAAAATGTCCTTTAAGACGTTGGAGAGGTGTTGTCCTCTGCTGTTGTTCCTCTTATGAAGACAAGCATCTTCCACATAATCTCAAGAATGTATTGTGACAGTGGCTGGTGAGGCTGTGGGGTTGCTGTACTAATGGAGCGTGTTTCCCCTCCCCTCGGTGCAGTGCTGTCTGTCCTTTTCTCGTTCCCTCTCTCTATCTCACGCACACACCATGAGCTAGGTACAAAATATGTACTGTGCCAAATTTGCCATAAAGTACGTTGACGTATTGTAAGAAAAATAACAGGTGTGACGACCCATTTTAGACCTGCCATATATGTGCAAATAACAACAAACTGCATTGATCTCATATTGGAGCCTGTAGTGTAGCAAGCAGCCTCATTCTGTATGCTTTAGACCTTAATCTCATAACACTTTTCTTCTTAATTCTTTGAGCAGAGATCGATTTAACAACGTCATTGGGGAGGTGTGACAAAACACACTGTGATCTGACCCTCACACTCTCAGATTGATCTGGAATATTGATAGCCAGAATTGATTTCTTCATTCCCGGTATAAATTAAAGAAGTACTCCTGACTGCTCATCTGCCACGACACAACCACAGAAACCATAAATACTGGAGGAGAATTGTGCATGACCTCTGCTATAACACGTGTAGGCTAGATAAATGTGACGGTGTAGCCTATGGCACGTGCACCACTGCCAGTGCCTTTAGTTATTATATTGTGCTATATGTGACATAGCAATAAAATATATACATTCGGATTATTTAAAGGCGTTTTATAAGGAGTCATTGTGAAGGTGAAATCACGCCACATAAAAACTCCCAACATTTAGGGAGAGTGTGTGCTGCCCTCTACTGTCCTCTGTATTAAAAGTAAAACGATCAGACCTGAATTAGAAAATAATAATAATAATAATAATAATAGATGCAAATAATTGACATAAATAAAAAATTATTATAACTACATCAAATATTATCGCATGTATTGTATATCATGAGATTGGTTTATTATTTTTATAACACTTTTATTATGTAGAGCCTGGGACAGCGTAGACAGTAACTGCCTTTATCATAATTTGGCAAAGGAAACTTTGCTCCTACATATAGGCCTCGCAGAATTGATTGAATTCTGCTCTGGATTGTAAAGGGGAAAAAATGGTATGGCAATTGGCCATGAAAAATCCATACCATCCATATCTGAGAATGTGTTAATAAGAGTTTTGAAGGATAAACAAATGCAAGTTTAAACTAATTATTTTATTAGAGGTAATAATGTGTTATGATGTTATGATGTTTTGTTTTTTTTGTACTAACATCAACACAAAAATGGATAATTCTCTTAATTTATGAACACATAAAATACACTTCAGGAATTCTGCATTTGAAAATAGCAAATAAATCTATATTTGAAAAGCTGAAATGGTATTTCATAGCCCATTATGACAACAGTCAGCAAGTACAATACAATCTTCAACATGTTGCAAAAAATAAGGTTTAGTGAAAAGGAATGTGTTCAAAATAAAACACAACAATAAACTAAAAAAGTGTCGGTTTAAATGTATAGTATTCAATACTTCTTGCACGCTCCCTTAAATAACAAAGATAATACAGGAATACATATGACATCTGAGTGATTTTTAGCTGAAAATGTTTTTTCATGCATTTTATTCTAGTGAAAAAGGAAAAAGGCACATATGCATAAAAGTGCTGCTCAGAGAAAGGAGAAATGGGGACATAAATGTTCCCAGGTTCCCTCTGGATTCTTTTCATGAAGTGAAAAGATTTTTTTCCTATGATTAAGCATTGCAAATCCAAAGCCAAATATATTATCGGCTAAATACATGCTCATGTAACACTCAATTTACTCTAAAGACAAAAAAAGACAACAAAATAAGGTAAATCATGGCCCATATAGATGCAAATATGTGTAGTTAATTAGGCTGTTCACTTAGTGTGCTACTTTGCAAGTGAGAACAATGTGCAGAGAAGAAGGTAGAGGACAGGATGAGCCAGGATAAGATTTCTGGATTTTGTGATCAATATTTTTATACATTGCAAATAACAGAATAAAAGTTGCATAGATTGAATCTTATCTGAAAATCACAATTCATTGGGCAGATAGAGAGAGCAGAGCAACATGTTCTGTCCTAAAGCTGGAAACTTTCTGAAAGCCTCCCAGGCATCAGAGAAGATATTGTACTTTAGAAAGACGCGGTACTCTAAAGTTGTGGGCAGGCTGACGTCACGACTTATGATGTAGATACCGTCTAGTGTGCATGACAGGTTCAAACCAGATTTAGATGTGTTCTCCTTCAGCTGGAGCCATTCTCCCGTGGTGACATTGTAGGACTGCACTGTCAGCACATCCTCTGTCTCACTGGGCCGTCTCCGCCTTGGTACCATCTCATGAGTGTAACCACCCACCAGGTAAATGGTGTCCTCCACTGATAGCATCTGCTGCTTACGAATATGTGCAGAACAAGAACGAAACACTGTCCATTTGTCAGAGCTGGGGCAGTACTGCAAGACATTAGTGTTTCTATCTATTGTAAATAAAAGACAAAAAGCATCCCATCAGTGGAGTGACTAGAAGCAGTAGGGACTAGAAGTTGTCTGTTGAAGATAGCAGTACAGTAACATGAAAAAGTAAACTAAGATTCAAAGTTGTTGACAATTTACACTTACCTTTGGAGGTATATCCACCCATAACATATATCATGCCCTGGCATTCACAGGCAGAAAACTCAGCCAGTGGGTTAGGCATTGAAGATACAAACGTCCACCAGTCCTGTTCAGGGCTGTAACACTCTACTGTGCTTAGGCACTGACCACCAACAGCATAAAGTTTTCCTTGAACTGCTAAAAGCTTGAAATTTGACCTAAAGAAAGACAAGAACTATTAGAAACAAACACCACCTACAAAAATGCAAAGTTACTTTTACCTCTTTTGATTCAGTGGAGCAACCTGGTTCCACTCATTCCTAAAGGGATTGTAGCAATGCACCACAGAGATCTCTTGGCTCCTGTATCCCCCTGCAATGAACAGGTAGTTGTCCAGGACAGCAGAGCCGTACCCTCGGACATTGATCATATCTGATGGCAGGTTGTTTGACAGTGGCTTCCATTTCTGCTCCACTTCTTCATACCTCAGCATAGACCAGGGCTCCTCCTGAATGGGCACTTCTATAGACAAACAGGTGAAGTATCCAATGACCACCAAAGTAGCTGTGCCTTTCATGCGCATCTCCTTGACCTGCTCTCTGACGTCCACAGGCAGACAGCTAAACTCAGGTCGCCTGAGCATGGGGTGATAATAACAGGTCATGTACTTGAGACATCCAATGCGCAAATCATGAGCCCCGTACACCTCTGAGAGACTGTACAACTTCACACAGTTCTCCAGCCGGAGCTCAGATGTTAGCTGTTTCAGGATCGGGATAACCTGCAGAAATGTGGCCGTTTCAATCAAGTCTTCCAGAGTCTCGTTAACAATCTGCACTTTGGAGGTGTTTATAAACTCCATCACCATCTCCAGTCCACTGACACTCAGCCCCTGCAACTGGACCGAGTTCTCCTTGGACTCTCTCATACCGGAGCTGTACAAAGCTCTGAAATAGTCACTCTTTTCAATTAGCTGTTTCTTGTTTACCTCGTAGATTTTGTCATCCATGACAATGACCACACTCTGGTCCGATGTCATGTTGATCTAATTCGCTAATTTGGTGAAGACTTGATGCTCTGTACCAGCGTACAAATGACTCACCGTTTACATTTTTCCATGGGAGTTTACAGCCTATCTATATATGGTAATGACAACTTTGCTTGAATGAAGAAGCTAAAGCTACCCAGCAGTTGACAGTAAAGGTAGCCTATCAAACTGCATGAACGAATCATTCTTCCACATTGCCTCCTTTAAAACATGCTGCTCTATGAACAGATAAGTAGCACTAAGTATAAAACTAATCATTTTATTGCCCACAGCATTTGTAATCCTTAGCGATCCCGTACTGCTGACAACTTTTGATTTCGCTTATGATGTCATTTCCGTGTTTGAATTTCGTTGTGTATTTTTTGTATAACCGCAGTGACGTCGCCCCCTACTGACGATGGAGTGGAAGTGTTTATCTTTAGACGAATGTGTTGAGATTTTTTTCATGGCTAGTATGGGTAGTATACTAAGAGGAATATTGTTCGCTATCTAATGTGATGCCAATTTAAAACTCGCACGTCTAAATACCCTGCAAATCGATCAACCATTTTTACTTGGCTAAAATGCATAGACTAAAAAAAAAATAGGCTGTTGCGCAATATACAATTTAATTGCAAATGACAAACGTTTTTAGACTATCCGTTTTTCAGTGTCATCAGGACCGGAAGCGCCTTGCATATGGCTTGACGCGCTGTGGGTGGAGAGCATGGATCTATTAGAGAGAGCGCAGGCCGACGTATCATGACAGTTTTTAAATCAGCACTTTGCACTAGGTCTAGTTGATGCTTTTAGCTCCAGTGCACGGACATTTGCCTTTTTGTAATTCGAGGTGAGAATGCCGGAGCAGGCGAGGGCCACCTGGTCCTCCTGTTTTCTTCTCTACATCAGCGCTCATGTTGTAGCGTCCGCGCACAGAGACCTGCGGGCTTGTGAAGAGGTGAGCGCGCTCTGCTGTTTATCGTCAGCTTCATCGCTACCAAATGCATTTTGCATAGCCTGAAGCTGTAAAAAAGAAAAGGCTGCTAAAGTAAACAAACCAGTTTGCATACTGGCAACAATGTTGATCAGTTAATGGCTCTGTTAATTTTGCCTATAGCCTATTGACGTGCGACCGATAGTGAATTTAGCCTATCCCTACACCGCGCTCCATCTTTTACTTGCTCAGCCGTCGTTTAAAGAGATCGTTTCCTCATTGTGCTTATCGGCTTAAATTTAGGTTTTGATGACTGTCAGTACTTTTTTGCTGTCGTATTGTCTGTGGTCTACGCTGCCTTTTATCTCCACAACAATAATATCCCATGACTATAAATAAATGAATATACAGACCTAAAGGGTGTCTCAGTAGGCATACATAGATGACATATCTGTATTCAGTTTTAATCATACAGGCCTATGCCTGTTTGTTGAAGACACATCCTCTTGTGTTATTTAGGCGTATAGATTTATCCAGGCTTTGGGCTGAAGCAAAAAACACACATTTATGATGTTTCATATGTCTGAATTTTGTCTTCCCACTTGTAGTCCTCTGTGAAATGTCTTTTAGCCCATAACTCCTGCTGCGGGGAGCCCAGCTCAGACCCTCTCCTTCTGCTCATCAGTCTCCATGACAACCGGAGCATGTCACAGGGGAGACCAGCACAGAGGATTAGCCTCTGTCTTTTTTATCAGTATCACCTTTTCCCAGCTGTCAATGCAGTTGCCAGCCCTAGACTATTGCCCATGTCTTAGCAAACACACAGGCAGGTGAACCTCAGTTACACATAAATGAGGTTGTTTAAAAGCTAGCTCACGCCTTGTGTTTTCATGAAGGAGAGAGAGACACATAAATAGCAATGTTTGTTGCTGCACAGTGGTGATTAGCCACATAGAGGACGGGCTTATCTACAGCACATATGTGACCACTTATGACTAAAGGTCTTTCTTGTAACAAATCTCAGGTCAATTTAGCTGAGTTTTGTTTAATTGAGGGTCATTAAATTTATCTGATCTGCTGTGGCCACCTGTCACTGCTTGTACTGCCCGAGACTCAGGGAGGACATTGAAGACAGTTGACCAGTTGAAGTTGCTTTGATTTTGCAACTTTTTGTTTACTCTCTTGCTACTGTACGGTGCTGTATCAATAACAATTTCCTTGCAATGAAACAAATAAATAGTTTTCTTATGTTATCCAAATTTGATTAACATCACGATTGTATTCTTTTGGAAACATCAGTAATATTATACTTCATATGCAGGACAAATTACACAATGGTAATAAAGTCTTTGTAAAGTAACAGTGGTTCTGGTGCTCTGCTGCACTAATAGGCCATTAGCAGTCGTTGCCTTGGCACTCAGGGTCACCAGTCCACCATTTGCTGCAAATACATTATCTCTTTTGTGCAACCTGTATTTGTTTTTATGTGTTTTTATGCTGGCCTGCACTGGGCATGCATCATGTGTGTTCAGCTGTTTCTATAGTAACATATTTGTAAACATAAATCCTTCCTTTGTAACCTAATGGTTTATTGATGTTTTATTGACATGTGTGCAGGCAGACTACGTTTATCAGTACACAGAATGTGACAGCACTGGCTCACGATGGAGAGTGGCCATCCCCCTTAGACCGGGCTCCTGCTCAGACCTGCCACCTCCAACCAGAGGAACAGACTGCTGTCAGTCTTTTACTATAAATGTTTGGGTTATTATTGCTTATGTGTGTTGCTCACTGATTTCCTGTTGCCACAGCATTCTCATGCCAGGCTGGCATGTATCTGGAGATGTCCACACAGCAGTGCACACCATGTGCTGCTGGCTCATACTCACTCGGTAGTGGACTTCGGTTTGACCAGTGGGATGCCATTCCTGCAGGTTTCACCAGCATGGCTAGCTTCCTAGATACAAGTCCCTCCGGAGAGGACATTCAAACCTGTAACAGGTGACAATCACAACAGCATACTGAAGGCAATAATAATGTGTTTTACTATCTAATGGGGAAATCATATCACATGAAAGCTATTTGAATATGTATTTCTGGTTTTGTTTTTATGTAGCTCATCCTGGATGCCACAGGGTGTGTATCTGGAATCAAATCGGGATGAGTGTACAGTGTCTCTGGTTTATGCTGTCCACTTAGAAAAACAAGGCTCTGTCTCATTCACATACCAGTACCCAGACAACAACATATTCTTTGAGTTTTACGTAAGTTTTTTTTTTTTTTTTTTTTGTGATGAGTTTTGTAGTATTATATACACCCTCATTCAAGTTGCTGTAATAATCATTGAATTATTCATCTATAGTTATTTAATCAAATGCAGAAATGTTAGGGTATGCTTTTTTATCTAGGTGCAGAATGAGCAATGTCAGGAAATGGCTCAGAACGATGACCAGAAGTGGATTAAAGTCACAAGCAATGGAGAATGGGGCACACACACAGTGAGTGTACACATAACAGTGTTATGGGTGGGTCTGTGTCATAGACTGTTTAAAGAAGTGGGCTAAGGAAGTGTGACACAACCCATTACATTCGGCTTCAGTCAAATAAAGCTCATCAATGCTGGAAGTTATAGGAGCAAATTTGGAGCCAACTTCTATATTTGGAATAGGAACTGATTTATGGACGAAAGAGCAAAATAAAAACACCAGGATCACGTAAAGCAGGTTAATATGAACGTTTTAGTGATGTTTTGTGATATTTTTTAAATACAGATTAAATTGGAGACAAAGGAGCAGGAAACGCACTCATGTTCACTTCTTATTTGGAACACAGTAGCTATCAGGCCAGCTATGTCCATTTCTATATACAGTCTATACAGCCACTATAGTATTGATGCACTCGGAATTTATATTTCATATTTGTTCTGTCGTATTTTCAGGTGAATTTGAAAACAGGTACAAACATCCTTTACTGGAGAACAACTGGGATATTAGTTGGAGGAAAAAGAGTAAAGCCTGTTCTGCTTAAAAACATCCAAATAGAAGGCAAGGTTTAGCTTAACAAACTTTACAGCTTTAAGTTATGATGGCATACTGATTGTCTTTGTATATTATTTCAGGAGTGGCCTACACATCTGAGTGTTTCCCGTGTCGACCTGGATGGTTCAATGAAGCCCCGGGCTCCTCATCGTGTCAGCCTTGTCCCAGTAACACCTACTCCATGAAGGGATCCTCCTCCTGTACCCCGTGCCATGAAAATTATTACTCACGTATGAACTCATAAACTGTATAAATTATATTCAGTTATTTCATGATGAATTAATCACTAATTTATGTAGGCCTGTCTGTATTTGTATCTCTAGATGAAGGATGGGCAAAATGTAGAGTGAGGCCACCATGCTCAGAGAAGGACTTCTTTCAGATTCATACAGCATGTGACAGTGAAGGAAAGGTATTTTTTCTTTTTTTCTTTTTTTACAAACAATAGCTATTAGATTTAGCATCCGCATAGTAAAACAACTGTTAAATTGGTCACATTTATGCATATAGACACAAGTGCTATATCGTTGGGTGGAGCCAAAAATTTGTATTGAGAACACTACTGGGGCAGTAAAGCTTCCAACCACAGGTCAACGTGAGCCTTGTCCTCCATGCAATCCAGGCTACTACAATAGCAATGACTCCACCTGTCTGCCCTGCCCACCGGGGTCCCACTCTGATGGCACTTACGGTGAACTGCTTTTTTGGTTTCTAACACAAAAATAATCTGACTCAAACATTTCATGTTTGTTAAAACATTTGTCTATGATAGTGTGCAAAAAGTGCCCTGCAGGTACAGAGCCAGTCCTGGGCTATGAGTATAAATGGTGGAATGTGCTGCCGCCCAACATGAAGACGTCCTGCTTCAATGTAGGGAACTCTAATTGTGATGACATGAACGGTGAGTGCCACGTGTGTTTTAAAAACTATTCAAATATAAATTCTACATAAAAAGAGTAACTGCTATAGTTATAGTTACTTGGACCCTTACATCACTTTAAAAAACTAGAAAAGCACTCAGAGAGCGCAGACCTCCGCCAAGGACTACCCCCATTTTTTATATAAATTGCGATAAAATCAGTCTTCTAGATCAGATCCAGATCAGCCGTTGAAATATGAAAGAGGATCACATTGTCCATCCCTGGACCCCATTTCATGGGGTTTGTTCAATAATTAACCGATATACTGAGAAACAAAATTTTTGGCCCCATTTACCACAATGTTAACTAAAATTTAAAAGTGATTCAGAATCCAGGATTTCTTCCAGATCACCCCCAAAATGAAATCAGTTCTTCCTTTTCACATTTCCAACAAATCCTGAAAATTTCATCAAAATCGGTCCATAACTTTTTGAGTTATGTTGCTAACAGACAAACAAACAAACAAACAGACAAACGCCGGCAAAAACATAACCTCCTTGGCGGAGGTAAATATAATAATTTTATGTTGGGCCATTTGGGCCATTTTACAGTGGAGCATAGTATTATCCATATTGACATATTATATATTATATTGACAGAAATAAGAACAACAATAAAAAATAATTGCCCAAAAAGGAGTGGGAAAAAGCAAACTTATTTAATCCTACCTCCTCTTCTGATTTAACATAATGAGTTTTCTTTTGTATTCTACAGACAATTTACATAAGATCAGAGTATGATAACCATTTCGAGTTTGGAGCCCATTCAAATATCTTAAATTTATTATATTACATTATTTGTGCAGCTCTCAAGATTGTGGCCAGCAACTATGGTTAAGATTCACTGGTACATTTGCTCTGTTTTACCATTACTTAGATGTTTGTTTCAGGTTAAAGTATACTTAAGATCTGCATGGCTGATTTTTATTTATTTTTTATGCAAGAAGGGTAAAAAAAAAAATTATGATTACAAAAAGGAAAAAACATCTATATCAATGATAATCTGAATCTGTACTACTTTTATCAATTGTTTTCATTTTGGAAGAAGTAAACATAAATAAAAACATTCAATATGCCAATAGAAAAAAAAAAAAATTGTGATCAAGCTGTTCTCCTGGCTTATTTTAGGATGGGAAGTAGCAGGAGACCACATTCGCAGTGGAGCAGGAAGTTCTGATAATGACTATCTAATACTCAGTTTGCATGTGCCCGGCTTTAAGTAAGTTCCTTCGCTTGTTGTTTAGTATAACCAAAGAATTAAGACTCATAAAACATTTGTTTGGTCAACACATTATTCAAATCTTATTTTTACAGGGTCCCAGCATCGCTTTCAGGGATGACTGGAGGCGAGTTTGGCCAGATAACTTTTGAGTTTGAAACCCTTTGCACAGCTGACTGTGAGCTTTACTTCATGATGGTGTGTTCCTTGATCTATACTTTGTATTCCATGTAATATATTTTGGTAAATAACATCACAAGCTTAATCCTGCCTTAGGATGTTAACCGTAAAAGCACCACAGTGGTGGAGTCTTGGGAGGGCAGTAAAGTGAGGCAGACCTATTCACATGCCATGACCAAAAATGCTTCAGTTACATACACTTGGGCATTCCAGAGGACCAACCATGCTCAAGATGTGCGTATCCAAAAGTCTACTTTATTTTATTTAATCTAGTTGCTGCTACACTGCTCCAATGTAACTGTATCGCTTCTGTGCAGATGCGTCTCTATGTGGGTGATATGGTGAAGCTTTACTCCATCAGTGTGACCAATGTCCTGGATGGAGTAGCATCAGCATGCCGAGCCTGCGCCCTCATTCCCCATAACTCCCTTCAGGCTGGGTCTTCCTGTGTGCCTTGTCCTGCTGGGTATTACATTGACAGAGACACAAACCGATGCCTGGAGTGTCCACTCAACACTTATTTAGCAGGACGTCACACCTATGGCCAGGACACCTGCGTTGCTTGTGGCCCTGGAAGTATGAGCAATAAGGTAATATAATAATAGTGCAAATGCACACATAAGTTGTCATTTTTTTCTTTATCTAATTTTTATTTTTATTTTTAGGAACATTCTCTTTGCTTTAGCAACTGTTCCTTCACTCACACAGAGAATAACCGCACCCTGATCTTTGACTTCAGTGCTATGAGCAATGTGGCCTCTCTGACCATTGGGCCGAGCTTCACATCTAAAGGCACCAAGTACCTACACCTGTTTAACATCAGTCTCTGTGGCAATGAGGTACAAGACATTATTAGTATACACTATTACCTCAGAGTTAAAGGTTCACTATCTAACTTTTCTGATGGGAGGTCTGCTACAAATTGCCTCTATGGAGATGATATAGCTTTGCCTGGAATGTTCCACAGGTTGGCTTGCATTTTTTCAACTGCAGGTGTTTTTGTTGCTGTAGTACTTGAAACATACATTCTTACTGCAACCTGGGTCACCTTTTCACAAATCTGATCTGTACTTCTGGTGGTGTCACTTTCTTATCTCTATGGACATAGATACATTTAAGGCCATACTGTGGAACACCCCAGAAAAAGCAACATAATTTTCATGGAGATAAGCAGGCAGCAGGGCAAAAAAGTTAAACAGTGCACCTTCAAAACAATACATAAAGATAAATAAATTCTTGAATTTGTCTCCATATTCAGGGAACCTATAAATCTTGAAAACATACACTAATGCTTTGTGTGCTCTGTCTGTGTTTCAGGGTAGAAGAGCAGCAGAGTGCACAGATAATGTCACAGATGTGTCCAGCAAAGACAGCCAGAGTGACTCCTCTCAGTTCATCAGCTCAGTGGACAGCTTCATCTGTCAGTCAACCATTATACCAGCTGATGGGCGAGGCTTTAGACTGGCCATTTCCTCTCAGTCAATCAGCCTCGCAGACACTTTTCTTGGTATAATTAATAATAAATTTATTCATGGATATGTGTAAATAAATGTATTTACATTCTCTGTTTTTATTGCTTCAGGAGTAACAGTTGATACAGTCTTTGATGGAGTAAATGCAAAACCTGACTTGTTTCCGGAAAACACAAGGGATATACCAGATATAAATTTTTACTACAGGTACATTTCACTATATTGATTTTGTTTGTTTTGCATTGTTTTGCTTATATGCTTTATACACAGATCAAACCAAGCAACAGCTTCATGTGAAAAGGGTCGCAGTTCAGTTATTACTGTTCGCTGTAATCCAGAAAAGTCAGAACGTGGAGAGCTCAGTGTACCCAGGTGAACAAAAACACTAATGCATTTACATTGCCTTTGTCAGCTACATACTGGGGATGCAATCAACATCGACAGTGTTCAGTTCAGTTTACTGCATCTTCATTGGCTTACTGTTGACTTGAACAACCGTATTGTTTGCCCAGCTCTTGTCCAGCCGGCACTTGTGATGGATGCACCTTTCATTTCCTGTGGGAAAGCTCTGGGGCATGTCCCCGCTGCACTGTGGATGACTACCATCACATCGAGGGTGTATGCAAAGGAGGCATGCAGGTACAGCGCCCCTTATAGTCAGGGAAATATCCAACACAACACATAATATGGAAATACTGTGTTTGTGGTTTTAGGAAATCATCTACATGTGGAACGAGCCAAAGATGTGCACCAAAGGCGTGTCACTGCCTCCAAGAGGCTCTGCTCACTGTGACGCCATAGCGCTGTGGCTCAAGGTTGGGGTTGGGGGAGGAGCTTTCATAGCTGTGTTGCTCATCTCTCTTACGTGCTATTTTTGGAAGAAAAACAGGAGGTTAGTCAGTGGCACCAGTTTGCATAAACCACATCCAGTACAAAAATGGTGTATAATGCTCACTTTCTACTTTACAGTGCATTGTCTTTAATGTCATAGACAATGTGTCTTGTTTTGTAGGCTTGAGTACAAATACTCTCGTTTAGTGATGTCTGCAAATAAGGAGTGTGAGCTGCCTGCTGCTGACAGCTGTGCACTTGACGAAGGGGAAGAACAAGATGATGATGTTGTCTATGCCAAAAAGCCAACGCTGCTGGGAAAACTCAGATCTATTGCCAACAAGGTGTGCTTTTGATGCTGTAGACATTTTACATCAATGTGTCAATTTTGATGTTTCACAATCTTGTATTTTAGCAAATGGATGGGGAGAGCAGTGAGTCTGTACAGTTGAATTCCTCTCAATCAGACCAGTGGGTGCTTGGATGAACATGAATGAAGATAAGAAAGAAATCATGAGAACCAGCTACTGAGCACCCCCTTTTCACACCCTCCTGTCTAGAGAGGACAAAGACCCCACATTGGACTTGACTCTTACTGGATGCAAAGAAACTTACAGCACTCAGTTTTAATCTTTTACCAGGATTTGTTCCTGGTGTGATGCCATGGATGCTGTCGGACAGCACTGAAAGGACATGCTTTTCTCATTTTTGTACATTTTGTATTATGTGTTTTGTTTGGAGTCTTGTATTTATATCAATGTTCAAATAAATAGCCTTTAATAAAATAAACAACCTTGGCATTTTCAGGTCCTCTTCAACTTCTAGCTAATGTATTTGAGTAAAGAATATTTGAATTTGGATATTGTCATAATAATAGTATTTAGAAACAATTCATGTAGGTCAAAATTTCTAATTGTAGCCTAACTGTATGCTTCTTTTCAGTCCAATTATTGATTAGCAACGTGGTCATTTTATTTAAAGATAAACTATTAAAAGTTGACCTATTAACAATCCTATAATTTTGCACAACAGCAGAGTAGGCTACTTCATTGACACGCCTCCATGTCCTCATGGAGCTCCGCCCTCTCCAAAGAAAATACTCTCCTCGGTCATCGACGCAACTTCAAAGCATTGTTCAGACTTTACCAAAACTGAGTTTGTGTTTTCCCATTGACCGATAAGGTGGGACGGAGTAGCAGTGGTCGGCATGTGAAAGATCCTGCGGTTCTAAGTCGAGTCCAGAGCGAAATCTAACTCAAGTGGATGACTTTGTAGCTAGCGGTAGGAAACTCTTCTTTTTTTTTTCCTCTCTCTCTTTCTCTCCCTCTCTCGCAACGAGGGTATGGGAGCAGCAGGCAAAACAATCACGGCCTGTATGCATTGAGTCATCTATAGAGCTGTTAACTTGGAATAGGGCTCATAAGGGAGCGCACAGTTTAGGACTTACATATGATTGTGACTGAGAAAAGTGTGGAGATTTCGGATTGAAGTTTACTATAGTGGCGTCACCTCCAGTGGGCCATACATCATCTATACCTAATAGGGCATTAATAGCACGCTCATGTACGCATGTTTTGTGGCCCACCAGCAGACACATTATTTTCTGAAAGTGTACGCTAAAGATTATTAGTTAAAGGCAGTGGTGCAAGGTAACAAAGAACAAAAAGAAAAGTAAGTACAAATTTTTAGGTATCTGTACTTTACATAAGTTAATTTTACAGTGGATACTTTTTACCACTCCACTACATTTTAGGTCTGAAAAGTAAAAAGTACTATTCTTTATGGTGTGGCAACTTCTGAGACTTTATGGTTGAGACTTTTTTTTTTTTTAGCACATTTAATTAGTTTTCATTCCAACTTTGAGCATACCAAAAAATCATAATTAAATTCTTTATCAGAATAACATAATAATAATTTCATCCTTACTGTATTACTTTAGTAGATTTTTTCATGTGATACTTAACTGAGTAGCTTTTTGCCCCTGTATTCATTCACCACTGGTTAAAGGTACATTGTGTAAATTTTCTGGTAGAGGGTCTGTTAAATTTTTTTATGTGGAGATGTTATTTCCTTGACTTTTCACATTATGGAATTAAACATTTATATCTTCATTATGACCAAACCGGACCAAGTTACATGTCAGACCCCACTCACAGTCAAAGCCTGTTTTTGTAGGTATTTTTAAGTTATAAAACAGCCTACCTGTAATTTAATGACTAAGGTAGAGAAGTTTAAGGTCATACTGTGTAACATTCCGGATAAAGCACTGACATATCTATAGAAATAAGCAGGGCGCTGACCCCTAGCCAGAAAGTTACACAGTGCTCCTTTAAATGAGAAACACATTGTTCTGAGTTTGTTCTGAGTCTAGTCTTAATGATTTAGGCTTATACGCTGAATTTAGAAGTCATGTCATATAGGCTGTTTGCACACAAGCCTATAGCCCCAGTTGCATAGCCTATAAGTAGGCTATTGTTTGAATTACATCAAACTAACATTCATAAACTGTGTTTTTCTTTTTACCTAGACTAATAACCTCTGCCAGCTCAGCGTCTCCTCTCATTTTTAAGCAGGTAAGTTCATAGTTATTATGCTATGATATTTTGGAAATATGATCTGAATGATGGCCATGTTGTTGTTGTTGTTGTTTTCTTTCAACTTTTTAATATTTTCTTTTCCTCCAAAGTCCTTCTGGTTTCAAGTCATGGCTCGTGGCTGTGTTTGCTGTGTGAAATATATGCTCTTTCTCTTCAACCTGCTCTTTTGGGTAATTTTTGAATGTTTTAAAATAAATACTAATACTAAATACTAATACAGTCCTTAAATAAGGAGGAACAAGAATATGAGTGTCTTGTGTATATTTCAGCTGGGTGGCTGTGGCTTGCTGGGTGTTGGAGTGTGGTTGTCTGTGTCCCAGGGCAGCTTCGCCACTCTCTCACCTTCGTTCCCCTCACTGTCTGCTGCCAACCTGATCATCACCTTAGGCACTGTGGTTATGATCACAGGCTTTCTTGGATGTCTAGGAGCCATTAAGGAAAATAAATGTCTGCTTCTCAGTGTGAGTTTTAGAAACATTTTAATACTTTTTGTCATCATGAAAATAGATTATACCTTATTAAAGATGCACAATGTCACTTTTCAGCTGTTTCTTTTCTCCATGGAGGTGCTTTGCAGTAGGCAGTATATTTATTCAATTAAAGGTGTTTATTGCCAGGAAAAAATACATAATAACATGCATCCTATTATGAGCAGGCTTGCCTCTCCACAGATTATACCTGTAACCTGGATTGGGGGTGCCTGCTTGACTCAATGGAGATAGATAAGTTTAATGCCATACTGTGAAACCTTCCAGGCAAAGCAATACGATATCCATGAACTCAAGCACATAATGGGCCTTCTGTCAGAAAAGTTGCATGCTGCACCTTTAAACTGAATGAATGAAAGTAATGTTATGTGTGTGTGTTTTTATATAGTTTTTCATTGTGCTTTTGATCATCCTTTTCGCCGAACTTGTCCTCCTCATTTTGTTCTTCGCCCACACGGATAAGGTAGGAAAGTGTAATATAGTCAGCATACAATCTCAAGACTTTGAGTGCTTAAGTAGTTACAATAACTATTGACTATAATATGCTATCTCCAGGTCAGAGACAATGCCAAGAAAGACCTAAAAGAAGGATTGGTTCTCTATAACACAGACAATAATGCTGGCTTGAGGGATGCCTGGAATGCCATACAGGGAGAGGTATAATGGCATAGTAATAAACAGTATGCAAAAATAGTTCTTCATGTGAACAAGCTGCTATTTCTAACAGTGGAGATGTTGTGGCGTGATGGGGCACACCGACTGGTACACTGCACTTCAAGTCAACCAAGTTCCTGATCGTTGCTGCCAGCATGTCTTCCCTGGCTGTGGTCACAATTCTTCCAATGCTTTTTGGACAAAGGTCTGTCTGTTCTTATTTAAAATAGATATTCCATTCTATTCTAGCCCTAGTTACTACTTTATTAAATTTTTTGTTATGTAGTTACACTGCCCAACAAAAAAATGTTAAATACTGATCTGAAGCTTCTATTTACTTTCAGGGTTGCTATGAGAAGGTGGAGGAGTGGTTAGATGACAACAGGCATCTTTTGGGAACCATTGCATTGTGTGTGTTGGTCATCCAGGTATGTGGTAATTTAAAGGCTACTAACACTTAAAAATAGCACTCAAAGTTATGCTGACTACACAGCAAAACATAACTAAAACAGAAACAGATTACAGGAATAATGCTAATATAATTCATCATATGCAGCCTGAAATTATATTTTTTTACTTTTCGATTTAATTCTTTAAATGTGCTTTTGATAAATGGTTTTGTTTCCTCAGCTCCTTGGAATGGCGTTTTCAATGACTCTATACCAACAGATTCACAGAGCAGGAAAGAAGTACGAAGCTTAGGTGGAGTTTTTGTTACTTATTATGGTTTAATTGCATAGTTATAAAAGGTATATTGTATTTCGTGCACTACAAAATTTGTGTTGAGCTCACCTTTACTTCATAATATAGCGTATATTTGTGTAATGTTGTCATTTGTTTGCCCATCTGTTACAAATTAGCTTTGCTGTATATTTTTTTGTAATTGTTCTTTCATGTTCTTGTTGCAACCTGTGGATTTCATATATGAACATACCATTATTTTCAATAAAAACAAAGCCCTGTAACAGCATTTGTTAAATTAATGAATTAATATAACAATAATAAATTACAGCATGTTTCCAACTGATAACACAGATTACTTTACAGTTGTTTTATGCCATTTGAGGAGTTTGCAGCTCAGATGTGTTGCTTCTACAGTGGCAGAAACTCCAGCAACTTTAAGAGATAAGGTTAAGGCAGAAATCTGTAGAAATAAGATTTTTACAAAAAAAAAAAAAAGATTTTATTAATGATGCTCCATACATCCATTTTCTTCATCCACTTTATCCAGAGCTAGATGGCAGAGGCAGCAGTCAACTAATGATCACTATGAGTGAAATTAATTTTAACTTTCCTCATAGGTCCATGGTTTGGTCATTGTCATAGATGATGTTGCCTTTGATGACAACATAACGGATAAGCTCTTGATGTCCTCCCAGTTGGTAAATGAGATGCTCCCAACTGCATTTAAGGCATTGATTACTGATTGCTATAGAACAGTAAAATATATAAGTACCAACATATATTATCTTACCGTGTTGTACTGAGAATCAGTAAGTCTCCATCTTTGTTGACTTCTAATGAGCCATGTGTACTAGAGCACCCAAGGGCATAGGCTGCATTTATGGTGGAAGCAGCTAAAGCCTCAGACATGGACATCCGCATATTAACACAGGCCAGGTGCATGACTATGGGCTGACAACAAATACAGGCAATCACATTTAAGATTTGTTAAATGGTTAATTTCTTTAAAACATGTCAGACCCACCATAGAGCAGCAGTATGCATTGGGGTTGAAGTCACTGCCAAGAGCAACAATGACTCCAGCCTTCAGCATGTCCCTGGCCCTGGGTTGTGGAAGCCTAGAGAAGACTGATATAGTTAAATATGACAGAATTTGCAAGATTCTAAATACTGTGTATACCTCAAAATATAAGCCGTGGTTGGTAGAAGGACGGCGGCTGTTTTTGCCTTTGCCATAGCAGCAATACCCTCATTTGTGACCTCCTCCAGGTGACTAATGGCCAGTGCTCCAAGTTCAGCTCCCAACTAAAATGCACATTGCCAGGGTGGTAGCAAATATACAGTTTACACAACAAATTTTATAACAAATTAACAGCTGTGAGACATAAAAAACAGTACCTGAGCAGAGTTCATGGGGTGTAGTTCATCTCCATGAAAATTTATGTTAAGGCCTATATCTTTGCCAGCTTGCAAAATGGATTTTGTGGAACTTAAGTCAAACACTCCTTTCTCACAAAAAACATCAATGTTGTCAACTTGGATGGCCCCGGATTCCATGCATTCTTTCAACTTAGGAAGCTGCACCTGCAAAATGTCTTCAGTAGCCTCATCAACTGTTTTTCCTCTGAATAAATGAATAATAATAATGTACAAATACAAAATTAGAAGATTCATATAATCAATAAGAAAGAAAAGGACAGAAAATATGCAACTACATTTAGGTAAGCACACACTTTCACCAGTCAACACATAACAGAACTGAGGATGATTCTTACTTTGGCACTGCATGTGCACCACAGTAGGTTGAGGAGATATTGACTGGTAGGGTACGCCTTGCTTTCTCAATCACCTCAAGCATCTTCAGTTCAGTTTGCAGATCTAAGCCATAGCCACTCTTACACTCAACAAGTGTGGTTCCTGTCTGCAGCATTCTTTTCAGTCTACCACTCAGAGAGGCCACAAGTTCAGAGGCGTCTGCCACTCGAGTGTGCTCCACAGTAAAATGTATTCCTCCTCCAGCGCGATGGACATCCATGTAAGTAGCTCCAGCCAACTGCAAGATCACAGCTTTTTATTCACTTTCTTTGAAATCAAACATAGCAATTTCAAAGTCAAAGCAGCTGAAGACACTTGTATTTAGAAAAGATTTTGATTGAACTATTATCCCATTTTACTTATTATTTGGTATGCCTGCTTCCTGTAAAGCACTTTGTGATTTGTATCTGTGAAAAGCACTATATAGACAAAGTACTTAATACAAATTACCTTCATTGCAAATTCATGGACTCTGTCACCAGCCCAAACAGGATGAGTGTGTGCATCAACCAAGCCTGAAACATTGTGTATGTTTGACCTTGTATATTCATTAAACATGCAATATTAAACATTTAAACTCACCAGGCAGAACACACATTCCAGTTGCATCAATGACCTTATCAAAAGAGGCCTCTGAATATTTAACTTTGATTGTATCAGCACTCCCTATAGCTTCTATTCGTCCATCTCTGTGAAAATGGTAAAGGTAAGCTTAAGTTCTTACCAAATAATCACAAAAATGTATTACATTAAAAGGCTATTGTATTATGACTTCAATGTCAATGTTTTATCACTTACCTCCCTACAACAATGCTCCCATTTTCAATTATCTTAAGATGTTGCATTCCATCCCTTGTCAAGTACTTTTCTCCACTGCTGCAGATCAAAACCAATTGTTTTGCATTTTTCACCAACAGTCTATAATTTTTTGACATTTTTACTCATACAAGGTCTGCAACATTAGAGTAAAATGGTTTAACCGACAGTCAGGGGACCAGCAAATATTTGCCCAGGAGAGTAGACCAGGGTTTAAAGTACACGGTGGGTGGAGCTGCAGATGGTTTATTTTGTATATTGTACTAAAAAAAGATACAGATTTAAGAAAAGGTTTCAATAATGATTTATTGTTTGGTCATTACAAAAAGGTATAACATAAAATTGGCCTCACATTTGTAAAATACAAAAATGTAAAAGGAAAATCTGAAGTCCAGGCGATCATTTGTTTCACATGGTGAAAACACAAGCTCACATACAAACTCATTGACAGAATCAGACAAGACATTAGGCCAGATCTTCAGACATCATTCTCTCATCTCTCCATCTTCCTCTTCTTCTTCCACACCTCTGATGTATAAGACATTATTACACCTGCAAGAATACATCATAAAATATAATCATAGTGGTATACATGTAATTAATGCCCTCATGACATTTGATATAACACTGGTGGTAGCTATATTGGTGGTTCTATATTGTCCAAGTTTAAAAATCATTTCCCAAATTTCTCACCACCTTGAGCTGAATTTACAACATACCTAATAAGCACTTCTCCTAGATGTCCTGCCAATGCTCCATCCACATATTCTTCTGTGTTTGCAAGCTGTCCAGACAAACAGATTAAATCAGGGTTTAGGATTACGATGAAATACATCATTATATTAGCGCAAAGAAAGTAAGTCAGCGCTCCCTATGACAAGGCATATGTCTCATATTTATCTTCTCACCTGCATGTTCATGTATCCGTCCACAGATACCAGATATCCCTTATACTCCATGCCCCACTTCAGCTTTACCATCACTGGTTTTCCCGTGAGGCCGTTTAGGAAAGGTTTGGGATTGAGGGGTAAACTCTAGAGGAAGAGATCAGGCACACAGTGGTTGTTTTCATTATAATAGCATAGAACACAGTTATACTCTATTCCAAGTTATACGCCATTCCTATATTAATAAACGCAAAATCATATACTAAGTAAATCCATAAAGAGCAGGCAAAGATGCATAACAGCAGTGCATTCATGGAGAATTTCGAACCAGATACCTATTGGTTTTGCAGAACAAACAGTATGAATAAAATCCTCCAAACGTAACACAACAATGCAGCTAAAGCCGAAGATTTATTGTTATTACATGTAGCGTTATGAGTTCAAATGAGAGAGCTTTATTCATTCCCCTCATAAGACTACAGCGATGAATGAAAGGCTAGCTCTGCTAACACTGTATTTAGTTAATTGCACGGTGATGACTATATCATATAAATACATACATATAGTGGCGTTTCTTTTAAGAAATAGACACATATACTCACCATCTTTTAGTACGATGTAGATAGTTATAGATGGAAGTTTGGGTATATTCGTTACAAGAACGTCTGTTTTACAAAAGAAGCACACGCTTTACCGCCGAGCCGGAAGCAAAATATTTTGACCTTAAAGAGCGCGCCTCTTTTGATACAGCTCCGTCTAGTGGCGTGGGGTTTACATGAGGTTTACAGTGAACGTGTAATACACATTATACATATTCTAAGTACGTAGCTTAAACTTAATATGCATACTTTTTTTGAACAAATTACTGCAATTACTACTTCGCTATCTTTAGCTAAATAGCAGCCTACTTTTGCTACAGACTTAACTGAAATCTTCCATAATCAACTGTAATACACGAAGGCTTACAACTATATTAAACTACTATTTTTGTTGGCACTCGGGCTTCTTGGTAAAATGACCTAAAGAACATAGCTTAGTGCCTTTTTATCCCCATCAAAACAGACATTTTGGTGTGAACTAGGCTGGGAAGGACCTGGCAGTGACAAAGGTTTCAAGATTAAACCCCAATGGGACAAGTGACCACTGTGCTTTCCTGCAGACTATGTTTCAACATCGGGCCTTGATGAAAAAAGTCAGGTTTAAGCAAAGCAGACAGATTTAGGTCTATTTGACAAGTTCAAACTTGATGATTCTACATAAAACCTTTACATACTGAAGTAAAAGATAGGCCTAAAATTCCTCAGAAATTGCTCAGGAGCTTTCTTTGAATATTTGGAATTCTCCCTCAGTTACATCATTTAGGTTATACTTCACTCTTGACTTAAGTTGCCTCTGCATAATTGACCTATATTTCAATCAGCAACTGTGTAAGTTAGGGTGTGATGGTATGTGTAGCCTTTAGGAAATAAAGAGGACAGTCCACCCGAAATATGCAATATATATGATTCAGGTTATTGAGACCAACAAGCCAAGTAAAAGGGTTACTCCAGGCCTTTTGGTTCAATAGTCGAGCAGGACCTTCTGTAAACTAGGGAGGATTAAATGAAGTGGTGCTAATGTCCATTAAATCTCCCACTGGATCGCAGCTTGAATCTTGTGGAAGAATGGGCCCCTTCAGTGAACCGGGAGAGACAGAATAAACTGAACAGGTGAGGCCGTTTCTTTTGGCCTTGTGCTTATTGGACACGGGTCATATAACCAGAAAAGAGGTCACAGTCTGATTTCACGTCAGCCAGAGGAGCTAAAACCATGCTGTTTTACTGGGACTAGGTTCAAATGGCTGAAGGCTCATGAAGAAATCATAGTCAATGTCAATATCAAGATTGTACAACTTACATGGGGTATCCTACATACTTGTATAAGCCACCTGTTGTGTCTGATGTACAGTTTTTGTTAGACGTATAAAACACAACCTTGTCCCAACAGTGTAGGGAATTCTTGAAGAATGGGTCAAATGCAGAGGACAAATTTCCCTGGGCAACCTGTCAGGTGGAACCCTTAGATCAGGGGTGGGCAAACTTTATGGCTCGCGGGCCACGTAGGGTCCTAAAATTTGACTGAAGGGCCGGACAGAAGACAGGACATGACGTGTTAAGAGCTCGGCTCCACTGCACTCGTATTTATGCTCATGTAGGACATGCACCACGCGCCACAAGTTTGACTTTGACGCGTAAGATTCAGAACACAAGAAGAGTGAACAGACATGCTCCACTGCACAACACAGGCAAACGAGAATCGGTTAGGGCTCATTGACAAACAGAGCCCACTCCATAACGCATGCAGTAGAACCAAGGCTCTTAAAACTTTGCATATATTCAGTTTTGGAATGCAGTGTCTGTAAGACTTTCATCTTTGCTTTTAACCCATTCAGATTGGAAACAATGCAGCCTTATGTCTTGAACACTTCTGCCTCACTCATGGTCCGAATACGCTGCCCGAAAATGACTCCTGTAAGAACACTTTCCCATAAAGCAATGTATATATAGTGCGTCATCTACTGGGAAACGCCGGAAATGCAGGAAAAATAAAACATCAACAAGGTTTATTATTGTAATTTATTCCAGTTCGGCGGGCCGGATTAAAAGGTTTAAAGGGCCGCATACGCCCCCGTGCCATAGTTTGCCCACCCCTGCCTTAGATGGAAGATTTGTGCTGATGGTGGTAATTATATTTTTATTATCTTTTATATTTTATAATGGGCCTATTGTACAACAAGCTGTGCCATACAACAAATACGTTGTTTATATTGGCTCAGATGACATATCACTAATAACATAGCTACTAGCTACAATTAAAACACACACACACAAACACACACTGGTGTTCAAAGAAAAAGCCCCATAGCTCCTGCACCGTATACTGTGTAGACTGTATGCACAATTTATGCCCTGCACTAACATTCTGCTTTTGAGTATACTATGTGGCTAAATGCTGACCCCATATGGCTAATATCGCGCAACAAGATGAACTGTTTGCCAGACTGGCTCAGACAGATAGTGAAAGCGCAGTAGCGCACATTGGAGGGTTTCTTTAAATCAGGAGAAAATACCAATGGGAGGCGGGGCTATGCTCATCGCAGTCTCTACACCGTCCGAGCGCTCCTTAGAAATAGATCCACTGAACAGAGCGAGCAACAGGCGCCTCACTGCGGGGAAATGAAACACGTTTCAGGTCTCCAACATACAGACGAGTCGCACAGAGCCGCGGATCTCTTCTTGACTCGAGTTTTCCCACTTTCTCAGCCTGACATCACGCGCCGCACAGGATCATGTCCCCCTCTCGCGCTCAGTTACCGCTGCCTCTTTGGAACGAAGTTGAGTGAAAGAGAAAGTCCCCATTGAAATTGATCCTGCGCACTTGTTGTGTTCCTACTGAGGCTGTACCCGTGGAGATGCTGTTAGAATCTTCTTTCTTTTGAGTTGTTGTTATTTTTCCTGCAGATTCATTCGAACTATGTGGATTTTGTTTTTGATCACTCTGGCACTCAGGTCAGATGTAGGTGAGTACTGGGCGTTGTTGTTATCATGTAGGCTACACATCACGTGGGGAAAGTGACTCAAACATAAAATGTATGTTTCTGCTTTTCAGTTAGCTTTTGCATACTGCATACTGAACAAAACCTGTTTTGTAAATGTTATAGACCTACAGTCAGAGGCATAGAATTAAGACATTGTTGGGGATATTAGAAGCCTTAGTCTCTTTATCCATTGTTTTTGTGCTTCCTACTGTTCAAATGTAAATAGACTGTACCTTCATGACTAAGGTTTCATTCTTACTTTCTCCTCTGACCTTTACACATATACAGTTATGTAACAAACCTGCAACAAAAGGCACCCTGCTGTACAAAAATCTAACTTAACAATAGCTGTACATGAGACAGTCTGGGGTCTCTCATTTACACAAAATAGGAGCTGTGCGTTTGACGTAATAAATCCTCCTTGGAAGTTGACAGTGTGACCCCGGGGCTCGTGAAGCGTCTGGTATAGATGTCTGAATACATTTCATCCTCCAAAGCTGTCAACATTTATTTGTGTCAAAGTATAGAATATACATTCCCTAGAGACCATACACTCTCAGGTCAAATGTCTTCAGTTTTCCTTTTTGCGTAACATTTAATAAAGCTAATGATACCTACATGTGCAAACAAAGTCAGAGTAATTCAGCTGTTACTAACAAAAAATGATAGAAGGAAAGGCAAGTTATGGCAGATTGTGAGGATGCATCAGATCATTTACGATTTATTCACAAGATGAGATCGCAATCCAGACCTAATCTCAACCAAGTGTACTCCTTGTGCTGGACCCAAGCACAATAAGCACATAAATATAGATAATTTGAAATGCAAATTATTACATAATATAGGCGATGCTAGTAACAACCCTAAAGACAAAAGCATAAAGAAGTGACTTAAAGATGCATTATGTAACTTTTCTGTTGAAGGGTCCACCACTTTCTTGTTTCCATAGAGATGTAATTGTTTTGTTTTGAATGTTCTGCAATATGGCATTAATTTTATTTAACTCAGCAGAGACAAGCAGGTGACACCATCTGGTCAAGTTACAGGTCAGATGTGGTGAAGCAACACATCTCACTTGTTTATCAAGATAAAGACACCTGTAACTGAATACATTTAATTCCATATTGAACAACATTTCAGGAAAAGCAATACCTTCTCCTTGGAGACAAGCAGGTAGCGGACCTTTCCCGATAATAATAGCAAGTTGAAATGCATTATGGCTTATGAGTCGCACCTTTGCCTGTGTTTTCTCTTGCCTATTTACTCAACATGTGAATAAATGTTCCTTCTCTCTTCAGGGTGGTCGGTGGAGATGTTTCGCACAGGTGTGGCCCCTCGCTGTGATAGCCGAGCCTGTAATCCACGCATGGGAAACCTTGCCCTTGGTCGCAGGGTCCTAACACAGACTGTATGTGGGAACAATGGCACAGAACAGTACTGCTCCTATGCTGACCCCAACATCAACTTGGCCTGCAGCAGTGCCAAATGTGCCAAGTGCAACGCTGGACTACCCTTCCTATCACACCTAGCGGGAGCCATGTCTGATTCATCTTTCCGCCACCCTAACACATGGTGGCAGTCAGCAGAAGGCATGGAGTCAGAAACAGTGCAGCTGAATTTGGAAGCTGAGTTCTACTTCACGCACCTGATCTTGGTTTTTAAATCTACGCGACCTGCTGCCATGACGCTAGAGCGCTCGCAGGACTTTGGGAAAACATGGAAGATGCTGCAGTATTATGCCTCCAACTGTAGTGCTGCCTTTGGTATAGAAGAAGAGAAGGCAACAGTGGGCCGTGATGGGGCCACATGCACTTCCAAATACTCCGGGGCTTTTCCCTGTCACCGTGGAGAGGTGAGAAGAAAGATATTGTTACAGTAATGTTATTATCATGTGCGATCTATGTGCCTTTTGGCCAGACACAGTCTTGATCTGAACAAGATGGCAGACAGGAGAGTACCTTTTTAATTTTAAATGGTTATTCAGGAATTTCACTGATGCTTAAGAGCTTTTAGTGGCTTTAGCTTTAATACTGTACTTAGCTTTGATCCACCTAAACAGCCTGTATACTACACCTGTACCCTAAAATATTTAAAAGCAATACATTTTTCATTGGTTCAAGTGAGTCATTGAACACAGAGAAGCATACTAGCCAAACAAAACTGTGAGATGAGAGTAGTAGCCATGTGCCTGAGTGAGGGTCTAATAGGCGTACTGTTGCACGATAGGACTTTCTGATGTCCACCGATGTTTAATTCAGGCCACATGTGGACAGAGCTGGGCTACAGATGTGAGAACTAAGGCATGGTAAAGGGTGGTGCAAGTGGGGAGATTTTTTAAATATTTATTGAGGTGTCATGCTACTCTAACCCAGTTGACTCCTAGATGCTCAAATATGTCTGCCATCATTATTATCATCATTATTTACATTTAGATCTAGAGATACTATTTAGTAAATGTTTTTTATCATGCTTGTGCTTTGTCCATGTGATTATTGTTTTGGCACACAAACCACTGAAAGGTTTAATTTATTTGTAGCAATTAGAGCTTCTCTGAGGCTAAGCCACCTGTGCCAATAGTAAGACTTTTGCTCTATGACCGTTGCACTAATGACTCTCAGGTCCACAAAGGTCAAGTCAGATTTGTGCCTTTTCTTTACCTTCTTTTGTGGATTCATTTTAAAACAGACTCTCCCTGTATGAAATTGCAAAACCATTTATAGTATATTTTTACCATAACAAAATGTCAATCAACGTTTTGCTATGGAAATACTTTTTTAATCTTGAACAGTTCATTTGGCTGTAAAAGCTGATAAGAGAACTTATAATTTCTTCAAGAATTTGTTTTTAAATACTTTAAAAGTTCAAATGACCCAAAAATCTGACAGGTTAGTTTAAACCCTGCAGCACCTGTATGGAAACACATTGGCCATGGTGCATCTGTGTAGTGTGAATCAAAGCATGTTGATTGCATGTGTGTCCCAACTCCAGGGATCAGATAAGGAGGGACTTTGATGGATGGCTGATGGTTTGAAAAGAGTTCAAGAGAGAAGGGGGGGTCTTTTACTAGCAGTGATTACAGGAAGCAGGTATTCTCTTTTTACTTGTCCTTCAAACATGAAAGAATGCCATCTCTTGTGAAGGGGAACTGTATTCACCTGTAGCAGATAGTGGCAGTAGTCCAGTTGTATAGTAGGGCTCCTAGTCTTATTTATGAGGTCAGAGCCTGGCTGCAAGAATGCAAGTGTTTGTTGTTGAGCTCCTTTGGGAAGAGAACAAGCCTTTCAAAATACACACATATTCGGATAAGCAGTTCGGTCAGCTTTCCGTCTGTCTGCAGGGAAGGAAGTGGTATAGCTCTGATATTAGTGCCGTTGGCTAGACACTCTCCCACCCCTGCTTTGTGTGTCTTTCTTCTTTCCATGAATGCCCATTGTGCCTGTTTACCAGATTACAGTCTGCATCGCTTTGATGGAATTACGAATGGTAATGCCATCTTGGCTAATTTATGCATTTAAAAGGATCAAAGTGGTTTCATGCTTCACATAGTAAGCAACTCACAATAGACCCAATATGAAAGATTAATTCTAAGAGTAGCACATTAGCCCTTATACCAAAAGCAAATAGGAATAAATAAGAATGAAGTCTTACCAAAGCATTACAAATGCCTGTAATCTGTTATTTCTCAAAGTGTTTTATTGTCACAGCCCGGATAGCACCCTCTACCCAGCCCCGATGTTTGCAACAGTGTGTGCCAGTGTGTGTATTTTGGTGTTGCCGTGGTGTTGCTGTGCTGTCGTGGGCCCTTTGTTCATTACTGAGTTATGTGAATCCACATCTCCATCTCTGTTTTTGTCTGGCCCCGCTGCCCATGCTCTCCCGCAGACCGGTGCCCCTCGTCCTATTTGTCGGCTTCTCTTAATTGCAGTCCACAATGCTGTGACCCTGTAACCTTGTGCAACAACAGAGAAATTAATAGTACCCGTCTATCACACTTTGGCAAGTCACTTTGCTAATAAAGGAGCCAGTGCCTTAACATGCATTTTACGTTCCATTAAAAACACACTCTTGCATGGCCAATAAATGACAGTGGGATGTGGTAATAACAGTTTGATGAAGAGGTGCCTTGCAAATACAAACTTTATCCACATTTGGGTCAGACACTTTTCACCCTGGCAATAGCAGCAGTGTTAGGTGCCAGTGGTGGCGGTAGTCACGGTGATGGCAGCATATGAAAGGATCCTCAGTTTGAAGGATGTCTAGGATCCAGACATGGTAAAAGGGGGTCGAATAGTAGCCAACTCCCTTCTGGTCATGTGAGGACAGATATAATGAACACAGGTTAAAAGGTTAAAGTTTGGAGCAAAAAAAGATACCAAAACCATTAAAAAGACAGATGCTGTCATGTAGGTAACAGCAATAGACTTATAAATTGTAACTAAACCCTTCTCCTCTAATTCACACTGACATAAAACATGTAATTTCATGTAAATGTAGAAGGGTATATGGTTCGGGTAAAAATGGAATGACCTGTTAGGGGCATCCAAATCTTTATGACAAATAACTGTTAAAATTATGTCTTACTCTAACCCTGAAATCCAGAAACTTTACAGCTGTAATTTTCTTTAAAGGACATACAGATATTTTTCTTCTCAGGTGATCTACCGGACCCTTCCTAAGTGGGAGTCTGTGGATCCTTTTGGGATGGAGGGCCAGCAGCAGCTGAGATTGACCAATATCCGAATCCGATTGTTGAAGCATCAGTCATGTCCCTGCCAGGCTAAAGACTTAGCCTCTGCTCAGAGAGCTCTCCCAACGCAGCACTTTGCTATTTATGACCTGATAGTAAAGGGAAGCTGTTTCTGTAATGGCCATGCTGAACAGTGTGTTCCTGCCGCAGGCTACCAGCCTGTGAAAGACCGCACCAATCATGTGGTAAGTCCAGCACATTTCATTCAACCTCAAACATCTGCGCTGTGTCTCACTGTCATTTCAAATTATGCCAAATGACTTAACTACTCAGGGTACTACCAGTACATGCTTACCTCTTTTTATCATCATATAGTGTATTTTATTTATTTTATTTATAAGAATGATCATTCATGTAGTGCCACAAGCAGCTCACAAACTCTATCTTACTCTTTTGTGCCACTCCAAAGGAAGGATAAAAAGCCTCAAGGTGAGAGAACCATTATCTGACATCAAGACAAATTAATATACAGTTGACTCCATGGTTGGTGGTAGTTGATGATGGAATGGGAAAGACCACTCTCCATGGCGAGATTCTCCTTAATCCAACTAAGTGTCAGGAGCTAATGTTTTGTTGTGTCCACATCACAGCTCAGTCGGCAGAAATAATAAAAGTCTAAAGGAAGGGCGGGTTTGGGTCAGTGGTGCTGTTTCCTCTGTTTCCACTATCCGGTCTGATACATTCCTGAAATGTAAGAGATGTAAAAACTGATTGAGGCTAATGCTTGTGTTGATGGGTGTGTATTTCATTATGAGTTCATATCAAAGCCATCTCAACATAAACACCAACAATGGCTTTTGAAGTGGCGCATCTGTTTTGCTGCAATCAGTGAGGCCCAAGGAAAGTGAAATTTCCTCTTACTTATGGGCCATATAGACAGATAACCCCAGCCATAATATGTAACACAACACAGTATAGTAAATACAAGTGCACCAAGTTAGGTGAGTGATGAAATGCACACAGTCCTTTTTAGCACCTGATTCAGATACTTGCACTTCCGTAAACCATAAATTTGATGCATTAATTAAATCTTTAATTTAGCCAGAAACCAGCCAACTGAATATTTTCTAAATCAAGAAAACAACAGACAGAGAGCCAAGATACATGCCAAAATAGCTAAGGTTCTCACATAGGCCTACCCATGGCCATCATTGCTTCTGCTTCTTATCTAGTAGAGATTTGGGTAAGCAAGAGTTATGTAAGATGGCATTTTCCCTGACTGTCACTGTTTTGGTCTGTGTGATTATTTCTCAACCCAGAGCTGGTTTGTTGGTATAACCCAAACAAAAAGCATTGTTATGAAAATGTAGATGAGAGCAAAGATTAGCAATGAGAAAAAATGTTTTCTGTTATTTCCATCAACTTTCCAAAAAGCCATGTGTGACCACCATGTGTTTCCAATGTTAACAGTAAAAATTAGTTACAGCCCTGTCCTACATATAATGCTTTTTGTTCAGTGCGTGCAGTAATCAGTGGAGAAAATGTTTGGAAGTGTCTAAAACAAAGATTGTTGTTGTTTAGTGCTGCTGTTCCTCCACATGGGGTTTTGCGGTGAAGGGCAATTACACTGTCTGTTAGTTAGCCACAAAGCTGTCATACACTCAGAAGTAATGCTTTGGGGGCAAGCTACTGAAGCGCTAGTAATGATTCAAATATGTGTGCTCGGCCTACTCTTTGGCTTTTCTCCCAATTTCAAAACCCACCTTTTTAATTTTCTCCATATAAGTAAAAATACACAATAAGCCAGTGTTTTGGTCAGGGCTAAGTGGACTCTAGAAGGCCAAGACAAGGTCAAGAGATTCAGGGTTTAAAACCAAGCCATGTGAAGTAAACAGCATTGTGGTTGTTTATTTAGGCTACTGGACAATAAAAAAAAAATTTAAAAAAACTTTCCAAACCAAAAATGTTTCTTGAATATGTTTTCCTCATTTGTTTTGTCACTTGATATGTCTGTACCTTTTTCACTCTTGACATTTTCAGGGCAAACTTCCCCGTAGCTTGAAGCACTTTTTATGTAAATACTTGTGCATTAGGATTATTGACACAGAGCTCTTAGCACACCTTAGCTTAGTCACATTTAACAATAAGATTATTATTATAGCAGCGTTCTCATGTGTTTAATATAGAATTATCTAGATTACGTTTCTCTTTATTTATCAGTTTTCATATTTGCTTTCTTATGGTTAATATTTGGGAAGAAATCAAATAAATTCTACCTAATCCATCACTGACTAATTTCACGCATAATACCTATACTATTTTGTCATTCACAATTATGTATGCATAGGAGTATAATTTGTGTGTGTCCCATATTACAGGAAACAAATAAAGAGCTTCCTCAGATGCCTTGCACCCACCCCTTTTCAATCATTATCCAGCATGCATGGCATTCCAGCTCACAGGAATGACAAGGAGATTGTTATTGTGCTCCCGGAGCTACACACTCCCACTGTCCTCATACACAGCCACACACACGTGTAGGGTTTGTATCCTTTTTGAGGACACCACATTGACTTGTCTTGCATTGATTTCCTGGAGACCAAACCAGACCTTAATCACAGTCACTACTTGCTTAATCTTATTGGTGTTTAACAATTTTAACTCATATCTTAACTTCAAGCCATATCTAATTATAAAGAACTGAAGCCAAATGAAGCCAAACAACCACTCCACATTCATTTCAGAGACCTGGGCATTGTCAAAAATAAAACACTCCTCAAATTGTCTTGTTTTCTATTTGATTTAGGCCAGTTTATTCCTCCAAATTGTCACAGTCTTTATGGGAGTTCTTTGCTTTAACTGATATTGATATTTTTTCTCTCTGTCTTCCATTTATCTCAGGTTCATGGAAAGTGTGTATGCCGACACAACACAGCAGGTGAACACTGTGAGGTGTGTGCCCCCCTCTATAATGACCGACCATGGCAGCCTGCTGATGGGATTACTGGAGCACCACATGAATGTCAAAGTAAACTCACATTGAAGTAAAATCACCATATACTGTATTTTGGGTGCATCAGTGTGTTTCTGGGCAGAGTGCATACCACATACCTACAAACATGGGTGATCTGAGTTTTAAGTTCCTTTAAACTATGCAAGTTTTTGATTTAGCGTCCACCACCTGCTTGTTATTGCTTTACCTGCATATTCCACAGCATGGCATTAAACCATGGAGACATGCAGGACACAGACAACAACCAAAAAGTTATATTGTGCAGTGTGCTCTCTTACGTGTGCATTTAACAGATTAGATCAGTGTTTCTCAAAGGGAAAGGCATCTTATTTGGTACATGCATTACAGTTCATGTATTATTAAGATTAAGAAATGCACAAGAGCATTTTTACTATATCCAGTTAGATTATGAAAGAATGAATTATTAAGCAATATTTCTTCCAACTTTTCAGAGTGTAAATGCAACGGACATGCTCAAAGCTGCTTTTTTGACTGGTCAGTGTGGCATGAGACAACCCAGCGTAGTGGGGGTGTGTGCCACTGTCTTCACAACACAGAGGGTCGACAATGTGACAAGTGCAAATCAGGCTTCTACAGAGATGCCAAGCGACCCTTCACTGCTCCGGACTCATGCAAACGTAAGGCAATGACTTTGACAAACTAATTGATATGTGATGATTTATGGAATTTATGCATAGACCCTAAAGCTACTACCATGTAACATATTAAAATAATTATATTTTACCTCATACACCATTTACCTTATACACCCCTTCTCATTCATTTTCTCTAAGATCACACACGATAGGCATCACAAGTTGGTACATGCTTCATGGCATTGATTTGTGATGAGCACCTTGGGTTACGTGTGTGTCTGGGCAGCAGACAGCCCCTCTACCTCTTGCGGTCTGTGTTGTCGTAAATCATCTGATAGTGGGGCATACCTACGCTTTGACTCAAACACAGCATGATTGTCCATCCTAGACTGTATTCACATTTTTTTACTTACTGACTCAGAGCTCAAGTATCTCCTGGGTAATGATTGGTGGAGCAGTGTAACTGTGTATGTGGGAGGCTGTCTGGTTGTCGGCACGCTGCCTCATGGCGATGAGACAAGTCTTAAGTAAACACAAGATAGTCATCTCTAAACACATAGCAGTGGCTACATTCCCAATCTGATTATCTTGTCTGATGTGACCACATGGATTTGTGTAGAGCTTGACTTGTACATGCTGTCTGCTTAAGTCCAAAACAACTGTCAAATTTCACTAGACCATTTTACAACATCCAGTTCTAAGAATACCTGAACACATGCATTTTTATTGTAGTTCGTAGTGGTGGAGCTTTAAGCTAGGTCTAATAACCCTCAAAGACAGATGATTGATAGAAAAAGATGCAATGGCATGTGTGGGGAACCCCTAGGATGTAGGTTGTGAAAACTTGTCGTAGCTTCTCACCCACAATAGTTTTCCCTCTGTTGTAAAAACATTTTTTTCATACCTATCTGTGAGGGATATGGGAAACGTAACATCACTGAGCTGGACTGGAATGTACAGTATATGTTCCATATTTTTATTTCTTTATTTCTTATTTTTTCCATTACCCTCTAATTTCTTGAGAAATTAGCAATAGCTGTTTTAAGTGTGTGCTGACCTTAATACATAATTAAAATTACATTTATTCATGTGGTTTGACAAAATCTTGAGTTTCCACATAGATATGTAAACACACACAATCAGCATGCTACACGTGTTTGAGCTTTACGTGAAACTAAGTAGACCTATGTGCAGAGTGTTGTAATCTCTGCTAATTATTAACATGTACGGGCTGCTCACTAAATACCCAATAGAGTGTACTCTTAAGTACAAAGGAGTACCTTTTATACATTTCCACGGTAAAGTGATGATTCAACAGTTACACATTTGCAAGTCAATAAAATCCAAATTTATTACTTTATTGGTATAATACCAGTCAGTGTTAAGATAAGCATTGTCTTATCTTTAACATAGTGTTTTTTTATTTGATAAAAACGATAGTGGGTCTTGTGGAGTCTATAGCAATACAACACAGAAATTATGATTGATTTAAAGACATGCATCTTTTGCTGAATTAAACATGATATGAATAGTGTTTAAATTGTCGTCCTCATTACTAATTTATAGTGAGCCCATAACATATATTGTTGCTCTGCTAACAGTTCCTGAGACAGGCAGATTTATGGTCAAGGCCTTAGCTTTCTCATGCTGTTGTTTTTGAATAAAGAACATCAAAAATTATCAACCAAACATGAGATAAGATATGCTTGATAAGAACAATAGAGGAGCCTTTTTTATATTTCCCTTAAACATTAATTTGATTTCAACATTATGTGCTTTGCCATTTTCAGCTTGTGAATGTCACCCACTGGGATCCATGCCCTTCCACTTGTCTGAGAGCTCACTGTGTGATCCTACAAATGGAAACTGCATCTGCAAACCAGGAGTGTCAGGGGCCCATTGTGACAGGTGCATGGTGGGATACTGGGGATTCCACAAATATGGCTGCCAGCCCTGTGACTGTCCAGGAGACTGCGATCCCTTCACAGGGGATTGTATGCTTGGGTGAGTCCTTGTAATGAAATGTACGCCATAAGCAGCCTCTTCTTTCCTTTTGGTTTTCTTCTAGGGTCACAGCATCATTCATCTGCTTCCTAGCATGCAATGATACACAGATAAATTTGGCATATTTGACATGGGATGCCCTTTCTGACCCCTCTTAACCAACTCCAAGCAGACACAAAGAGTGCACTTGTTTGTGACCAGAAGGCTTGTATATTTGAATTGAAACTTTCTATTGAACAGTTATATTCAAGAACTGGGACTATTCATGGGCCCTTGCAGTTTTTCTTAATAATTTTCTTTGTCCACCATCTGCTCATTTTAGTCAAGTGTATAGGGAAAATAGGCCAGAACTGTAAGGAGTTAAATGATTCCTATTTCATATTAATTTGTACTGTTTTGTATAGGTCGGATTTAGAAACTTATAACTCAAGTGAACCGATGAAGATCTTCCGAACAGATGAACTCTTCTCAGCTTTGCACTATTCAGGTAAGAGACAAATAGTGTGTCTGCTCTTCGTCCTCTCCATGCTCCAGTAACCAAACATTGCAGTAAAGTAATGAAAGTTATGATAGGGTCTTTGAAGGTCATGGCACAAAGACCATGTGTTTATGTGCGTGTGGTTGCACGGATGATTTCCAACGGTCCCCTCTCCCAGACCCCTCACGGACATGTTACTGCAGCTTTCAATGGCACATTCCTCTCTGGACACACACTACACTATGGACACTATGTACAGTAACTAGTGGGACCCCACACAAAGTTTTCGTCATTTTGTAAATATCACTGTGTGCTTTCATGTACCCCCCCACAGAGAAATGTGAGTGCAAAGAGCAAGCCTTGACCAACAGCAAACTCTTCTGCACAATGAATTATACATATGGCAAGTAAAACTGATATATTATATATTATCAAATCAATTTTTCCAGTTCAAAATATTCCTGACCTGAAGTTTTTTCACTCATAGTGCTTAAGGTGAAAGTGCTGTCGGCCCACGATAAGGGCTCTCACGCAGAGGTAGAGGTCAAAGTTCAAAAGGTGCTGAGTCACAACACAAGGGTGAAAATACAAAAGGGTCGAGTCATCCTTTACCCTGAATCCTGGACAGCACGAGGTTGCACCTGCCCTATCCTTAATCCAGGTAATCTATTGTTGCCATAAATACATTAAATGAATACATACAGAATACATAGACTAAAACCTTTAAATAAACAAATAAATCCATGATGAGATGCATATTAAAGCTGTACTTGGTAACTTTTGCTGCTAAGGGTCTAATATCTGAGTGTTTTCATGCTGTTGGTAATTTTAATGCATTTGCTGTATTGCATGTGTTTTTCTTGTCAAATTGAATGAATGTCATGTATTTTTGAGCAAGCAAATATTAGTCTATTAGGAGTATGCTAAAATATTGATATATCATGGTACTAAATCTGATAATACAGTATAATTATTATCGTGGACTGCTGTATTGATATGCCTGGTATTTTGGGGCAGATTTAGCAAAATTATTTTGTGGAAGTGCTACAATTTTGATGCTTGTTCAGAAAAAATAAATTTGTTCATGTCGAAACATTTGGCAGTGGTTAAACAAATAAATACCTTAAATTTTATCTGGTGCGTAAAAAATTGTAAATGTTGCAGAATATCACATGCAATATATCAATTATAGTATGCATTTCCACATCATGATATTACTGTATCGAATCATGAGGAACCCTGTGATTCCCAGCCCTACATCCCAACTGCGTTCACATATACTGATCTACATTTTGTGCAGGGTTAGAATATCTGGTGGCTGGCCACATGGACCGTAAGCAAGATCACCTTCTTGTCAATATGAAGAGTTTTGTGAAGCCCTGGAAGGCAAGCTTGGGTCGGAAAGTCCTCTCACTACTCAAAAAAGACTGCAACTGGTAGACATGAAATATTTTCACTTCAAACAATACAGAAGTTTTTATTTATGGTCACCTATTTGTGGATTTATGAAACATAAAGACTGTAGTGTGTAATGTTTCTGTTCAAAGTCAAGGTGATGGTAGAATCCACACTGGGTTTAAGTTTTTCAATGAACCAGCCTTATGAGTATAAAATGCTGTGTACATATTTTCTTATTTAGGATTTGCTACACTACAGCTCTGTAAATTAAGACCTGTGCTTATTTTGAGGAAGTGAATGCCTTTTGCTTACAAAAAAATCAGGTTGTTCTCTCTAAAGCACTTTACCATAAGATGGACTGATGGAAATGGACGCACAAGTGAAAAGGCCTAATCACAACATCTTTACAGTGTATATATTTATGTAAAGACTGAACAAGCCATACAAGCCACTGCAGGTGGTTAATTCTTAGCCAGTCCAGGTGTGCTTGTGTTGTAATCAGTGTGAATGGGTAATACCTGAGCATGAATGTATTTGTCTGCCTGTATTGGGAATGTGTGTGTGTATGTGTGGAGAAATGTAACTCAAACAAGTAGGGGTAAAGCGGCTATCTATGGTCAAGAATGCTGCTCTGATTCTGTCCAGTTTTAGTCCAAATTGTGTATACTACAAATCAACAGTTTTTATTAATTTCATTATCATACTTGCTGAACTTTGTATTATTCTCTATGTTGTTTTGTACAGTATTATTTTTATCTATAAATATGATTGTGTACTTTTTAATCTCTAGTTATTATGTCTTCTCATTCATAAGTATTCCTACTAGAGCATGTTTAAAATTGCTCTGTTATGTAATCCTGCTTAATGATGCCAGTTTAAACCATTACTCATAGTTCTAGTTCTAAATGCCGCAGACTACAACAAAGTGAAAAGAATGAAATGTTTTTATTGTTTGAAACATTGTTGCTTGAACACACCTCCCTGAAGGCACAGTATTAACATTTGATATGAGAGCTTAGACCTTGACATTCTTCACATTAATTTGACAAAAATATCCGTATCAACCCATTCTGTTTTACGCATATGTTTCTATGTGGGTGTCACCTAACATTAAGCCATCCATCATCTCACTTAAATATTTTCTGTTTTGCTCACACACTAACGCCAAATGTAGAGCAGAATAGACACTTTGGTGCAAGTATGTACACATTTTTGGGCAAAGGTATCTAATGTTTTCTTCAGACTTATCGTGACGTGCTTGGCTGAGAGGTGTTGGCACATTCTTGGCGCATCATACACCTCTCTGCAGCAGGAATGGTTGTAGGACACTCACCTATCCAACCGGAGTGAGGCAGATGTAGAAGAATTTGGCAAATTAGCCAGATAGCTTCATGTACCCATATCTCCTCATTTGTGGCCCATTCGCAGATTGGTGGCAAGGGTTACTGCTTTCCCTGATTTATGCCAAGTGCAGTCCAGACAACTGGGGCAGGGGTGAATGAGTACAAAAGATAGGGATAGGGAAGACTGTGCTTTGAAGGCATGGAAAGCCCTTGTTAGATATAGAGATAATCAAAAGTTTGGACACACCTTCTTATTGAGTGTTTTTTGCTTTTCCATATTGCAAATACATACTGAAGACATCAAATATGTGAAGCAAAATGTAGATTTAAAAGCAGGAAAGAAAAAAAAACTCTAAATATATATTTTAGATTCAGATTCCTAAAAGTAGCCACTCTTTGCCACCCTTTCTTCAGTGTGTGTCCACAATGTGTGCAATGCAAAGGGTGACTATTTGTAGTCATTTAATTATAAAATATGCTTTATGCTTTTATTTCACATGTTTTTGTTACTACATTCCATATGTGATGCCTTTGATGTAAATAGTCATGAAACTAAATAAAAAATTTGAATGAAAAAGTGTGTCAGAACCTATGATTGGTAGTGTATGCTTTATGGTGGGAATTGACCTTGGAGTGTAGACTCAACAGGCAGGCACAAACATTTGCATTACAGCTGAGTCGGGATCCTCCTCTCTCTCACACATACACTTGTTCTGTAGCCTGTCTCTCATTGTCCTCCATATTGACAGCCCATTCTCCATCTGTGATGGACATGTCCAGTGGGGGTTATATGCTATGGGAAACTGGTTGGAATGAGTGCATGGTTTCATAGATGCACTCCTGTATAGATTACTATTATTGTAGTAAAAACGAATGTGTGTCTGTAAGAGAGAGCCGGTATGAACACAATGCCTCACTTGTGTTGCTATAGAATTGAGTTATGGCCTTTGTCCTATCAGCATTCTTGTGCTATTGGGCTTAGAGTCTATAGAAGCTCCTGCTGGCCACAGGACAATAACTCCCCCACTGTCCCCTCTTCTCACTGGGTGTCACAATGCCCCTCTTCTGCAGCACCCATCAGGCCATCTCACATCAATATACACCCCAAGGTCAACAGAGGTGAAAACATATGAGTTATGATGAGTATTTGTAGTCATATTGGTGGAAAGGACTCTCATTTAACACATCTGATAGCAAAAACAAACAAAAATAGTGTTCAAATATTATGTAGGTAAATGTGCTAATATAATAGTTTCTGATTCTTGAGAGTCAGGACAAAACAGAAGACCTGTTTTATCTAAAACAGAGCAATTTATAGAAAAATATTTTCAAAATATCATCATTGGCATACTTATAAAGTTACATCTAAGGGAGCTCTGTATACTGGACCTATTTATTTGAATTTTTTTTTTTTTTTATGTTTTTTACAATTTTGACATAAATGTAAATGAAAATTTTGACATCAGTTTTATTTTTTTGTGTCCTCCGCCAGGGTTCTCATTCTTCATTTTCAAAAAAATGCATTAAATCAGTCAGTAATATAATTATCTAAATCTCTGAGGGTCCTATTTGTTACTCTTACTCCACTGTATGCAGTACTACCGCAGCGTCTGAGCCTAGAGTGAGATCATGAACACAGCTAACATAATGAACAAAAACAAACTAGCTACAATCTACCAAATGTATTTAATAAAGGAAAAACATGCACTTTTGTCAACTTGAGCAGTGCCTGATGGAGTTGACAAATCCACCTGTAGTCTCTGTGTTAATAAAATATTATTTGTGAACTTAGAAAGTGCAATTTTAGGGTTTAAGTTTCATATAATATACATTCATACAGCATAAATAACATATTTTATAATGTCAAGCTGAATGTGTGACGAAGTTGACATTTTAGGCTGACGGAGTTGACAAACCCACCAACTTACTAAAGCATTAAAGGTTAATTTCCCAGTTTTCTGAACAGAAGTGTATCATTGAATATATTATTACATTTTTCATTTTTTTAAATGGTATTGACAGTTGTCACTTACATTATGAACCTGTCATAGACCAATCATGTTGTCATATCAGCGCTTCAAATGGTCAAATGCTAAGTAAAATACATCAAATCATTAATATCAGAATATTTTTTGAAATTGAGATATTATGAAACTCAAATGTTCATAAAATTAACAATTTTTGTTTTCAGATATACTTTTAATTGGTCGCAGTGGTAAATAACCCTTATTACAACATGCATTTAAGTATTTTTTTTTTGTTAGATTGGAGTAAATACATTTTTTGTGTCCTTAGTGTGTCTGATGGAGTTAACAATAATTGAGTTGTATCGGGAAATATGGCTTTTTTTTTTTTAGAAAAAATGTTTTTATTGAGAACCTATTCCTTTGCATTTCTGTACAGCTCAGACCTCACAAACATATACAACTGTCATAAATGTAGAATGCTTTTGAAAAGTCATTTTAAAAACCTGTTTTGGTCCGACTCTCAAGATTCACTAAGTTATTGTTGGTAGAGTATTAGTGATGAGATTGTAGTGTATATTTGTTTTCAAATTAAGTGACGTTTCAACTTTACACTTGACAGTATAAAAGAGACTTGAGCTTGCGGTAAGTCTTTTATTACAGGTGCACTATGTACCTTGGAGGGTCCACCACCTGCTTGTCTCCATGTTGCTTTGCCTAGATATTTTCCACTGGAGCTATATTCACTGATCAACTATGTTGTATTTTTTTCAGTTACACTGTGCCCCAAAATACATGAAAAAACATGTATTATTACTATTGTTGTTGATATTGCATTTTTCACAGATCTGACCTGTAACTTGGTCTGGTGATGTCAGCTGCTGGTCTCCATGAAGATAGTTAAGTTTAATGTCATATGATGGAACATTCCAGGTATTCAATAACATCTCCATGGAAACAAGCAGGTAGCAGGAAATTTACATAGTGCACCTTAATAGGGAAAGTTAGACAAGATAAAGGGAAACCCAACTTTCAAACAAAAACAACAACAAACTTTGATGTATGTTTCCCCAAACAACTCTGGGAGTCACACTTTGCCCCTAGCAACCATTAGTGCCCTTAAATTGTTCATGTACATACACATGCATGCACACATCAGGAATGTTTCTGCATGAGCTTTGGAGCAAGCCAGAACAGGGAGGAAATGTTGACATAGCAAAGAGATTGAGACGCTACTGCTGATTATTATACAGCCATCCAAACAACAGTCTGATGTCATCCACTCATTATGAACAAACTCATATTTCAACTTGCAAAAGATTTAGGTAGAGTGATGTGTGCCAGGAGTCCTGTGACTGAGATAACTGTTTTTGGTGGATTAAATATGAGCTGTAACTACGTATAACATTCTACCATCAACATACAGGTTCACCATCCAAAGAAGACATGTTAGCTGATGTTTGGATAAAGGTACTAAAGTATTTTCTCTCAATCTGGGCAACACTGTGCTTTCACTGGTTTTAAAATTGAGACAAGAACCAGCTAAAAATGTTCAAATGTTCAATGATCAAAATGTTCAGTGAATGGCATTAAATTTATCTGTCTTCATGGAGAAGAGAGGGTGCCAAGCGCAGGTCAGATCTGTGAAGAGAGGACCTCACTCACTGTAAGGAGTGTTTTTAAGGTATTTTTGAGCAATAAAAGCAAGTAACTAACATCTGAACAAATTACATTTTATGGACATAAGCAGGTAGTTTATTCCCTACCAGAAAAAATACATTGTGCACTACACTATGCATTGTATAAAAAAGGAAGGAAAAATAATCTATTCAATTTTAATATTGAAGTTATGACAATCGCCAAAACAATTTTCAACATGGTGTGAGTATCTTGTAATTGACTATTGGCTCACATTAAAATTATATTTTGAAGCATCACACAGTTCAGACTAAAACATTGGCCATGTGCTTGAACAAGTACTGATGAAAAAAGGACCGAAAAGGAGGGGGTTAGCATGTGTGAACATGAAGTGAGTAAAAGCCTAAGGACATTGAGAGAGAAAAACATTAGTGATTCAGACATTGCATGGTATCAACACATACCTGGAATCTGGAATGAATGTTTGATCTCTCTCAAACGCAAATATAGTTCAAGGCCAAACATTTTTACACAATGAACAATATAGGGGGATAAGGAAATTAAAGGAGCATTATGTAACTGGTTCTCTGGTGGACAGTCCAACACCTGCTTGTCATAAAGATGACATTGTTTTGCCTTAAATGTTCTACACTATGATTTTAAACATATCTCCACTGAGACAAGCAGATCACGACACAAGGAAACTGATTAAATGTAAGATAGAAAGGTTTGATACTATACTGTGCAACATTCCAAGCAAAACAATAATACAAGTTTTACCATTTTGAATAAAGTTGACCATGAGTCCTTTAAATAGGTCTAATGAAATTATTAAAATAATCTAATTATTAGATGTTCCATCAGTTGCCGATTCACTTCCATTCCAGCACTATCATTGTGTCCTTTGACAAGAAACCTCACTCTACATTGTAGTATAATTGTGTGTGGTTGGTGTTAGAGAGAGGTTGATGATAGAGGTAGAAATATAGGGCGCTGTGATAGAGTACCAATAACACAATAAATATGCAGTGTAAAGCCTACTACTGTAAACTAGGCATGGCCTGTCTGAGCTGTATAAACTATTTCTTTTCCTGTTTTGCTTATATTTTTATGGTTGTTTCTCTATTCTCTGCAGAATTACAACAAAAACACCTGAATTTCACATCAGCAAAAACCTTCAGTTTCCCCAGGTGGGCTTCTGGGGCCTATTCCAATGGTTGTCAAAAATTTCCCAAGAAAATATTTGGCCTTCTTAGTACCAGATCTAAACCAGGTATGTAAGATATAGGGCTCACAACTCAAGGTTGCTGACCTATAAAAAGGACTGCCTCATGGCAATGGAGTGGTTGGTTGCTTTTGTGGTATCTGGCAATTTTTAGTTTTTTGAGCTTAGTTTTTAACATCATATCAAGGGATTTGAACCAGCTAAGAAGTGGAGCATGTGCAGTTCAAAGGGATTGCTGGATTGTGTGAAATGAACAGTTTGTTTTTCCTGTATTCATGGAGACCGTGCAAGAGGCTAGCTAAGGAGCTAGCTAGTGAGTGAGAATGAGAGATACTTTATTCAGCTCTTCGCCTCTTTCACAGTCTTCAAACTCTAAGGAGCTAACTATTGCTTGCACTTATATGGTGCTTTACAAGCGTGTCAAATTCTCTCAAAGCACTACACTGTTGTCATTATTCATTCACACTGTACAGGGTGGTGGCAAGTTACTATTTTAACCACAGCTGCCCTGGGGCAGACTGACAAAAGCTAGGCTGCCAACCTGCAACATCTGACCACCACCAACCACTCATGTACACATCACTTTCATACTAGGCAATGCGGGTGAAGTATCTTAATAAAACAATAATAATAATAATGCATCAGTTATATATAGGGCTTTTCTGGACACTCAAAGATGCCTTACAGAGCATTATTCTCTCACTCCACACTCAGTGGTGGTAAGCTATTATAGTAGCCACAGCTGCCCTGGGGCAGACTGACAGAAACAAGGCTGCCTATCTACGCCATTGGCCACCACCACCATCACTTACACACACACCACTTTCATTCTAGGCAATGTGGGTGAAGTGTCTTGCCTAAGGAAACAACAACAGAAATTGGTCTGAACTGGAATCCTCCAACCTTCAAGTTGGACCTTCCAGAGGAAATACTTTGAAAGAATTAACTTTTTCATCACTAACCGAAATAACAGAGTGGAGTAAGACTGAGGCCTTTCCCATTATGTTCATATGGCTCCCTTGGACACTCCTGTGATGCTGCAGGACACAGATGAGGGACACTTTTGGCTTTTTTTTTTTTTCCAATAGTTCTAAGCAAGAACTAACTCAAAGAAGTGTGAATAGCATAGATGCAAACACTACCACCACCACCACCAGGCAACAGTGTTAGTACCTTAGTTTTTTGGAAACAAGGGTTTATTCTTAAACAACTTGTAAACAAACCTATAAGAGTGGGGCTACAATTCTTGGATAGGGTGTCAATACCACTCTGGATACAAAGGTTTGACACCCATGAATCTATCTGCCCTATCACAATCCTATCGAATACTGCCTAAAAATTTGAAAACATCTCATGTGAAATAAAAAACAATCATTGCTACAGGCCTAATAGATCCATGTATTCAACCCATGTTTTGTCCGTTTACTTACTAACTGGTGACTTGAACTGGCGCAACACTGACCCTTAGTGGTAGGACGCTAGAATTTTGGTGAGTAAAGGTGAGGCTGCAAATCTTGCCAGTGCTGCAGAATCTGCAGTGGGTTGGGGGACTTGCATTCAGGGTTCGTCTTCTTTGCGCAACGAGAGGAATTTTATTAATACATTAAAAAACGCGAATCTAGGCTAAATCAAATTATGTAAGAAATAAAAAGTTTATTTGGTGTTGTGTCAATTCTACCGGTTAAGGAACTGAAAGTAGCCTATTACACCCAAAACATGACATAACTATTGACATATTTATTTTATCCGTTATCTTCCATGGTTTTACTCCATGAGGTTTATTTATGGATTTTATAATAAATCCATGGTTTCACACACAGTCCATGGGTTTCACAGTCACCATACACTGGCCTGGACAAGGGTTTGTGTCTATGGGAGCCAGTGATCGCGATAACACATCCAAGCACGCGACACTGACTGACAAGATGGCGGGGATGATTTTAGAAATAGAAGAGTTACTGCCGTGAAAGGCGAGCTACAATATATACTACATACAAGCGCTGTATTTTAATGCAGAGCTAGCCGTTGAGTGTTACTATCGCTCATAATTAAAATCCAGCAACAAAGCTATAAACTAAACACAAAAATAGGTTTTTACCAAGGGCAAAGGAATGAATTTAAGATTAACCTACCGCTACTTAGCATGCTAAGCTACTGTTAGCTATAGCTCTATAATCTCTCTAAGCACATAGAAGAACGATGGCAAGGCAGGGACTGTCGGCGATCTTCTCCACTCATACGACTAAAAAGGCAAGGAATATTTTACCATTTAATGACAGTGTGTGTTTGCTTCTCTTATTTCACTGAGCCATACGGCATTTATTATACAAACCAACATTAGAGAGCTACTAACAGTTAAGTAGTTTTTCTGTGTTATAGTTGTTGTGATTCCCACTACATACTTAACTAAATTCATATCGAGCAGTTGTATGTTTTACACCGTATACAGATGTTATGTCACTGCAGTCAATGCGCTCTCTAGCAACGACCAAACTTTTGCCATTCAGTGCGTAATGTTAGTTAACACTTTCATACTATTAATTGGTTGGCTATATTGGCTATTTTCTTCAGCAATGCACTGATTCCCCTAGTATGATCGAAATAATTATCTTTAAGTCAAGTCAAGTAAGCATAAAACCCAGTAGTGAGCAGTCGAGCACCTTGTATATATAGACGTTTACGCAGTACATTGCTTGTTGTTATTGTTTGTCAGTGTTTTCATATTTTCTTATGTTAATCCAAAATGTTTTATATTTTCAGACATTACCATGTCCAGGAATGATCCGATTTCTCAGCAGACCATGGTTACAATGGTGAAATGAGCCTGTTATAAGCTGTGGAGTACAATACAATACAGACATTTGAGTGACAGCCATTTTTCGGTTGGTCAGCAGGTGTGTGTAATGGACAGGTGTAAGCATGTGGGGCGGCTGCGGCTTGCCCCAGACCACTCCATTCTTAACCCCCAGAAGTGGCACTGTGTGGACTGCAACACCACAGAGTCTGTGTGGGCCTGTCTTGGCTGTGCTCATGTGGCATGTGGGCGATACATTGAAGAACATGCCTTGCAGCACTTCCAACTACACCGCCACCCATTGGCAATGGAGGTCAATGAACTATATGTTTTTTGTTACTTGTGTGATGATTATGTCCTCAATGATAACAACACAGGAGACCTAAAGCTGCTTCGAAGTACACTTAGTGCAATTCAGAGCCAGCACTATGAAGTTACCACCCGCAGTGGTCGTACCCTTCGCTCTGCCACTGCTGTTCCTGAAAGCCTCTTGTCATTTGGTGCCCAGGAACTGCAGTTGAGAGATGAGGACCGGATGTTCACTGCCTTATGGCATCGACGAAGATCTCTTATGGGACGCATTTTCAGATTTTGGTTTGGACTTACTGAATGTGGAAAAAAGAGAGAGGAGGAGGAGAGAAAGAGGGAAGAAGATGAGGAGCAAAAAGCAGAGGCCAGAGAGCGAAGGAGAGCACAAAAAAGGCAGATGCAGGAAGAGTTGGACAATGCCCCTCTCAGAAAAAGTCAGCGATTGCGGCGCAAAAGCAAAAGACTTGTGGATGCAGCAATAATGATACCTCCCACAACCAAACTTGCTAAACCCTCTTCTGCACCCAAGTCACAAACTCGAAGGCCTACTACTCCAACTACAAAGAAAGTTCAAAAGACGCAAAAGGTCCAGCAAATTCCCAAAACCAGAAACCGCTCTTCAACCAAATCTAAAGCCAGAACATCCACAACTCGTACACCACAGCCATCTGCACGCCGCAAGCAGAGTAAAAAGCAGAGTACCAAACAGAGTGGCTCCCCATTAAAACGGCGGCCCACAGTCACACCTGGTGTGACAGGTCTGAGAAACTTGGGCAACACTTGCTATATGAACTCCATTTTGCAAGTGCTCAGTCACCTAAATATTTTCAGGGAGTGCTTTTTGCGCCTGGATCTAACACAAGCACTGGAACTTCTTGCATCTGCTGCAGGAAAAGCTTCACCACACTCACCCTTTGCCCAAAAGAGGGGACCTCTGGCCAGTTCAGGCTCCGGTCCAGGACTGAGTGGTGGGTCCTCACGAGGCCGGAACATGGAGCTTATACAGCCCAAAGAGCCAAGCTCGAAGCACATCTCCCTCTGTCACCAACTGCACACTTTGTTCCAAGTTATGTGGTCGGGGAAGTGGGCGCTGGTTTCACCCTTTGCAATGCTCCATTCAGTGTGGCAGCTGATCCCTGCTTTCAGGGGCTATGCTCAGCAGGATGCTCAGGAGTTCTTGTGTGAACTGCTGGACAAGGTGCAGCATGAGCTGGAGAGTGCTAGCAACAATACAAACTCTGGGGGTGTACCACAGCCACAGAAACGCCTCATCAAACAGGTGCTGGATGTGGTCAATACAGTTTTTCATGGCCAGCTCCTTAGTCAGGTAAGACTCTACTTGCAAGTTTAACACTTGGTTTTAAAAACAATTTTAGACATTTGTGATTACCTTGTGTAATCAAAAGATTCTATACTATATTCAGAATAGTTATGCGAGTTATTTTCAGTGTTGATTCTAACCATCATATTCAATCGTCTTGTAGGTGACATGCCTAGCCTGTGAAAATCGATCTAACACTGTGGAGCCTTTTTGGGACCTATCTCTGGAGTTTCCTGAGCGCTATCACAGCAATAGTAAAGAGTCTGCAGCACAGGCGTCCTGCCATTTGACAGAAATGTTGGCCAAGTTTACAGAGACTGAGGCCCTAGAGGGAAGCATTTACGCTTGTGACCAGTGCAATTGTAAGTAAATTGGTATTCACTAAACTACAATTACACTGGCTGGTTTATGCAATTGCTCTGTGATATACATAATTCTTAATTCAATCTTAAGATATTGTTTGTATTTGAGGACTGCAAACACTAAATGTACTAATCATGACTCAATTTATAATTGACATTTAGCTTTAAATGGGATCCTGTTTTTGCAGCTGCTCGACGCCGTAACTCCTCCAAACCAGTTCTCTTGACGGAAGCACAAAAACAACTTATGGTGCACAAATTGCCCCAGGTCCTGCGGCTTCATCTCAAACGTTTTAGGTGCGAAACTACTTGAATGAAGGATTTCATTTGCCTTCATATTTATATTGACCTATACTGGCTTTTGCACCTATGTCCAGGTGGTCTGGACGAAACAACAGGGAGAAGATTGGAGTACACGTCAGTTTTGACCAGCTTCTTAATATGGAGCCTTACTGCAGCCTTGAGGCCTCTCCTAAAGTCTCACCCTACTCCAGTAACAGCAATCCCAGTTCTTCACGTCCGAAGCACTTCTATGAACTGTCTGCTGTAGTGATGCATCATGGGAAAGGTTTTGGGTCCGGCCATTACACATCATACTGCTACAACTCAGAAGGGGGTAAGAGCTTGCTGCATAGAACATATCTAAAAATGAGAATTTAATTGTACTAAATAGTTGTTTGTTTTTTCCAGCTTTTTGGGTTCACTGTAACGATTCAAAGCTGAATGTGTGTTCAGTGGAGGAGGTATGTCGAGCACAGGCCTACATCCTCTTCTACACACGTGTAACTCAGGACAAGGACCGGCCACTGTAGCATTGTCCCAACCCTCCACAAAACTGGATTCCTCTGAAAGATGGTGTCTGGACAGCAGCCACAGGTGTCCTTATTCCTATGGGCATTTTATGAATTAAGGCGAGGTTTTAAGTATATTTTTACATGAGTAAAGGGAGAGGAAGGACTCCTTTTTATATAGATTTCTGCTTTGTGAGTATTGTATATTGTGTTTATATGTAGGTATTTTTTTAATTGATATTTGATTTTTGTACAGTTTAATTTTATAAAGAGAATGTTCACAAAGATATACTTGTATAGCAGCTAAATACAAATGTCACCTAATGTATTTGTGTATACCCAATGTGGTGGATGTCATACTGACCCTAAACTCATTTGGTCTTTTACCAAGAACACACTGCCAGATGGAGGGTTGTAGAATGTTCATAGTTACTGTAACCAGTTTTTAAGGTGCATACTTTCACAGTTAGCCCTTACAGAAGTGCACTACATTATAGCTACCCTGAACCTTCATTTGAGTAATTTGTGAACAATTGTCTGATCCCATCAATTGGATATGAGAAAATGTATCCTATTACCCATTCTCTTCTAAAGAATGAGAATTTTATAAATTAAGATATTAACTTTGAAAGTGCCCTTTTTTGACTAAAGCTATATTTTGGTGCAAATGGATTCTGCTTTGTGGCAGTCCCCTTCATACCTGCATTTAGAAAAGAATGTATTTTTTTACTGAAATGCTCAGAGGTTTGAGACACCTGTTTTACTAAATATTCATCTTTGCTGATTGTTGTACATCACCAGCAAGTGTACATACTGTATTTAGCAGTCAATACAAATTGTATTTATCTAGCCTTTTTCAACCATGTTTTGTTCTGTCAATGAAAGGAAATTCAAAGCACACTTTTCTATCGAGTTTTTGTAACTTTGGAACTTGTACTATGCAAATTCGTACCTCAATTTCTATAGAAATTACCTCAATAAATGAAAGTATTTTTTTCATTTTTTTAAACTGCATACTGTTGTTTTTAAACAAAGACCAGGATTTGATAATGATTTATTTTGAACAAATAGTGGCAACAGCCATTTCAAAGATATTTTACAAATATCAAAGAAAGTCTTGAGGACCAGAGTGAAAATTTTCCCCCTGTAGCATTAAAAGCCAAACATCCATCTGCAAATATGTGATGTAGGAAAATTTATTTTCAGCAACAATCTCAATTCTTAATGTTTGCAATTGCATCTGGCCATGGATTAGTCTGACCACTATTGAACCCCATCTGTACAAAGGTGCTTAATAGAACTTGAGCACCAAGTACTGAGGACTCCTTAAGTGGTGACAAAAAGCTAAAAGAAAACTGGTAAAACGTGCACCCCCCATGCTCACCTTGAGTTTGAATACTAGAATGCACCAATGCAGCAGCAAAACAAATATATTTTAACTGTTAAACAGTCAAAAGTTTATATTTTGTATAATCTGTAAGACATTGCTCTGAATGTCTAATCAAAACCACATTTCCTCTTATATAAAGAACAAGCTTGTAATTTTCTATTATTTTAGAGACAATTTTGACACCAGTCTGAGAACCAGACCACCCCTCTGTAAAGTTGAGGTAACACCACATGGCTTACATTGCCCCTCCCACTGACTGGTTGACTGCAGGTGATGGGTGAGCAGGTGGGGTAGTACTGTTAAAGGTGGGCTCAGTAGTCGTCTCCACGGCTCACCACCTCTTTACAGGTGGGCCGGAGAAGAATGGTATGTTCGAACTGAGCAGTGTAGCAGCCTTTGCTGTCACAAAGTGGAGGGTAAGGGTCCACAATTCCCAGGTCACACAGGTTTTTCAAAGCCATAAGATACTTGCTTTCACCCAGGCGGTCGAGCCAACGCCGGCAAAATGCTAGAGTGCCAAAGTTTTCATTAATTACATTTAACAGGTGCTTCGCCCTCGGCAACCTAGAAAAACAGACAAAATGTATTGTTAAAACAATTAGCAAGTGCCATTAAGAGCACTTAAAGCTGGGGTACCAGACTTTTTTAACAGTAAAATAGTGCGTTTTCCCCGAAAAGTAAGCTGTAAAAGCAGCACTTGGTGACAAAGCATTTTAGAAGAGCCAAAGTAGTGCCAATTGCACTTTTGACAGTCTACACTAGTTTAATTTTCCTGAAAAAAAATTGCTCTAGAGCCAGGCATGTATGTGCCTGAAAATTAAATTAATGCATTTGGAAATTTAAAAATGTGTCAAAGGGTTTATGAGAACTAGGAACTAGTTAAGATTTTAATACCTACTTTCTCCTTTTACAGATTAAAAATCAAGAACCCCAGCTTTAATGTCATAATTACCTGATGGGAACATGACCAACATCAAAGTTTTTCATATAGTGAGAGCACTCCATGTCATCGTGAACCACGCCCTTTCCAGTGCTGCCAAATGTTTCAATGGCATAGACTTCCCCCTCCTGTGAGAATATATCACATTTTTACAGTATGCAGGTCATCAGTGTGAGCCACCTTAAAAATGACCAACTCACCTCCATTCTTGTTGCCTCCCCTCCTTTGACAATGGGCACTGTCTTACCAGCATGTATTCTGTACTGGCCAATCGAATGACCATTCAGATTCCGAATGGGTTTTACTAAAATGTAAATGAAGGGCATATTAATGACTCTTTAATCCCTAATTTTAGCTACTTCAACAGCACAAGAAACACATTACTGGAATGTTGATGTATTGCTACAGTATTACCTTGGTATGTTTTGCCATCTAGTTCTACTTCATAGGACTCCATAACTTCTTGAATTGCCTCTCCGACATCACATAGACGTACATCAATTCCAGCATTCTGCATTATTTATATCAAAGTACTTAGAAAGCAAAACAAAACCTCAACATAAGATTAAAAAAAATTAAAAAATAACCTTGATCCCAGTATTTGTGGCATCTTTAACAGCCTCCAATAGCTTGTCGTATCTCGGGTTAAATGTGACAGTAAATGCACAGTCAATAATTCTCCCTACAACAAGAGGACACTTTTAGGGACAATTCTAAAGCAACATCAATCACAACAGTAAACAGTAATATATCTTTACTAAAAGGTAAAGACATATTTTCAAAAGATTTAAGATACCATTAATGTGGGTGCCAAAGTCAATTTTGCAGACATCATCATACTGAAGCACAGTCGTATCTCCAGCATTGGGGGTGTAGTGGGCAGCACAATGGTTGAGGGAGCAGCCAGTTGGGAAAGCTAGACCAGCATTTAGTCCATTCTCCTTAATCAGTTTACGAGAACAGTCCTCCAGTCGTTCACTATATTATAATGTTAAAGTTTGTAAACCCACACATTGAAAATCTACCTTGCATTAAAAATATATATATATATTTTATATATTGTTGGCTTACCAGATTTCAATCATAGTCAAGCCAGGTTTAATAAAACCTTGCACATGCTGTCGGACCTGCCTATGGGCCTCAGCAGCTTGTCTGAAATCATTCCACATCTCTTCATTGGCTTGATCCAGGACCTTCCTCTCCTCATTGGTCATACGCCAAACAGCACTGCGACTGCAGAAAATGCAGTTATGTAATATTGGTAGTTAATGGGGGTTATTTTAATCTAAGAAGTCTAAAATAATAAAGATTATCATCAGCACTTTGACCTTACCCATCTTGTGATACTGGGTAGTCACACAGTTGTCCAATTGGGTATGCTCCATTTGAGTATAGCTCACAAATTGGCACAGATGGTGGATTAGTTTGTGCTTTGGCTACATTTAAAAAACATAATTAATTACAACATTTATTTGCCCAGTCTTTTGGACAATGTATTGTATCACATTACAAAAACTAAATTGACATACGTCCTTTCTTCTTCTTCTTCTTTTTCTTCTTCTTCCCTGAAGTATCATCATCAGCATCTTTTAATGAGAAGCACATGGTTTACACTGACAATATACCGAATGAAATCTGAATTCATATTGTTGGACCACTGCATATACCTTCTTCGCCATCCTCATCTTTCTCTTCAATGGCATGTTTGTCAAGCTGCTTGGTCACTTCTGTCACTGCATCCTGGCCATCTGTCTCAGCACCTGCACGTAAAATGTTTTTCTTTAAAATCTTGCGAATTTAAATTGAATTAAATTTTTTTTTGCAAATAAAATTACAATCCACTGACAGAAAACACACCACAGCACCTGCTCACACATGCATGATGCATGATCAACTGATTACATGTTATAGTTTATAATATGTTACAGATTTGAGTCTGGCAGCCAAATCGACCAAACATCGGATGGGTCCTATGGTTTTACAAGACTAGTCTGACTAATTTCATTCATATGCTGAATACGGATAACAGACCGAGATAACTTTCTACATTGCTGTCAAAACAATATTGTGCAAGATGACCAAACGACTATGAAACGTAAATAACAAGTGATATAGCATCGAAGCCCTTGTGAGTATATATTCACATAAACTTTAATTGAATTTAAATTATTAATTTACAAAAGCAAGAATTATTTTTAGACCAACAGAGCCAACTTGTTTGGTTTGTAGTGGCCGACTCTCACCGTCCGCATGAAGTTACATTAGCAACATTAGCACAACTAGCATGTTACGTTTCGAGGTTCTACAGCAAACCTGTTATTGGAGCCTTTTTCTTCTTCTTTTTCTTCTTCTTCTTGGCAGTTTCCTCAACCGGGTCGGCATCTTCTTTCTCCTCCGCTTGACCATTTAGCTCCTGATTTGAGAGTTCTTTCTGCTCTGCAGCACGCTCCGCTACCACGGCCGCCATGATTGCAAGCAGGAAAGGGAAGCACAAAGGATTGTGGGAATTCTGCAAAGCGGCGCAAAACCAACGCTGCGCAGCGTGTTGCGCCAACGCGTAAAGTTTATGAGCTAAAATTAACCAGAATCCACTTTGATGTTAAACATGTATTAAAGGTGCACAATGTAACTTTTGTGGGGATGGGGAATTCAACTCCTGCTTGTCTTTATACAGATGTCACATATGTAGCCTCATAGACTGTATAAAGAATATATTTATATATGTTATACTGTACAGTATTTTTACATAGAGTATATGTGTGACTAGTGGAATATTCCACAATGTGACATTAAACTACTCAACTTACTTTGCCTTTATTAAACTACATTTTATTATTGCTAAATGATACACTAAAGAACCATACTACTTTACAGAGGCTGGGAAAGTGAAGGAGTGAGACAGATAATATTAATGACAGCCTGTGGCAAACACTCATTTTAACATATGAGTCTCAAGAATAATATTTCATTTTATTTGTGTTTTTAATATATTCTTTTTTCAGTGTAAAGTTTTACTTAAATAGCCAGAAAGGCTGTTCACAATGTGGCGGTGTCTTGTGTCTAAACAAACAAAAGACAGACATTTACAAAATAATACAGATCTGTGTATGTTCAGGGGTGGACTGGGTTCATAAACAATAGCCCAGTGGAAATATCATGTAACCTACCAAACTGGTTTATTCTCCTCTTGAGTGTAACATCTCCTCTGAAATTTGAGAGTTTTTGTCACACACATACACAAAGTTTTTCTTTTTTTTTTTTTAATGCAGCAAAGTATGAGCCAAGAAATCTCATTGTTTTCTCAACTGAATAATTTTAGAGGGAGTAAAGATTAGATGAGATGAGACTTTTGACTAGGGTCAACCACAGAACAAAATATATCATTGATCAGGATCCACAGCTGAGATGAAAATCTCAAAATCAAGCTGTTCATAACATTCAGTTACAAAGTGAACTAACTGTAACTGCATAGGCAAAAACAATACAACAGAAAATTGTACTCTTTGTCTGTTTTGTATGACTTTGGGTTACATTAATTTACTTCTATTGCAATCTTAACTGCATTAAACAAAGTGCCTCTGCATGTAGACATTCATAGACCCTACCCAGAAGCTCTTCTGCAGATTTCATTCTACTTTATTCTCCTCGATTGTCATGATAATATGCAAGTACTTTGCTTCCTAGTAGTATGGTTTAAGTGGTTATAATACCTGAGTTGTGTCATAACTGTTGTAGGTTGTATTGTTTTTGAATAGGAATTTGCAAAACATAGATTTTAGAGACAAGGTATAGCTTATCTTATCTTATTTGAGACAATCAAACATAAATACAATCATTTGTCTTAGTTTGATGTAGTTTAAATCAGATTTATATATCATAGTTTCAGTCAGCCGCTTCATCATCATCAACATCATCATCACCATCATCATTATCTTCAAAGGTCTGCTCTTCAATTGTCATTATTGAACGTGACCGTGCTGCAACTTGTGAAGCCAAGGCTGAGCCGAAGCTTAGAGCCTGTGAGCCATGAATCTCAGTCAGTCGGTCCATTATGGAAACAGTTGGTACTTTATCTTTAATAAAGTTGGCTAGACTATTTAGCTCAGCCTCCTCCACTGGGACACCATCATATTGGTGGTGCTCAGATGCTCCTCCTCCTCCTCTTTTGGATATCAAACCTTGTCCTGTCTGCTCTTCCTCTGGCTCTAAACCACAACTGAACTCCATCACTGGTGTCTCCAAAGGGTCAGGTCCCACAGTGCCTTCTCTTCCTTCCTCTTTATTTCGTGTGGTGTACTCTGATAAATGCTTTCCCTCTTCTCTACCGGGCTCTATAGATTCCACAAAAATTAAAGTCAGTGTAGGTTTGGGAGTCGATGCAGTAGAGTCAGAAGTTTCACTGTTGGATGTAGGTGTCTCAGCAGCTGCAAGAATATTAGTAAAATCAATAACAAATCTAATACTTCAGCAACATGTTAGGTCATAATTAAACAAAGCTTTACACATTTGAATTATCCACACTTACTGAAAAATATTTTTTAAAGCATAACGGGAAGAAATTAAAAAACCATTAGTCATGTATCAACAATCACCTTGATCATTGAACAGCAGCTGTTTCCTCTTCATCCTCTCCCCCTCTGAAGCACGGAAGCAAAGTACAGATTTTAGCTCTGACAGGACACGACGTGACTCCTCTCTTTCTCTTCGCTGGCGCTCACGCTCCTCTGGTGACAACATGTCACACCAGGATCCCCTCCCTTCACTGTCTGTATCTGAGTCAGAAACATAAGCCTCCAGTTCCTATTCAAAAAGACAGAAAAAAATTTTAAGACGCAAATGCATACAGATCATTAGACCCGACCTTAACCCTAATAAAAGATGATACATCTGGTTAGTCTCACCATTTCCTCTGGTACAGGGTCTTTATCAAGGATAATAGGATAGGACTGAGGAAGATCTGCGATGTCACACGTAGGTGGACAACATCGTTTTGCATCTTCAGGATCTCCTGATAAAGACAGCAATAAACTCAAAAAGGCACTGCTGCTGAGCTATGGTATTACTTATTGGTATTATATGATTATTGCCATTTTTGACAAAAATTAAACAAAACATAAAATTCTTACCTGAACTGATGTTGGCCCTTTTCAGCATGCGATCCACTTGGCCAATGGTGTCCTCCCAGCAGCCTATGCTTGCCTGCATATGTGGCTGGAGCTGGTGAAGCCGGTCACTAAGGTCCTGATAGCCTTGAAATGGCATCTCTGAGGGTTCTTCAGAAACCATCATTTTTTCTAAATCATCTTCCAGAATAATCATCCTGATACAACAACCAAAAAACAGATTACCTCAAATAGAGCTGTTGGGAAATGTTTCAAACTTTACAATTTAGAAAGAATCTCACTCGCTAAGCAGAGTCTTAAGATGCAGTTGCAGACTTCTAATAGATGTATGCAAAGTGTTGAGGTCCCTACATTTCTCTTTGGCCCTTCCTGCCCTGTGAGATATAGCCTCCCTTGTCTGTGTTTCAAAATGGCGATGGAAATCATAGCTGCGTTGCATGTCACAGAGACACTTGGCCAGTGTGTTGTGGAGCGGTTCAGTCACTATAGAAATGGTCTGATATATTGGTGACAAAGGAACAGTTTCTTCTTTTGGTGCATTTTCTGACAGCTCCTCTACTCGTGGAGGTGACAAGAGGAGGGCAAGACGGCGAAAACATTCAGAACTTTGACCCAGCCACAACTGGAAAAGCATCTGTCGGGAAGAGCATAAAAGCAAACCAATTCAATACCATTGTTAGAATTCCCTCTTTTTTGTCAGTGCATACTGTTGCCACACACTACTAGTTTATATCTTAGGTAAAGACTCTTAGCATGGTGCTGACCAGTCTTAACTTGGTGTTTACACAGCCAAATGGGTATTTCACATATATTACACATATATACAGTATTATCCATTTTTCCTATCCAAATTATGCTCATAAGGTCACATATACAAAGGGTTACACAGTGTAGCACAGATAAGGCAGTCTGTTTTTCTTCTCCACTAAATACTAAGGTACCTTAAGGGCAGGAAGACTGTAGTCATCAGTCAACTCCTGGGCCTGTTCATCACCCAAGTGCTCGAGTCCCAATCCCAGTCCAAGCTCCTTCAGAGGAACCGCAGATACGTAATTAGTCACATTATCAATTTCGGAGTTCAGTGGGAAGGTTCAGAGGAGTTAAGGCCATTTGACAATATGTAAATAAATTGCCTATTAATGCTTGTTTGAACATACAAAATAATGATTTAGTGAAAATGTGAAAAACAAACTTTGTCATGTAACTCTTTCTGTTAAAAGGATATGCCTTGAGCATGTGACAAGTAGCTCTACGTGAGGCCCTGAATGCTGAGCGGAGAACCCTGTACAAGGTCTTCCTTAGTCCAATCAGCTGCTGCCCACGTGGCGTTGTTCCTGGCGCTGCCCTGCTAAATGTACTAGCTGCACTCACCCTGTCGAGTAAACTTGACAAGTGAAATGTGATACAACTGTGGAAATGTCCCAAAAAAGTAGGAAAAACACAAAACACAAAATTACAAAATAGACTAAAGCAAGCTAAAAAAACCAGCTATGAATATGAAGTACAATAATGTGATAATCAACAACACTAATTCACAGTTACCCCAACATATAACAAGTACACATAGGGATTGCCAATAAAATTCACAGGTATTATAATTAGCAAGCTCAGGTGTATTATATTATGATACATCTACAACTAGTATTATTGTTTTAAAAAAGTAGAGCATACTTACAGGGTGAACCCCCTGGAAATGACTTCAGTCTCTTGAACCAGTCGAAGAGCTTTGCGGGACAGTCCAGTTAAAGTCTTGCTGTTATGGACTAGTGTCTGGATCTCTGTGGTTCTCGTGTAGACAGCTTTTTGCATACGCCTCTGTCTCCAAAAAACAGTCCCTTTGAGACCAACCCAGGTCAGCAGTGCTAGACCCCATGGGACTGCAGCTACTGACCACAGGCCATCAGAGCACACACTGATAAGCACTGCAGCGAAGCCTACAAGTCCTGTCACGTCCCTATGGAAAGGATAACAAATAAAGCATATCTATTAAGGCACAAAAATATTGAAACTAATTATGTGTTTAAAAATAAATAATTAGTTTAATATAAACATATTACATGCATTTCAGTTACATCGTAGTAGGCAGTGTACATTATATTGTGTATAAATGAAAGTCTTTACCAAATTGAAGGCTTGAAAATAAAGCCTGGTCTTGGAATGGTCTTAGCTTGGCTGTCTAAACCCAATGGTGATGATCCTAAGGTGAGGAGGCTTGGGTCCAAAAGCTCAATCAGCTCCACGTCCTCTTGCAGGAGCACATCTTGGTCCAAAATACATCGCACAGAATATTGACCAAAGACAGTGTCCTGTTATAACATATTATAACACTTCAGTACAGTACTTTTTTATTATTATTATTATTTATTTATTTATTTATTTTTATTTTATTTTTTTACAAAGGTTTGTTGTATTTTGTACAATGACAATATAATCTAATTTCATTCACAATTAATTTTACAATTTGCCTTGTCACTCCATTTACAGTGGCACGTGAGGATAAAATTAGTGGGTCTTTGCACAGGTCTAGAAGTAATTTTTAACCACATTCAGAACATACCAACTGTTGTTGCAGCTTTTTGGTTTTGACAGCCTGGTAAAAAGGGGTCCATTGCCATAAGGCATCAGCTAGTCTCCATAACGCCCCTCCCTTCTGTAAAACACAATGTATTCATTAACAATCTTTACAACTTTGACTTCAAATGCTAACCATGCAAACTCTAGTATAAACAAAATTAAATGAAATTTAAATGAAAAGATATAAGTTTACATTATGAACAATGTTAATACTTTGTGTTGTGTAGAATGTGTGAAAATGTCAGGTTATGCCTTGCAGATTATTTATTCAGACTGTGGGCATATACTGATGTCTGGGTGTTCAACACAAAAATGTACTTCAACTGCTGTGGTTACTGAAGTTAGTAGATAGTGATGTCCTGTTTCAGTGTAATTTTTTAAAGAAAAGATTGCATCATATGAGTAAAAAAATAGCTTTCATTTTCACATTCCTCATTTTCATTTCAAAGAGTTACACTGGGGAATAACACATCTTCTAATCATTCCAAAATGGTTATACTTAACCATAGAAATAGACTTATAGTCTATTTAGGATAGATTTTGATTACAGAAACATTGTTCATGTCACCTCCTAATCTTTGTCTCACCTGTAAAGAAAAACTGTGTACAATAGAAGATGACATTTAAAGAAAGTTCCTGAAACTGTTTGCTTTAAGGAAAGGCAAGACTGAGCAAATGACACATAAACCTGAGCAACCCAAGATACATCACTGATTAAAAAGTGCATTATCACTAGTCTTAGTTGGAATTAAAAAGGTACTAAAATGACAATTAACACAACAACAACAAATAACTCTTACCAAAGTTTGTTTTCCATTACTGAGAGCTGTAATATCTTCCTCCAGTTCAACGCATTCCTTTTCACGGGAAGCAATTGGACATGCTTCAAAGTCTGTATGGCCCAGATCATGTAGGTATTGAAATAGTGGTGAATTCTGCAACATAAACGACAATAAGGCACTAAATGTAATGCAAAATATACTGGCTATTCAAAGAGATGCAACCAGCTCATGACCCATTTAACACAGCTGTCTTGGTTTTTAAGTAGCAACAGTAACTGGATCACAATTTGAGTACACAGACAAGCAATAAATAAATAATTACAATATGGTTACTCACTTGCATTGTCAGAATAAGCAATGGCGCATGATATCAACAAGCACTGCAGCCAGACATTGCAATAAAAGGTTTAGGTGTGTTGTTAGAGATCATTGCTGGTCTTTTGGATAATAAAACCACTCCATCACCAACACCTCCCACAACAGTTGCATTTGCAGCCCCAGCGATTATGAATTAGAAACAACAATACACACAGCAGCTAAACGTCCCGCATGACTACAAAATCTACTTAAATTACATGTGGATCTGAATGGAGCAATGAATGAATAACTGGCAGGATATCTGATAGATGCTAACGCTCTCATCAACCTCAGGAGCTAAAACCAAAAACTAAACTAAACTAAACAAACAAACAAACAAAAATAATCCTTATACAGTAATTCACAAACACGTTTTACTGTTTAGCCCTTTATATTTAGCTCACAATTGGTGATAAATTAGCTACCGACGTGTTATCAGTTTATAATCTGTGGCACCATGGCCGAGCTACATACCTCAAACACAACATCTTCATCAAAATCATCAGTCATTGCTGCCAGACATCTATACAAGGCCCATTTTGTGTACTGAAGTTGTTGGTGGATATCGGAGAACTCAGGTTGAAGTTGAGCCTGTAGCTATTTGCTAGTTGTGTGCTAAAACTACATTTCCCGGCGTTCTCCTCTGCTTGTTTGCGGCACTTTACACGCATAGACTCTAAATGAGTAAAATAAGACTTAATTAATTTATCCTACTTAGTTCGTCTTTTGAAAACGCACATAATGCAAACTCAAATAATCAAAATAGAAAATATTTAGCAGCTTTAGAAATATAAGTATGCTTTGCGAGCGTAGCGTTCTGTGTAGATGTTGTGGTAGAGCACCCCTGGCGTAGATGTGATAGAAGCGCCGAAATAACAACTTCAAAATAAAATCGATATTTTTAGAACATGTATTATATTTCTTCTTCATCCGTCGTGAAAAAATAATATATACTTAGTGTTTTTGAAGTGTGACATAGAAAATAGTGAAAAGTTTTTTTTTTTGTTTTTTTTTTTTTTTGCCGGAATGTGTTGCAAACACATGTAGCGTAAGCTAACTTGACTGTTAGGAAAAAGCACCGTGGCTGAAAAGTTTGAAAAATGGTGAAACTGTGAAACGTTTTTTTCTGCGGTGGCGATGTAAGAATAAGCAGCTTTGGATATGTCTGTTTTCTTCTTGGAGTTATTTTTATATTGACAAGAATGTCGAAGACGAGAGAAAAAACATTTTTTCTTGCAATTCCACAGAAACTACAGTAACTCATGGATAAAGGAGCCAGTCGGGAACCATGAGCACAGGTTTGTTTAGCTAGAACTAGGAAAAAAAACTCATGCAAAGCCTTCAATTAGAAAAGGCAGCTTTCATTGAAAAATATAAAAACGCCAACAGAAGGCTATAATAGAAATATTCACGCAATTACTACAAAAGCCGCAAACTAACGTGATCTGTTACACAGTTGCTGGCCTTTTATAAACACGTAACGTTAAAGTGAAGCACTCAGATTTATTTTTGGTGTTATTTTTTCTCTCTTGCTGTGATGTGAGTTGCTGCTGGACAAAACTTTGTCCTTTGTCTTGTACATCTGCGTCGGACGGCGTCAAAGTAGCTGATGCAGAAAGTTTAGTTTACTGTGTATAACGTTGTTATCCCCTACATTGTCGTTTGTTGTTGAGTTATAGCATCTTCCAGCTGATTGCATCGTAATGGACATTTAATAAGTTAGGCCTTATTTGTCTGCTACGTTCACCACAGCTGGACTGTCTCCCTGCACATAACAGTTACTTCTTTTGGTCAGATCTTTCGGAAACATCCGCTTGATGACTATTCTCGTGGTGATGGTCAGCCATGAGATTCAGGGAGTATTCAGGCAGCAGAGCGGAAAAATGACCCGTAAAACGGTACTCAGACTTGACGGTAACAGACTATTATTTTTTAAATTTCGCGTCGTTTCACTTTAATTCAATAATATTAGTATAAATGGTAAACACAACATTTAAAACATATACACAAAGTGAGTACTTGTTTTTGCATTTTAACCCGACTTACTTGAAACATGAACAAAAAAACATTCTTTTAAACATTGTTTGAACCCAAATCATTCGTGCTTTATTGCTGGATATTGTTCTCTAACTTCCAGTGTGATTACGTTTCTAGTCTAAACTGCACGTTGCAACTGCTTCAAGCTAGGATATTAGTGAATGTCTGGTTTAGGTGTTTACTTGTTTTATATATATATTTCCTAATTACATTATATTCTGTTTATTTCATTACATCTTATTTGATTATTTTAATAAAGTTCTGTTTGTTTTAATGAATTTCTGTTTTTATACAGGTGTGAAAAAACCTCCTTTAGCTCCCAAACCTAAACTCCCTGTCTCTCCCAAGCCATGCCCCCCACCTATCGCTCCCAAACCTGGTGTCCTGCCCCAGCCTCCTGCTTCTCAGCCATCCCCGTCTACTCTCAAGAGACCCAAACCAGCTGTTGCCCCCAAACCTTGTCTTTCCAAATCTATGTCATCACCATCCATTTCACACCAGCCAAGCAGAACCAGTGGGCTTCATAACACACCAGACCAATACAAGACTTTGGAAGATAATGTTCCTCAGCTCAATACAAAAAATGAATTTTTATCAAAGACAGATTATAGAGAACCAGATTACATCATTCCTGCCTGTTTGTGTGGACTTCAGGTCTGTTCCCACTGCAAGCATGTTAAAAATGGAAATGCCACTGAGGCTGTGAAAGATTTGCACAAAGACATTTTGCTGAATGGTATTTCTTCAGAAGGATGTGGTTCAACAGAGACAAGGCTCCAAGAAAAGCAGGAAGAAGTAGAAGTTGAGGAGAAGGATCAAAATGAGGGTGCACAGAAAAAGCCAAAGGACAAACCTCAAAGACAGAAACACTCAGATAAATCATGTGTTAATCAAGAGACAAATAATGAGGATGCACACGGTCAAAATAGTTGTGAACATGAACAATCAAACACTCCTCTCAATGTTGAGACACCTGAAAAAGCCACTCAACACTCCACATTAGCATGCATTACTGTAGATGTTTCGTCAACTGTAACACCTGAGGCAGTGCACAGTTCTGCAGATTCTGCTCAGATACTAGACATTGTGGAGGACATTGTGGAATCACCTTTGAGGTTGTACTCAGCTTCGGAGGTCCCTGATCCACCGAGTAAACCTCTACCAGTCCCTCAACCACGTAAATTTAAGAAGCCAGCACTTGTGAGGCAGGAGGGTGTGGAAGCAGCTACTTTCAGTCAAGGGGAACAGACACATAGTCAGAGGGATGAGAATGAGAGAAATAGTTCACCATATTTCTCTGTAGGTTCAGAAGCAGAAAAGTTTTCACATGACTCAAATGGGACAATAGAAGACTTTTATGTGGACGAGTCAGATGCTCCTGTCCCTCCCCCTCGTCAGACCTCCTTATCCCCAAGCCTACACAGAGCAGTACTCCTCACACTTCACAAAAATACCTCCAAGTCTCTAGAACTGCTTTCACAACCTGAAAAGGAGGTAGAGCTACTTCAAACCACTGAGGACGAAGAAGATGGTTATGGGGATTTTGCACGCTACCCCATCACTCACAGCCTTCCAAAGCAGGTCAAACTTGGATGTCAGCATCATTTCGAAAGAAGAGCCTTTTCTGCAGAGGACCACCCAATACCAAGGGCACCTAGGGCACCGCCACCCAGGAAACCTCAAAGACACAGTCTGCCCGTGCCTCCTCCTCCATCCTGCTGCCCCCCTGCACCTCCTGCACCTCCACATGCAAGTGCCCCCATGAGAGATCTTCCTGCCCCACCACCTGAGAAATCTGCATGGAGATTCAGCCGACCATCTGTGACTTTCTTTAGCCGACAGGTGCCCACTCGGTGCAGTGTGCCAGTCAAAAGTCGGGTCCCACTAATTGGGAGCAAGCAGAGGGCACAGTCTTTCTCTGCAGCTGACCTGGCAACACGAATGGACCCCCAGAGGAAAAGCCTGTCTTTCCGAAAGCTTATTGAATTAAGGCTTTCTGTAAAGATGCTGCCCAAACTACTAACAAGGAGTTCTCTAGATTGTACCAATGTAGAGTCAAACTACACAGAAAAACAACTGGAGAGGACTAATAGTTGTATTGGGGATATACATGATGATGGAGAGAGCTCTGCAGAGTATGAGAACGTGCCCCTGTATGAGGAGATACCGGAGTACATGAACCTGCCGTTTCACAGTGCAAGACTGGGATGGCCTGATGATGCAGATGATATCTATGAAGAACAAGACCCATACCACAGGTGCCATGACAGCGACTATGAAAGGTATAGTACAAGAAGACACACTGCAAAAACACTAATCTGGTACCTGAGGAGAAATTTTCTTGACAGAGTTTTTGGTCAGCGTTTGATAATTTTCTATGTCTATTTAATGCACGATGTGTTCCCAAGATAGCCAGCTTTTTAAAATGACAGGTTGGTGTACCTATCTGCATGTTGTGTAGATAGGAGGTTTTTATTTACTGTTGTGTGAAAGTCAACCTTTAGTGACAAAGGCATTGTGTCTGAATAAAGCATTGATGTGCAGCAGGTCAGCCTGTTTTCCTGTGGGTTATTTTCAGTGGCTACAGCAGGAAATGTCTGAGAATCGCAGAAACGCCACAGCTCTTGAGAACAGGGAAAATAAACTTTCAGCGACCGCCAGCCTCCTCCTTCTCATGCTGCCCACTCATGGACCATGTTTTACCTCAAACTCAGTCACATTGTTTTTTTACACCAAGTCTAACTTCAGTTACAAATTGAATTTAGCACTGAATTATGTGTCAATGAATGGTGGGTTGGATAAGTGCTCCCAAACACTGCCCCTAGATGTGATTTCTCATATCAGGGAGGCCCATTTTCACTATAATTATGCAATTATAAACAAAGCAAAACAATTATTTCATTATGCAATTTTGCATTTGCTGATTGCACTGTGACGGTCTTTGAGCTTTTGCAGTTTGAAGGCAGTGATGGGATACTAAAACAATTACAATATATTCTTCGTCTTAATTGTGCTGGTATGTAGTGGTTGGAAAGTGTCCACGTGTAGTGTTTCCCAGGCATCTGAGCCTGTTAAGTTTATCTAGCCTCAGGCTGTAAACAAGTGGAGCTCTGTGCCTGGCCCAGTAAGTTGGAATTCTCTCTAAGAGAAAGAGAGAGGGACTTGAACGTGTATTGAATTTTAGGTAAAAGAAACCGTCAGGAAACAAATACGGAAGAGAAAGAAAGACCTCAAGCTGAAAGCAAGAAGACTTTTCTTCTGCAAATCAACTGTTTTTCCCACCACTGGTGGATTAACTGTGTAGGAAATTATAGATAATATATCGGCATGAGGAGGCTAAACTAACACATTTGTACATTATCTTTACTGATGAGAGGC